TCGCAGAAAATCCTTTTTAGTACTGTGCGTCACAATCGAGCTACCTATGCACCTAGGACTGGACATCTGCCATCGCAATCTTGGCCAATGTCGCCAAAAGTATCGGCATGTATACAGACAGAACTTAGACTCACTGCCTGGCCCGTAACTTGTAGTTCATAGCATCTCCACAGCATCAGTAATCATAATGTTTTTAAGTCTAAATTAGGCAGTTGTTTGTCTGGGTCGTGGCGTCTTTCACGACGTAGGCTTGGACAGGGGTGTCTTGACTCCCCCAGGGTGCCAAGGATGATCATCGCAGACCAATGCTGAGATATCGAGGCGGGCGAGGGACTTCGTGCGGTAAGATCCGCATCTAGGTCACATGTAGGCAAGTAGGTTATCATTGCTTGCCCCCTCCGTTGAATCCCGTATTGAAGCCCGTGTTACTGCAATTCTTTCTCGACTCGTCGCTGTTTACATAAATACATAGATTGTGAAATATCTTACTTTGAAGATCAGATCTAGGCAAAGAGAGAAAACACAAGTTAAATCATGAGGTGATCAACTTCGATCGCTATAACATCGTCTTCTTGAACATAGCTATAGATTTTAACCCCGGTATAGTATGGATGGTGACTTCGATATGGTATTTTCTATAGTTGGAAAGAATGCAGTCAACCTCGACAGTTCAACGACTGCAATGTTCTGGACCCGTTGTTAACACCATGGCTGAGAAACAGACTGCTCGACTTAGTTGGGAACTTAGGTTTGAGGATTGTGGATTGTGAACCGCAAATAGAAATTTACAGTGTCTGAACAGGGGATAGCACGCAAGTGAAGGCCATTTCATCTTGTGCATTCGACGAGATGGACAATAGGCAATATCCTATTGTCTCCGGGTCAAACGGCAGAGGTAGACACACAGTGTCCACATTCAGTTCCCGAGCACCATTACCCAGACTATCATAGGGTTAAGTAGTGAGCGGTGTGTATCAGCCACATATCATGCTCCCTCAGTATCTGCTCAGTGCTAGCGATCGGTTCACAGCTGCTTCTACACATATAGCTAATGCTGGCTAATGCTAGCTAATGCGATCATACCACAACTTGCTGCAACATTCCAACCAGTGGGAAATGAAACAAGAATGTTCATGATCTATCACGAGCTCAGCGTTGAAGCTCGCATGTCTCTTCTGACAAGGCGGTTCTAAAACGGGCTCGGATCTGTTGTAGCACAGTTCGGTGGCCGGGAGGTCTGCCTGACCCATAACCACTAGGACAGCATTTCTTTCTCTGCCTTCCTGGGGCATCTGTTGTACTCAGCTACGCGACACGCTACACTATGCAATCGCCAGCCATCTTGTAGCTGCAGCCAGGGCTGGGTAAGTACACGAAAACTACAGCATAGGTATGTGCATTGAGCTGCTGGTGAAGCTCTGTGTGTGTGTGTGTGTGTGTGTGTGTGTTCGGTGATGGCATTCATGTACGTTGCCCCTTGCCCCTGCTAGTCATGCTACAGTTGTCCTGAGATTTGCTCATCTCGCTATGTACCACACATTGGATGACGGTGTAACTGACGTTCCTCAGCATGCCCCAGCATTCGGGTGCGATTCACTGCGATGAAGAGCTAAGGTGAGAAAGAGTGAATCAAGAAGGTAGTGCATGCACAGCACTGTGATCTCAATGTTACCGCAGAGGACCTAATAGATCCTAGGCCACCACAACAGACGACGGTACGACGATGTGTCCCCGGCCATCGTCCACTGCCTGGCCTTCCTAGGTCTGCTCAGGGAGCCCCAAGAAGCTAAGCCTTTCGTCCCCCTGTTCCGGGATGCCTAGGTTAGGGATCTTCGATCGCCTACTGTACAAACAGATCGACCAATAACCTTCCCATGTCCGCACGTATTACGGCGGAAGGACCAATTATATGGCTCATCTCTCCCTTTCCGGAAGTGTACAGCCAATACAACGACAGGAGTCCACACATCGTTGTGTGTACCCAACCAAGCCTTCTGCCAGGGCGTCTGATGGTGACCTTTGGCTACTTATGGCTACTTATGGCGCCCCGGCAAGTCATCCTCGGGGCTTTTCACTGTATTCACTGCAGCAAGAAGTAGCAGGTATGATGCTGCTACGTATGATGTTGCATATGGCATATACATGGACGTGTTGCCATGTGATGAGCACTATGATGCGCCTTGGCCCCCCATGGCAACAAGCTTAAGCGAGGCAAGCAAGTCATATGATACGCATCAGGAATGCGTATTACCTACTTATGGATATGGGATATGTCGACAATTCATGGTAGGTAACGGCATACTCGTAGCCCTCAATATTATCTCACTCACCAGTTTCACTATTGTGACCACCAACGCCAGATTTGCTACATCTAGTATCAGGTATATGCCCAGCAAGCACTGACAGCCCTTTGTGGCATCGCGAACATATCATCGTAGCCCTCCAGTAACAACTATTCCTTGATCGTATGTAGGCGCAATGCTCAACCATGGCTCGCCAGATTCCCGTGTCCCGGTCCTGGGAAGATGTGGCTAAAAGCCAGCCCGCCCTCTTTCATTAGTTATGCTGCTGCTATGCCCGTTACCACGCTACAGCATGCGTATCAACTTGTCTTGCCTAGGCCGGCTTTGCCTGTTGCAGTAACTGGGAATCACTAATCTGATAAATCTCTGTCACTTTCTGTCTAGGGGTACTTGGGCCTCAGAGTAGGACCGAGTCTACGCACAAAGTGTACCCTTGCTGCCACCGTCTCCCTCACCTTGGGTTACTTGTTTAGGCTTGGGCTGTACGCCTCCTTTCTTCTTTTTCCACGCATACTACGTACTTGGTCCACTCTCTCGGGTGCCAGTAGGAGTGGCTCCCAGATTGCTGCCATGATCGTCTTGCACCGGCGAACCATTTGAACCATTTCCACCCGCTAGCCCCCGTTGAGTTTGTGGGGAGAAAAGGCTGCTCTTCCTCCAGTCCCCCGTACCGGGCTTCTGGCGACGACCTGCTTTTTCCCTCCTCTTGCTCAATGCGAACACCCTTGCATGATTTGCAGCTCTTATTGAGACATAGGGAATTTCAGCATCAACGTCCAACATCCCTGCGAGCGGATGGGCGTACTTAGACTGCCCAAGGTAGTATCCACTACTTCTACTATTAGTCCACGCTGGTATTGATTGGAACACCTACCTACTTAGTGTACAATACGCAAGTGTCCGACTCACCACACTGGGTAGACTCAAAGAGAGAACAAGAACAAGCAGCAGACGAAGTAACCTGGCGGCCCCCCTAGAGTCATATGCAGGCCACCTCACGCACGTACACACATACACAAATACAGACTTACACACATATATCGAGCGATTTGAGAGGGGGAATCCTAAACGAATCGACTAGGAATCAACGAAGGCTTGAGATCAACGGCCGAGAAGCAAGGTACCCGTCCATAGTTGCCCGTATGTGTATCCGTAGTCTCATCCGCCGACCTTTCAATGGATTTTTGTAACCGCAGCCCCCCATTACATTTATTACATTTCATTGCACTACAAAACTACCACAGCCATCCATCTAGACCGACTCAGGCCATGTGTCTCGTTTCTCCTCTTCTTGACTCTCTTAAGTCTTTATCCCATCCTCTATCCCCTTCGCAGATTTTCTTTCATTAGTGTCCCAGAGTGAGGAACAGCGTCTCAATTCTCTCCACGTCGTCAAGAAACGAGCGAAGGGCTTTACCCTTTTTTTTTTTTTTTTTTTTTTGGCTCTAATTTATTCTCCCTTTGAAAAGTAGAGGATCGACCTATCAAAACGAGAAGCTAACCTACACCATCACTTGCTGACAGCCTTTTGAAAACAGTCAGCCTATCTATTTATCAGTCGGCTTTTGCTGTATAGGCATACTGACCGCACGAACTCTACTTGATTACTTACCTTTATCTGGTTGCAGCTCATCCGCGTGAACCTCATGCGAACACGGTTCGGGCTGCCTGCATGCAAGAGAACGATTGCTCCACAACTAGGCGAAATCCGCATCTTGTCTATTAGTCGCCTCTAATTTCATGTAAGATATGACCTCCTGCTTTTGTGTCTTTGCGCCAGCACTTTTATCATGTGTCGTCTCACGCCCCAGATCTGATTGCGTTAAAAGCGCTGCCAGGCTCGATTTGCTTCTTCAGCGTTCTTATTAGACACAGGCTTCTCCCTTGAACGAACCATCGAACAAATTCGAGAGAAGGAAACTTCTTGAATAAACTGACACACCATACACACTAGAGTCGCGCTTATGAGTTGCTCTTTGAGGACGGGAAGATAAGTGTTAAACGCTCCCAACTTTCCGAGACCCCGATTCAGAATCAGTTTGTCAACTGCCCGTTGAGCCAATGAGCAACGTTTGAACCGCCAACTCCCCCCTGTGGACTTACCTATCAAAGAGTCCGGGACTGATGAGAAAAGGAAGGCCACTCCCCATTAGTCTGCCCAAACCAGCCGTAGAACCAGTCTACAGTCTCTGATCAATCGCACCTGGATCTACAACAGCCTTGTTTTTGTCTTTTGCGGGCCGACAACCACCCCCCCCCCCCCCAATAACATACGGGAAACATACCATCAACCTCGCAAGGGCATTTGTGTTTCACTCTTCCCGCTCCCCAGAGAAGGGGGAAACTAGTAACGTAAAAAAGCAACCAGCAGATCGTCCGTTAGACTCGACTATTTCTGAGACAAACTGGCCAAGAAAGGTAGAGCGACAATCCCCATCAGCACGCCAGAATCCATCCAAAATTTCCCCCTCATTCTTCACACGCGCCTCCTTCTCTGCCCACAGACGCACATCTATACTTGTCCGCCCTTCAGTCGACTCACTTAGGAATTCTTCAACTGGTTCACACTGCGTAGTTTGACCATTGAGTTTTCTGTATTCACAATCGCTGCCGAAACAAAGTGTTGGTTGTTTTCACTCTATTTGGAACAAGCCTCAACCCTCATATCTCAGCGCTGCCTGTAATAGACATATCTTGATGTCTGCTGTCAAGTTTAACTACCCAACCTACAAGCTGTTCGAGGTGAGTCAACAAACACTCTTTTCGCGGGCTGGCCCTGGTGTCTCTTAGATATGGGACAGCTAGCTGACAAACCTCCCTCTTAAGCCTCAGTATCATCCACAGAGGCCGATAATTATTGACGCGGACGCCATCGAGTCCCCCGAGACCGTCACGCTTCGATACGAAGAGGAAGCCGCTGCAAGAGCGAACGGGGGAGACCTTCGTGGGGACTCCCCGCCGGGTCTCCTTGGTATAGACGCCTGTCCAAAGACGGAACCGCCCCCAATGCACTGTAAGTCGTATCTATGCGAAATCTGTTTCGGCGAAGCCCTCCAGCTACATCATCCGGCGCATGGTGCGGGAGACGAACTGTGTTGGTAGAGGGGGACTGGGTGGGCGTGGTTGAGGAAGAAGCTGGCAGCGCTCTTCTACCTAGAGCGTCAAGCTTGGTAGGATTTTGACGTGTTCGCTGACTAGAATGTTGTAACAGCATTTGATTCTTCAAGACCGTACCAAGACACTCAGTATCAATACTCGGGACAGGCCTTTGCGGCGCAGCAGACAGAGAATGCAGCAGCGGCAGCAGCACAACTCAACCATTTGGCTTTCGCCGCCAACAGCTCAGCAAGCCAATACATGTCACCGGTTGTGCCGACACTGACCTCATATCAGCCTACGAGCGGTGTTTTTGGCACCAAGGTCGTTCTCAAGATTTCGGCGACGTACGACTTGATAGCAGTTACAAGCCACTTCTTCCTCGCCTTCGGGTCGCACAAGAGCCCAGCGCATGCGATCCGCGATGCCAACGACAGCAGTGGGCTTGGGTATGTTGTCAGCGGAGACGCACCACAACTAGAAGACACGAGGGTACTCAGCGGCAACGTGCCTATATCACTCTTAATCGAGAGCCCAGACGGCCAGACGTTGGCCAACATCGACGTTGGCACGTTTACCTATGACACACAGGCTGTGGGTGCAGAGGGGTCCCATGAAAGTGGCACGAGGCGACCCTCCATCAAGTCACATGCCGACGAAGCCCAGCAACAGCACGAGCAGCAACAGCAGCAACATGAACGTACAAATTCTCCCAAAATCGAACCTCAACCAGAACCTGATCATCTCAACGACGCCGCCAGCGCTGCTACAAATACATACCCGTATGCTCCGGCGACACACTCCAGCTATGACGCCACAGGATATCCAAACAACCCAAGCAACACCAGCATGCTGTCCACATACCACCGCCCTTCCTACGGGGCCGACTACCCTCGTCCGCCGTCATTGCTCAAAACGCCTTCTTGGGTTACTCAGTACGGGCCGCCCCTAACGTCGCCTCGCAGTCCGCCCAGCATTCACCATGCCACCGTCCAACGTCCGAGCGTGACGGCATTGCCCATACCAACGGCGAGCGCGCCGCAACTCATCAGGACGAGCACACTCCAAGCAACAACCTCTTCATCAGGAGCGTCCATTAACCCTTACGCTATCTACACGACCAAGGCGGTGCTCAAAATCAACGGCGACCTGGAGTCGATGGCCAGCGGCTGGACGGCCGAAGAGTGCGAAAACGGTCGAAGGCTCGTGCTGTTCAGCAAGAAGCAGCAAGGTTCGACGCTTTCAACAACGTTTAAGCCCGTGTCCATCAGCGAGCGGCCGCCCAACAGTATCTGCATTAGCTGTATCTACTGGAACGAGAAGCGCGAGTGCTTCGTCACGAGCGTCGACACTATCTCACTTCTCGAGCAGCTCGTCGTGGCGCCGAACAGGTTTAGCATTGAGGAGAAGAACCGCATCCGCCGTAACCTTGAGGGGTTCAAGCCGTTGACGGTCAGCAAGGCGAAACCAGAAAGCGAGGAGTTCTTCAAGACTATCATGGGCTTCCCGAATCCTAAGCCTAGAAATATTGAGAAGGACGTCAAGGTGTTCCCCTGGAAGATACTGGGGCCAGCACTGAAGAAGATCATTTCGAAATATGTAAGTCGTGATATCTGAGATCATCTCTTTGATTCCTCACCTATTTTCATTTGCGCGTGTTTCTGTGATATTGACGGATTTGCGATTTTTCTTCATCATTCAATCCCAGTCTTAGAGATGGCTCCTTTTATGATCGAACTGGGGCTCTCTGGTCTTCTTTTCTCTTCCCCTTCTCTGCAACTACACCTTTTTCTTGTCTGTACTATAGCTGAGCTAACACTCATACGACACTTAGTCCGCGTCTCCCTCATCTTCCTCCGGCCTTCATCACCCGGCACCTTCGTTCCACCCATCATCAGGGCCATCCGCTCTCCTCACCCCCGTAAGCAGCACATCCCCAGGACTCTATGGGCCCCAAACCCCGACGATCGCAGACACAAGCTACTCGCATCACCACGACTCCCAAACAATGGCCTCCCCACGCTCGCTCTCGGGTGTGCCACCACCGCCTAGCTGGGCCCCTTACACGGGACGCACGCTGTCTCCGAGCCTCAAGTCGCACTCGCCGCAAGGCATCCGCATCCCCAGCCTACCATCTTACGCAAACCATCACCACTCGTCGGCGCACCACGGCTACGGCATCGCGTCGTCCCGCTGGGATACCAACGGTTACGGCGAAGCGCCGTCGACGCCTGCCTATGCAAGCCACCACCACTCTAGTCATGTGTACGGCACCAGCGCTGCATACGGCGCCAGCGCGCACCACCGCGACTAAAGCGTGGGTGTGGGCGAGTGATATGGCCCCTGCTATCGCGCACGACAAGCGCGCGCCGGCCTTGGAAATGTGCTGCTGCTCTGCTTGCGCAACTTTTTCCCATGTGAGAGGTTGGCAAGTGTGGTTTCATTTGCAGGTGACGGATGATGGATAAAATGGATGTTACCTACCCTTTTATGACGATTCCAACCCTGGCATTATACTCACCTGCCCCCCTGGTCCATCTTCCTTGGCAAGGAAGAATGCATGTCTTGCTTGCCTTGCCTTGCCTTGCCTTGCCTTGCCCTCTCGCCTTGTCTATACACCCTGATTGACCCCTGTATCTATCTACCGTGTTTTCTTTACCTACCTCACGCGCGCTGCTCTCTTCCATGGTAGCAGCAGCAGCAACATCACCACCATATGTGTGCGCCAACTCATTTACGTACACTTACCTGCTCATGACTTGCTCCCCGTGAGTGCGACGACAAGCACATGAGGGTAGCTGTCGTGACTAACCTACCTTACTTGCGGCAAGAAAAGAATTGCGTGTGGGTGGGGGAGTTCACTTAAGCTACCTTACCCTGGAGTGTCAGCTGGGCGATGCCGAACCAATGAAGATGCATCGCGCGCCTCCAATACGCCTCAGAGACCGTTTTCCCCCCCTAAACCATCTTCGGCCTTACCCATGCAACCATACCCATATATCCAATAACGACATATTGCACGAGGACACACTTGGACACATGATTCAAACCCCGCGACGACGGTTGGGTCGAATTCAATCTATCCGTGACAGAACTTGGTGACGAAGTATATGTATACGCCACGTTCTCAACCTCGTGTTCCAAGAGAAAGTCCTGCTTACTCTGAAGTTCGGATGAGGCGGCGTGATCCAATCATCTCATCCGGAGTGGAAAACGTCACAGTGATAATTACCTTCATTCAACCCACACGTATCATCACATGGACTGACTACCTACCTACCTACCTACCGTTCGCCCAGCAGCTATATCCTGCTCTAATCATTTCTCACGTGTCCTGTCCGTCCACTCACTCGGCAATACTATCGCCATTACCACCACCATGGCCGACAGACTCCTTACTGACTGACTTACTTGGCAATAATAATATGAACTGCGACCCGCCATGCGATCCAGATAAACTACGTTTTTTCAAAAAAAACTCGCGAACGAGGCAGAACTCGGTATTAGCTGAGAAGTATCTAACACTGGCTACTTAGCTGCTTTGCCTCCGCGTTCACTGAACTTAACCGGTCCACCTGAAAGATGTTTCAAATCGATTATCAAATCCAGTGCCCTTCCTTCATTCTGGGGGCTTCGGTCCTCAAATTCGGTCCTTTTTTCATTTTCTTTTCGTGTTTGGTCTAGGCGTTTGTTTTTCATTCCGTACTGCTCTTGGCTTTTATCGCAATGCAATGCAATCGCACGTTTTTTCTTGCTTTTCCCAAATCTAATTAACTACATTCTCACTCCTTGGACTTCCTTTTTGTTTTATTTAAACATGTAACTGTAAACCAACTTGTCTCTCCCTTCTTTTTCCTTACTTTGTGGTTGTTCTCTTTCTGTATGGAAGGCGCCGGGATGGTGGTGAACGGCTTGGCTGGGTGGTGGTACGGCGGGTATGGCGTAGGTGTACTGTACTTTGCCTTTTTTTCAACAATATCTGGGAAATAGATGGGGTAGAGGAGTAGAGAGGGGTTGGATTTGTATGAGGGAGGAATTGGATGGTTGGTTTTTGGAACGGTTTTGGATAGGTTTGGTTTGGATTGGATGGGCTTGGCTTGGCTTGGTTTGAGAAAGTGAAATGAAAGAAAGAATTTAGATGAAATGAACTTTTTATTTTTGAAAATACTTGAATTCTGTAGCTCTGTCATATGAAGCTGCGTTAAATATTTGAAGCTAAAGTGTTTACATCGACACCAGAAACGTCCTGTCCTTGTTTGACAGGGACTGAACATACTCGTGATAGAAAACAGCACAACATCAAATATCCAGTCGTACTCCCTGCGAACCATACTCTATCAAAACAATAACATTATCACGCACACAATATACATCACTCTATTCACTATCTATCTCAACCCATCCATCAAATCCTTCAACACCAGCCACCTCTCATCCCCCTCCCACGCCTCCTTCGCCTTCCCCAGCACGCTCCGCACAGCACTCCTCGTCTTCCCCCTCCATCGATCCCCAATCCCTTCAATCCTAGCTCCGTAATTCTCGTACGCGGCGACGAGGTCCGCCGTCCGCTGCACGACGACATCCCACTTCTCCGCATCCGTCAACCAACTCGCTTCTTGACTCCCGCCGCTTGACGCAGATAGCGTGCTTCCGACGCTGCCGGGGTTAATCGCAGCGCGCCACGACTTTTCCGCGGCATCCAGCGCGCCGCCGTAATCCCTCTTCCACGCCCGCAGGCGGGAGACTAGGTCCCAGGCTGTAGAGCTAGAAGTGATAAGGGGCACGATCTCCGTCTCGAAAAGAGACAGCACTTTGTGCTCTAGCGAGCCCCGTGGCGGATCGTGTATTCCACTTTCACTACTATCACTATTATTTGTAGCACGAACGGGGGCAGGGGTCTTCGTGACCTCGCGGACCAAAAGCGCGAGAATCTCGGGATCGAGCGCGCTCTCCGTCTGCCTGATGCGAACCACGTTCTTCACGCCGAGGAGGACGTCGTCGAGGGCCGGGACGGGCTTCAGGCTCGCCGCGAGCGTGATCACGTTGTCCCAGATCCGCCAGTTGGAATTCGCGATCGTGGCGCCGCGCTTGAAGGCTGAGAGCGAGTCTTGCAGGAGCTGCGATGCGGAACGCCCGAGCTCCGCCGCGCGTTGAGTGCTGGGCATGTTGGCGCTGCTGTCGTCGTTTTCCTCGTCGTCGTCGGCATCTGTCTTCGCCTTTCGCGCTTTCGCCTCGGCGAGCACTTCGCGATACCAGCTAAGATACGCCGTGCCAAGATTACTCCATGTCCGAGCATCTTCGCCCCCTTCCTTCCCATTGGCCGTTGCGATGCCTCGCTGGAAGGCTTCGGCCGCGTCAGGGAAATGACCCATGCGAAGCTCGATGTCGCCTAGTCGGTTCCATAGCTCTGGGCTCAATCTATTCACGCCGACGGCTTGCTGGTAGGCCTGGCGCGCTTTATCCCACTCCTTGTTCTGCAGATAAAACTCACCCAATGATTTCTGGGCCCGTGCGAAGCGCCGGTTCGAGATCTCCCAGGCCCGTGTGTAATGGCTCGCGTCGTTTTCCATGTCGCCCAAGATACAGAAGAGGCGGGGCGCGTTGGGCGGGGGCGGCGATCGTTCCGGCCCGTGAAAATCGCCGGGCTTGATGGAATCGAGGTCGATCTTGTCCTCATCGTCAACACCGTCCGATGAGTCTGTCGATCGTTTGAATAACTGCCATCGTACAATGGCGCGAGCTTTCTCCTCTCCTCCTGCACCACGACCAGATCCATCGTCTGAGGCGCCGGCGGTAGCAAGACAGAGGGCAACCTCCGGCCAGAGTCTTAGGCGCTTGAATATTTCTAATGCGGAAACGAGCGACCCAACTGAAGTCCAGGCATACGCAAGCTCCGACTCTAAATGCCACCGTGGTGGTGATGCCAAGGCATTTACATACCGAAGTCGTTCTTCCGGTGTCGCCGATTCGGATGGTTTGGGGGCTGGTAGGAATGACGTTGGTTTCTTGTTGTTTACATGAGTTGCGGGTTCGCCATCAGAGGTAACTACTATTCCGGGAACATCAAGAGCGGAATCTTGTTGTTGTGCTGTTGTTGACGGGGAGTTATCTTGAGTGTCGGCGATGACTTGGTCTGCCACAGCTTGCATCTGCAATACACCCCTCTCAACTGTGCGACTCCTGTTCAGTTCGATACGTGATCTAACAAGGAGAGCTTGGGTATATATCTGCCAATTAACAGATTCGTCATTGATGACCCTCACTGCATATGGAAGTATTTCCTCTAATGTAAGGGTGTCAGATGGAGAGAATGTATCCTTGAGAGTGGCCTCGGTAAGTAGAATTATCTGGTCTACTGGATGCAGTTTCGGCTGATCATCTGGTTTGATTTTCTGTAGTTCAATAGGCAGGGAAGAACCCGATTGAGAAAGCTCATCATTGTTAAATTGAATCTTCTCTAACAAAGTATCGTCATTCAATAGGAGAGCCGATGGGGCTGTTTCTTTCTCTCCCCGCTCCTTGGTAGATTCGGATGACAATTGTAGACTTTTTGCGAGAACCACGAGTTGACTGAAACTGTTCTCTTGAAAGCGTGTGCGCTTACCCAGTGCGCCAGAGAGGGCATAAATGAAACCACGAAGTCTCGTGGCATCTTCTAGCGCCTGAAGAGCCTTAGTATCGTTCCCAAGTAAGATGTGACAGTTGGCTTCTTCTAGTCTGAATAAGATCTGAGATTCAGAGGGCCACTGGAAATCTTGGATGGTTTCACTTGTAGCACCGGACCCGAATAGGGCGGTTTCAGCGTCAGTCAGACTTGCCTGGATCAACTCTTGCAGGGTAGCGACGTCAGTCCAGCGACCGCTCTTGGTGTATAAGGAGCCAGGTCCCAGCGACGGCTGTGTGAGTAGCTTGTAATGCCACAGGTTAACCCTCAACCTCGACCAAGCAAGATGCTTTGCTAAGGGAATGGAGTGAGCGCTAGGCAAGACGCCTCCCGTAGCTAGCAGGAAGCGCGCCAAGCAGAAAAGCTCGATATAAGGAATATGCGGGTATGGAGAGACACCATCAGTATCAAGGGAACGCTGACACCGAAAACGGAGGTTCTCTATTGTAGTTTGGGGACTCGCAGTATTCTCAACAACTTTAGGCCCATCTGTAGAATGCTCGGAATTCGTTGAAGCTGTAAAGTGTTCCAGAAAGACGGCCTCGAACGAATGCGCATCAGTGAGAACGGGGCCGGTGACGTTGGCCTGCAAAAAGGCAGCTAGAGATGCAAATGCTAGTTTGAGGCCTGCCTTGGCCAGCTCTAACATCGTAGCTGAGGGCGAGGCTATGAAATCCTGGCTGTCGGGCGGCACAGGCTCGGGATGGATAGTATAGCGGGCGAAACGCCCGACCAGTTCTCTCGATAGTGGCTCTGCTAATATCTGACTGAATGTGCTTTCAGCGGCGGTCTTTTCGATGGATAGAAGTGTATGAGGGCACAGTATGGTAGCCCAGGGCTCCTTGTCCGTCGAGCTCACGGCATCACCCGTAGATATAGACGACATCTTGAGTCAACATAGACAGACGTCTTATTTCTGCCTTTTATGTTGTGTTCCTTCACTTGTAAAATAACATTCAAATATTCCCCATGTGCATCAATAAGAGAGATTGACCTTTCTTTTCCGGTGGTCTGCTTGGAAGGTAGTGACTTGGTGAATTTTGGTGAGCTAACCTAGGAAGATAGCACCAAATATCGCAAAGTGTACGCTGGTACGTGGTTAAGATAGCTCTGGCTAAGGATTTTCTTTTAACTTAGCAAAGCACATCCGAAACTGAGAATTGATTTGATTACAGTAAACTAGAATATACTAGAACAGATCTCTATATATACTACCTACCTACTACTGCTTGCGGTGTTCTTGCTGGTAGGATAACAGGAAGAAGAAAAAAAAAAAAAACGCGACATAGTGGGGGAGGGGCAGTCGAGGGGCAAATGGAGGGGCAGTGCACTGCACGCTGTACATGAGCTGCCAGGCGCACACAGCTGGCGCACCAGGCTCGTAAAGTACCTGCATGCCTCCACATTAAGCCGCCATCTAATCTAATACCTAGCTCAACCCTTGCTAGGTAACCGCCAATGTAGGGTAGGTAATTATATAAAGCGTGTGTTCACGTAGGATTATTTATACTAGTCCACCGTGTATTAAGCATGGTAGATTGCATTCTATTGCTGATAGTCAGCCTGAATCTGTTACCTTATCACTCAGACAGGAGGTAGCATTGCAATGTGCTCAGCAAATTCATTCAGCCTAGTCGATACAATTCGCTCAACAAGGCATCTTCGCTAGCGCTCAGCAACTACAGTCAGCTTCTTTCTTCCTCGTCCAACTTCAGATACAGCCGTGTACTATGTACAAGGCTGATGCGATGCAGCATGCTTGACAAGTTTCTACACTCATGGGTAACACTGTCGTATCACATCACCCGGCTTGCCGTACATCAAGTATCGCCGTCCGGCAGTAGACATCAGTAGACATCAGTAGACGGACATTCCTCTCAACCACCACCACCTACTTTTTGCTCCTAAATCACCCCCCTTTATTTCTTGCCCTTCTTGCGAGACGGGACTACCTTGAAGCCTGCACCTTGAATCGAGCTTGTGTCGCTGGTGTTGTCCTTGTGGCTGCTCTTCTTGGCCACCTCGTTCCACCCACCCCCACTGGCGGACTGAGCATCCGTCGACGGGCTGTTGACTGGCTGCTTCTCCACGATGCCCTTCTCTGCGAGCTTCTTGCGTCGGATAAACTCCTGCGCAAAATGGCGCCCGTCCATGGTCTTCGAGTTGGCGTAGATGGCGTCTGAGATGATCTCAGGCACCAACGGGAAAGCCACCAGAGTCGATGCGAATGTATCAACTGCGACGACTTCGTTTAGTACAAGTATTATCAAACAATCATGTAAACGATGGGCTGGGTGGAGTTGGGGAAGGCCCGTCACGAGTCGGTCTACTTACTGTCCGTAACACCGGTAATGCCTCGAGATAGTTGGCTATTGAGCCACTTGTTGAACTCATCCACAGCCTCCGTTCGACCACTGCCTGCTGTTGATGCCGTGTTTTTTACCGTCGGACGAGGCGAAGGGGCCGGGGCGCTAGTCGCGGGCTTGAGCCCGGCTGAACTGGCTGAGCGACCCTGTGAGGCGGGGCCGGTAGGGGGCGCTTTGACCTTGCCGCCTGCCCCAACTGTGGCCCAACCGGAGCCGACTGGTGCTGGAGATGCTTGATTACCACTGGGCGCACCCGGGACGCTTGGTGCACCAGTCTTGCTGGCAAGATCGGCGTAGCGTTTACCCCCTGATGCCGTTAGTCCACTTTGTGCTGCGAGATCCCGAGCCTTCTGCTTCCGCGCCTCCTCCTCGCGCTGGATATCTGCCAGTGTCTTTTTCTTGTCAGATGAGGCGCTTGGTGTAGATGAGCTCGGCACCGTTCCTTTCCCGACCGTGGGTTTGATCCAAGGGCTGCTTACTGGCCCGGCGCTGACTGGAGATGCAGTGCCCCAAGTGCTTGAGGTCGGGAGACCAGGTGCCACTGCTGCTGCCTTCTCACGCTCACGCGCTGCTTCCTGCTCGAGCATGACGCGTCGTGCTAGAGCTGCAGCCTCTTCTGCCTTGGCGGCCTTCAGAGCCTCGGCTTGCTGTATTTCCTTGAGGCTTGGACCTTTGTGTGATTCTACACCACCGTCTTTCGCCCACGGGGCGAGAGGAGGAATCTGTGTAGATGTCGCCGAACTAACATCCGGAGTACCAGATCGAGAACTAGTGGCATATTGCTCTGGCAGGTTGGAGCGAACGCGCTGAGGAGCAGGTGCGGGAAGTGGAGTGCCCGAGGGCGGTGGTGGGAACGGCATAGGCAACCCGGTTAGTTTTGCTGCCGCTGCCGCAGCTTGAGCCTGCTGATACTCCTTGAACTCTTTGCTTACCGTCGCGGGCTCTTTCTTGTGGGCTTGTCGCACAGTGTCTAGCTCGCTGGGTCGCTCGGATGTGAATGAGGGGTCAGAAGCCTCAGCTTGTCTGGCGGCCCGAGACACTGTTTCATCTCCGGCTTGTTGAGAGCCTTGTGTAAAATTCTGCTCCAGGGTCTCCGCATCGTGTTGTGCGCGAAGTTGTTTGAATTCTTGCAGCCTGTCGCGGAATCCTTCATGGTCGTCGGTAAGCTCGCTGGCTTCGGGCAGTTGAGTCTGATTACCAGATTCGGGTGAAGTTACGTCAATGGATTGTTGAGGGAGGTTCCCGCCTAACGCTCCCGTGTTGTGCATGCTAGCCAGCACCTGGCGCTCGGCACCGGTCAATTCATCCTCGCGAAAAACATCGGGGAGGGGACCAGAGTTACCGTGCGCGGCGGGTTGACGTGTGGCTAGCGAATCGAAAAAAGAATTCCCTGTAGCGATTGGGCCGATGGGAGCCTGGGGAGGTGCCGTGATGGGGGATGTTATACTTCCAAAGCTCGGCTGGCTGTGTAGACTATGGGCACTGGAATGGTGGTTCAGGCCAGGTACGCCTTGCATCGGCATCCGACCCATTGCCTGCTGGCTAGAGAAAAATTCGCGCTGGCGCGCTACAAGATACTGCTCTTCCTGTTTGCGCCTCTCTAGATTATTCTGCTCCTCGGCGGTCAAGGTTCTTCCAAAACTAGGAAAGGCGGCCAAGAGAGGAGGCTGGATTACACCGCTAGCATTGGGGGAGAATGGACCGCCTTGTGCTGGAGGTCCATGAGGGATGCCAATCTGGGGGACCAAGAATGGCTCACGGGAGTTCCCGATGCGCCTGATCAGTTGACCCAGTGGCTCAAACTCCACGTCTTCCAATTTCTTGACTCTCAAGTCCGGCGTGAAGAAATTGGCTTTATACCAGTCGTTCATCTCCAAACCAGTGAATGGACCTTGGACACTGCCCTGAGGATCAAGATACGTCCAGCGCATGCGATCTGGCATAACCATGGTGCGCGCTTGAGCGGAGGGTGGTTCAGAAGACTGCATGGCTGCATAGGCAGGAGTGCTGCTCGTAGCGGTAAACGATTGGCCTGGGGCAGCGGAAATGCCACCATGAAGCATGGGATCTGTAGCTGCTGGTGTACGACTCGCCTCAGCATGAGAGGCGAACATATTCGCAAAAACCCCTCTGCCAGATCTCATAGGACTCTCCATTTCCCTCCCATGGTCGTTCAGGGGGTTGCGTCCAATTGCACCGAGGGGATTGGGCTGGCGGATATCAGGCATCGAATCTCCCAAATTTTCATTTTCATGTGACTGCATCTGCGCTTGCATGGCCGCCGGGAATAAAGAGCCCAGCTTGCTGCCACGGCTCAAAGACCCGGTCCCACTAAGACTTCCTGTTGTTGCAGGACCGAACACACCTCCAAGATTACCGAGTCCGGGTGATTGCATGTCGCCCATTTGGCCGAATAGGGAGCCACCAAACCCGCCGAACGGGGCTCTCTCCCGGTCTGGGGTACCGGAGGATGGCCACCCAGAGAGATTGCCCAAAGGATAGGCCTTGGCGCTGACACTAGACGTCTGGCTTCGATCACTTCCATCTACGGCGCTATGAGGGAACGACCGTAGCACCCCACCACCATAATTCAGGCCATGGTCGACACCAAGTCCCTGGGACTTATCCAAAATCTCATCATGGTCACCGCGGTCTCCCGGGGGACTTCGAAAAGGATTCGTTTCTGACGGACTTAATGGAGTCGGGTCATGGTCGCCATGACCACCAAGGTTCAGTCCAGACATACCGAAATCACTAGCGGATCCTTTGATCGGTGTATCATACGAGTGCAAGTGACGTTGAGGCTGAGGCACCGCTGGAGGGCTCGTGTCTTGAGCGCCGCCCAACACAGCACTTCCAGAGAGGCCCTCGTCGCCAAATGGATCCGTATCAGTCCGTGGGCGGGGGCGCCATGTCCGACTTGAATCGGCAGCGGTGGGGCCATCGCCCAATTTGTTAGATGAGTTTTCTGATGTGTCTCTTGGAATCAAATGAGCCAAACGACTCTCACCTCGTGTAGTTCCAGGACGTTTCTCCCCGATGGTGGAGCCAGGCAGTGCAAAGTTCCCAAAACTGCCCAACCCGGATGATCCGCCCGACGGGGTCGTTTGCCACGGAGAAGAAGCACCAAATGGTGTCGTACTAGTATTTGTACTGGTACGAATGAGACCACCAAATGGCATGGACTTGGTTGTAGTATCCCTCGTCCCCAGGTCCTCTTCGGGTTCCTCCCACATTGATGAATCCTTGGCATCGGTATTCTTTCGATCCAACCAAAGTGAACCATTGTCTCGCGAAGGGCGATTCGCGGAGATGGGTGAGTTTAAACCACCGGCCCCAGAAAACGGATTGGTGTCTCCTGTTTCACGACGCCGTGTACCTGGACGGGAGGTATTCGAAGCTGAAGGCAACCCGAAGCTGCTAGAGGTACCCTGGGACAGAGAAGTCTTCCGACCATTCATGCCTCCCCCCGGATGGACCCCTTCCTTGTTCTGGGCCGCCGGGGGCTTCATGGTGGAGTTGACGTCCAAGAAGGCCTAGCGTCACACGAATATCAGTCTTTCGCGTCTAGCAGACAATGTTGTCAATTTGATGATAGAAGTCAGACCTACATCTTTTTCCTCACTTGTCATGTCTTGCAAGCCTATAGCCTTTGTAGAGCCACTCGCATCCCAGCAAATGTCGGGCTCTTGAGGAAGCACGTGCGAGTCATTGGATTTGCCCCATCCGCGAGTCGATACGCCATTAGCGTGACCCGGACTCCAGCCGGACACAAAAATAGCGGAAACATCAGGCTGCTGTGAGCGCAAATCCTGTTGCACATGGCTGAACATGGATAGCATATCCTCGCGGGAATACCTCCTCGGCGCAGCGTCTTCGACGACTGTAGAACCAACGGGCATAGCTGCGAGAACGGAAGGGTCGTCTGAAACAGACACGGGTTCTGACGAGTTTGATTGGTTCAGGGCTTGGCTTGAAGGCGTCGTAGATGTGCGGCGGAAAGTCATGGTGCCATTCATGGTGCGTGCCGGGCGAGACCTGCATAGTCAATTGAATTAGCGATAGTTAGCAAGTTTTTGGTAGATATATTGAGAGATGTGTTAGAGTAGGTGCATGTGCCTGGGGTAGCTACGATGCGACCATTCGAGGTAAGAGTGACAACGAGTAAAGTAAAGTGCAGAGGACAGAGCGTTGTCGGCCAGGAAGAGTTTAACCATGAATCGATCGAGGTTTGTCTCGACAATCACGATATGCCCAAAAGGCACTCTTGGCAACCAGGCCCTGAACGACATCAAGTAAAAAAGCCCAGGGAAGTGAGATGCAGATGAGGGGCCATAGGCTAGACGGCACAATAATTGTGCAAAAGTGAACAAGTCGAGGGCAAGGGCACATACCACTCTCCGCTTGCATTCCCACGTCCGTCACCTCTGCTGCCGGATCTTGCGTCGCGATTGGAATTTTGTCCGGCTGCGGCCGACGCGAAGGTGGAAGGGAGATTTGTAGCCATCTTGATCTTGAAAATGAGGCTGTCTTGCTATAGTACAGCAGTACCAGGAAACACACGCACGTTGATTTGGGCGGATTCCTCTTCTGTTGCTTGCAGCTCCAGAAATGGCCAGCAGCAATGAGAGAAGACTTGGCAACTGGAGGCAAAGGCGGTAGGTAGAGAAAGGTACGTCTCGTCGTAATTATCGTTGTCGTCGTCGTCGTCGTCGGTGGACCAGATGGAGGGAGGGAGATTGGCCGATCACGGTCGCGTTCTCCTTCTTTCGAAGTGTTTTTTGTTTCTTTTTCTTACGCGGCCAATAACGCGGACTGGATGGAGTGCAAGAGCAGGCGAATGCTGGAAGCTATTGCTGATGATGCTATCGCTATCGCTATCGCTATTGCTATCAACAGAATGATGCTGAAACGATTGAGCAGAGTGGTGGGCTGTTCGCTGTTCGCACAAGAATAGTGACTGACGATGGGGATGGCGATGAAGCACAGCTGTGAAATGCTGGGGATGGTCGTATCGGATGGGGGACGGTATAAGGTTTACTGCGGCGATGGTGGTTGGCTGGGAATCGTACGTCGAGTCGAGTCGTGGTGTTGGAGCAACTTTATCGAAAAAGTTGTATTTTTTTCCTGAATCATTCGAATTTGACCCAGAGGTACCTCGGAGTGGGCTAGTGCCAGCCAGGTACTTTGCTTGACCCATTGGAAAGGTCTGCCCAAGGCAACTGGAGTGAGGCGACAGTGCGCTGGGATTTTACCGGCCCAAGGCGCCACAGCGCTCTGACTGCCTACCTGTAAGTACCTGGAGAGGTACCTAGCTCCAGCACAGCTCAGCACAGTTCAGCAGGTAAGGTAGGTACCTGCCGAGCCTGCCACGAAGAAGAGGTACATATCCATAGGTAAACCCTAGAGCCCAGCAACGTGGGGGGCACGAGCCACAGCTCGCCGGCTTGGTACCGACTTGGCGCGAGCTGTATTTATTGACGACTTGGAACAGAATAATAATTATATGTATACTTACCTACATAGATGGGCAGGTATTTATATCAATGAAGCAAGAAATTAGCAGATAATTAATTGTCTACATCTTTAAGTGTATATATGTATATATCAAGATCGGATGGTACTGTACCTACCTAAGGTTCAACCTAAAGAGTGCAGGCGTTCGTCAGTGTTCCATCACATGATATCGGAAGTAGGTAGGTACCTGATCTCAAGCACGCACAGCCACAGGAAACCTAAAGCGTGCCACTAGATCAAATAGGTACCTATGAAACTGGCGAGGCGGTGCAAGGAAAAACTGAGAGATTTCTACACCTCTGTATCCAGTGAGAGTCTCTCACTTTTTTCTTTCACCGCCTCGACTGGTACGTGGACAGCTAGATACCTACATATTATGATGTATTGTGGGCTGTAGAGTAGAAGAATTCTTGGCTGGAAACACATAACTTTCCTACATTGATATGTTCTCATTTACCACAGATCATGGAAGCTGGAAGACGAGGAGTTTTCCAGCTGAATGTGAAAAGAAGTCATGTTCTCGAGGTCGTGATAGAGAGTGGACGGCCATAGCCAAAATATGGTTTATTGAATAACTCGCCAGCGAGTGCTATAGCCAGCTAAATAAGTGAAGGTTGTAGGTGGGAAGTTCAGTGGTCAATGCACCTAACCAGTACAGTATCCTTATATCAGTACCTATAGGTAAGGGATGCTTTGAAGCCAAGTTGAAGAAAGACCACCTCACCTCTACGGTACATACCTGCTACACTTGGACACGCAAGTTGTACACGAAAGGTCAAGTTGTATGTTTATTAATGGTTCATGAATTAATGAAAATTTCTAAATTAGCCTGCTTATATATAAAATCAAATAAAGACACCTGTATCTCCTATCCTGACCAGTGAACAGAGAGAGGGTTGGGTCAAAACAAGTACATAGCATAGGTAGGTAAATAGCCTCAACTCCCCTCTCAAAAGTTCCATTGTCGACACCAGTGTCTCATCAACTCCGTCGTCACGGGTCTCGCCTCGCGCATCGAGGGGCTCCGCAGCGTCGTACGCGCCATGTCGAAGACAACGGGCTTCACTCCCTCGGCCGCCATCCCGCGGTACGAATCCAACAGCTTGACGCCGGGGTTCTTGTCTAGCGCCTGCATGTCTCCCGTCTGGCTTTCATCCAATCTCTCAACCCACTCGCGGAAACTCACGAGCTCCTTGATCCGCTCCGTGCCGTAGAATTCTTGCACCGCGGGCGCTAGCGCCGTCCACGTCGTCGCCGAAGGGTTCACGCCGTGGTAGTAGCCGGCAATCTCATCTGCGCCGACGTCCTGCGATACCCCAGAGACGTCGAGCACGAGCCCCGCGATGCTCTCCACCGGCGTCCAGTCCACGCGCTCGAAACTCCCCAGGTCCGACGGCAGCGCCCCGAGGTACAGACTGCTCGCGATGATCGACGGCAGCCACTCCTGCTTGTTCCAGAACCCCTTCTCGGCCTGCGGCCCCGCGATCTGGCCTACGCGGATCATGGCCGCCGGGAAGTCGCCCGCCTGCGCCACGTCCTCGAGGATCAGACTGCCCACCATCTTGCTGCGTCCGTAGCCGGCCGCAGGCAGCGCGAGGTCTTCGAGGCGCTTCTCGGGGAGTTTCCCGGCGCTCGTGTCCCACCGTTCGCCCGTGCCGATCGACGAGATGAAGACCACGGCCACGCGCTTCGCCGCCTGCGCCGCGAAGTCGCCGATGTTGCGGACGCTCCGGATGTGCGGCTCGAAGGATTGCACCGGGATGTTGAAGTTGACGGGCCACGCGTTGTGGATGAACCGGTCTGCCGTTGCGAGTAGCTCGTTGAATGCGTCGCGCGGAAGTCCGAAGTCGGATCGGGACATGTCGGCGTGTAAGAATGTGCACTTTGAGTCGTCCGTGGATAGTCCGCGTTGCTTCATTGCCTGCGCCTGCCGCTCCTTGCCGCCATCCTGTGACCGGTTGAGGCAGATGATCCTCTTCACTCGGGGGCTTCTAATCATCTGATCAAGCATGTACGACCCCAACATGCCTGTAGAGCCCGTCAGGACTACTACCTGCCCATCGTCTGAGGGGTTTGGACGACCCGGCTTCGCCTTTGGTAGGTCTTTTGTGTATTTCTGCCACAACGCGTTCATATCGTCGATTTCGTGCTCCTCCTCCGCTACGGCAGTGGGCACGTTGCCCTGTCGGACACGAGATAGTATGTATTTGGCCAACTTCTCAGGTGTAGGATTGCCGTAGATAACACGCGTTGCAATAGCGTCGGCGTCGACTTGGTGGCCTGCGGATTCTAGTCCGGCGCGAAGCAATCGAGAGGCACCAATTACTTGCATACTGTCGATCTGTTCATCAAGTTAGATCTCCGTCTTGGCACGAGAGAATTCAACAAGAGCTGATTGTGAAAGTACTTACACCAGAAGCAAAGAAATCAGTGTCTGGCTCGAGAACTTGTCCACTGTCGAGCCTGCTGTGGAACAAGTCCTGAATGGACTCGATCAGAGTCTGTTCAGAGCTGAGGTTCAATTCAGGCGCGGCTCCATCCGCCACCTGGCCGGCCTTCTCATACAGCTCGTCGATTTCGTCTTTATACAATTTCAATGTGCCTGCTCTTTGAATTGTGCCCTTTCCAGCTCGCAGGAAAGGCTTCTCGGGAGGGCATAGCCTAACAAATTCTCGCCCGATCTGGCCATGGGCAACCGTCTCTTTGTTCGCGGTGACTACCAAGGGCCATACCCTGTCAATAAGCTCTTGAGCTTCGGTTTCGTTCTTGGGTTGTGACACTGGTTCTAGTAGCAAACACGGTTGGAAGCGTCCCGTTCCGGCTACGAGGGCGCCTTTCAGATCGGGATGGTCAGAGACTATCTCTTCTATGGTCACGGGGTTTAGCTTTTCGCCGGTGGAGAAGACGATGATATCTGGATAGTGAGCTGTTAGCAACTGTAACTCTTTCAAAAGTGAACAGTATCATGTTAAAGGAGGAACACATTACTCACTGTCTGCGCGTCCGTAGTAGATCCAGTGATCAGGCAGAGTGGGATGTGGCTTATACAAGTCCTTCGTATCGTACTCGTTATCGTCCGGGAACGTGTAGAAGAACCCCTGGATGCCTGGTTCTTTATCCTTGCGTACGCAGACCAGCTGATAAACATCATCCTCGCCTTCTACTTTTCTCCAATCCGCTCCAAAGTCTTCTGTGTGGATAATAACTTCAAAGGGGAAGGTGTTAGTGAGGTTCTTCCGATGTTAAGTGTCAGGGAAGCAGTTTCAAGTGCTTCAAATATGATGGGAAATAGAGTATTTCCGGAATGAGACTCACAGTATTGCCACAACTTAGTATTAGGCTGCAAGTAGACTGGGAATGGGAAGAATCTATGACATCCGATCAGCCGATGTTCAACATGTACGAGAAGCTTCTCACATACTCCGTAGCAGAGATGACATTAGCAAGCTTGACGCCGCTCTCAACCAATCTATTTCCAGCCTCCCTCGCTAGATTTCCTATTGATGTATCAGTCTCTAGTTGGCTACAGAGTTCAAGAGTTGAAGGGAACTAACCGCCAGCGAAGTATACTATGTTCAACTTTCTCAGAGACTCAATGTAGCGCTCGCTTTGGCTCATGTCTTCAAGAATGGCAGGTCTAAAGGAGTTCGCACAGTTAGTAACAGGTTCTCTTATACAGTAGAAAGGGGATGTTGCCCTGGAAAGGCAGTACTAACGGAAGCATTGTCCCTTGTACGTCAGCATTTTCAAGGGACTCGGCTACAGAATCAGCCGACAAAGGTCTTTCAGGAATACCAAGTGCCGCTGGCGTTTCAAAATATATAGCAATAATCAAGAAGGCGAATAATCCAGCGGCATGGAACAGGGGCACTGTATGCATTTCTTAGTAAAAACTTGCCTAGTAGCAACATGTCAACGTACTTGTGAAGAAATTTCTTTTGATATTTTCACAAAATCCTTTGATGAAGATCTTGTGTCCGTTCCAATCCGGCTTTGTATGGTAGATGTCGCTGATCGCCATCATGCCGTGGCGAACGACAATGGGCTTGGGAATACCGGTCGAGCCACTGGTGTGGAGAACGCAAAGCGGCTCCCATCTCGCTTCTTCGAAGGTCTTGGGGTATGGCACCGGCTCTACCTCCGTCTCTGGGAACCAATTCTCGATGGGACCGGTCTCAATGGCTTGCATATCTCGTTCGTGCAACCAAGGTTGCACCATTGTGCGATGTGACTTCGGGAAAACAAGAATGTGACAGTCCGTCTTGTCAAAAAGACTCAACTGCCCTTCCTGGGAGTTACGAGGTGAAATAAACAGGGCCTAATCCAATGCACATTAATTTTGAGTCTTCAAGAAGTTATTGACGGCCAATTCACCTTGTATCCCGCCTTAACAGCAGCTAGTGTTAGGACAATGTAGCGAGCATCATTAGGTCCGACGTAGGCAATCGTGGGGCAAGCATTGACGGGAGGATGGCCACAGTTGTTGATAATTCTACGAGCGACATGATTGATGGCGTTGGCGTACTGCTTGAATGTCACCGGCTTCCAACCATCCTTAGGGTCAGAGGTTCGCGGGATAGAAAAACATTCGCGCTCAGGTTCTCTGCTGGCAATGTCGTCAACTACATGAGGCAGCAGACGACGACCGTAATCTTTTTCATTGCCGTGGGCAACTCTGTCTTGGGTTCCGCTCATGATGGTTATGTCAAGATGCAAAGATTATGTGGTGACTTATATATAAATGAAATTTCGGTGAGCTTCAAACTAAAAAGGTAGAGATCTAAGATTAAGATTTTGAAAAGATATTTTGCGCTGAGGTATTATTAAACTGTTGATTTCTATACTGGTTTGTATCTGAAGAGCGAATTCCAAAGATGTCGTCGGGAGCTTGATGGACTTTTATAACTTCCCAGCTTTTAGTATAACCACCCCTCGCGCTTCGTGTAGTGCAGCGGCATTACGAAAAGCGCGAACATGACACTTGCGAGAAGGACCAAATGTTGGAGAGAAGGTCACTGAAACAGGCTGTTGGTACCGACGAGCGAATGATTCGAATGTCATAATTACCTGCATGGTTAGAACCGACCGGGCGAGCGAGCAGTATGCGGCCAGATGATGCGGGAATGACAGGCAATTGGCCATACCGAGGTCGGCTTCTGGCCGACAAATCTAAAAACGATGGAGAGCCACGGTACCGTAACAGTTTGGGGTAGGGGGGTGGTGATCTTAGAGTTCGGCCTACCGTAGGTATGGAGCATCATCATATTAGACGCTGCTGACGTCTTGCATTCGGGGGTAGCACGACGCCCCTATTGGGGCCGCCTCGGCCGCTTCGCTCGCGTGCCGACGGGGGGCGACCGGAAACAACCACGAAAAGTTCTCCTCCAGGGCTCTTCATGGGGGCGGATACCGCTATTTAGCAGTTATGGTACAGATTGAATTTGGAGATCCGGGCGGAATCCGGGCAACAATGACGGCGGCGCACTTATTTTACAGCTTGCTGCCGCCTTGCCTTACTAAGTACCTACTTACTCCAACCAACACAAGTGGTATCGCGCTGACAGCTTGCTTCCGCCTTGCCTTACTAAGTACCTACTTACCCCAATCAATAAAACAGGTGGTGTCGCGCTGACAGCTTGCAGGGCCCTCAAGCCGAGGCAAATTCTCCAGTCCAGATAAGCACAGTAATGCGAGACTAGAGCCGTGTCTTGATTGGTTGTGTAATAAACCATGCCGACGGGTGGTGGAGAGAGGGCGATGAGTTTTCATCGATGAGAGATCAGCGCACGGCCCATGTGCATGTAGGTACTGTAGGGGCGAATCGGAACAAGGTGAGGCATTTGGCTGAGATGTCCATCTACCGACTGAGTCTATTCCCCTTCACCACATCCCAAGTAGGGATAGATCCTACGCTTAAATCGACTACATCCACCGAACTACGTGCCTAAAGTGGACAAGTTTATATGATTGAAGTACGAATATCTCCTTCATCATGGTCGACGTACACGAGTTCTGACTCCTGAGCGTCCCACCCCGTAGTGTAAAAAATATGCATATGCTCATGAGTAGATAGTAAAGGGTCTACAAGACGTACATAGTTCTTGGATAAGTGCAGTGCTCGGTATGGATATCCGAGGGGATCCGAGGGGCATATCGTTCATATAACTGGCTTGTACTGGCAACGCAGAGAAAGCCTCACGCCGCGATGCGATGCGATACCCTGGCGTTCAGAGAGCCCGGGCGTGCCGCCGTCTGATGTAAGTGGACAAAGAGATCAGAAATTAAGGATGAAAGAGAGAGGGCGATGGGTGATTCCGAATTTTCTCGTGAATTATTCAGTAGAAGGTAGGTATTATATACTACCTCGTTGTCAAGGGCTATCTCACGGCCAGCATTTGTTGCTGACAAAACCAAGGTCACCCTATCTCATATCATCGATCCTAACCGAGCACGATGCCAATTTGCGCCAATCTGCGTATATCGGAAGATACCTATTTGTTCGATGCAGATGGCTGACCCTGATTATATCCGTTTGTGCCGTCCAAGGATCCACGGCCCTAATGCAGCTCAGCCGGGCTTATCGGAGCTACCCCTCCCAATCCCGGCTCATGCATACGGTAAAGTGAGGCTCAATATTGCATCGACATCTATTTTCAGGAACTTCTCCTCCTTGCATTTCATGCACAGAAATCGTGACTAGTGTTTTCCGTGATTCTTCACCATGAAGTTCTTCATCTTGGCAACCAGTGACTCACTGCCCATTAGATGGCGATGACCGGCGTTACCGGAATTACCAGTGACATGATGTCTTTTATACACGATGTATATAGATGAAATAGAATATAAATATCCATTCATAACTGCAGTCTGAGAAATCACAAGCCTTGTCTGCATCGAACCCGAGCTCCAAATCCATAGAGGACATCTCACATCTCACATATTCATTTCAATTTCTATACTACCAAATTCTCAACATGTCTCGCTACGCCGACGTCCACAGAAACGCTGCCGGGCCAGGAGACGCACGCCCTACGGCCCTACAGATAATCAAAGATGAAGGTCGCGAAGGAACCATGAAGGATAAAGTCTTCTTCATGACAGGAGCGTCATCAGGCATAGGGATTGAAACTGCTCGTGCCTTGGCTCGCACTGGCGCAAAGGTCTTCCTCGCTGTTCGCTCTCTAGAGAGAGGTCAAAAGGCATGCGAGTCATTCCTCGAGCCCGGACGCGTCGAACTTCTTCAGATGGACACGAGTGATATGTCATCAGTCCGCACCGCAGCCGCCAATTTTCTCCAGAAGTCCCCTACCCTCAACCTCCTCGTCTGCAACGCCGCCGTCATGCGGATTCCGACGCGCGAGGAAACCCCCGAAGGCTTCGAGATGCAGCTTGCTACGAATTACCTTGGCCACTTCCTCCTCTTCGACCTGCTTAAGGATGCCCTGCTGAAGGGCTCCACGCCCGAGTTCAACTCTAGACTTGTTCATGTATCGAGCTCCGGCCACCATAGCTCAGAGATCGAGTTCGACGATTTTCAGCTCAAAAAGCCCGGCGTATACACTGGGTGGAAGGCATACGGACAGAGCAAACTTGCGCAGATTTACAGTATGTTTTCCCTTCCATTACCGTTCTGTAGTGTTTGCGGATGCCAGAACGATAGTTTCAAAGCGTTTTCATATGGAATGGCAGTGGCTGATTCTAATAATTATAGTGTCAAACTACGTCGACCGCAATTTCGGTCCTCGCGGCTTACACGCGCTTAGTCGTAAGTCTCTCTCGGTGTGGTTATATTATACTCAATGCGCAGCTGGCATCACATGATAATTTCTCTCGAAGCGAGTTTGAATCTGCAGCCTCTTATGACCCCAAATTCCTTTAATACCTCCGCCTAGATGAAGATACAATATCTAACTTTGGACATCACAGTGATGCCCGGAGGTATTATGACCAATCTACAGAAGCACGTTACGGAAGAAGAAAAGCAAGGGTGGTTCATACCCGAAATCCAGAAATTCTTGAAGGGTGTCGAGCAGGGCGCAGCAACCACTGTGTATGCTGCCGTCAGCCATGAATGGGAGGGCAAGGGCGGCAAGTATCTGGAAGACTGCCAAGTCGCTAAATTCGAACCAATAATCGAGACCATGGTGGGCGTGAAGCCCTATGCCTATGACGAGGCGAAGCAGGATAGACTTTGGGAGCTCACACGACAGACACTGGGACTTCAGTGAGCGATGCAGGTTGGGAACAGGACTATTTGACTAGTGCCATGTATTTTTATTATGTGTAGATAGATTATCCAGATTGTTCATATTTACCCCTGAATCGGCCAAATGATTGCGGTCCTAGGTCGAACCCCTAGGAAGCTTACCGAAGCGGACGAGTGTTGATAGACTACTACGACCATCAATGCCTAAAGAGCTGTATAGTTCTTACATCTCTAAGGTGTTTGATTACGTTCAAGTACTGAGGGGCGAGATGGCCTAGGGATAAATACATTGAATTCAACGGAAGAATTTCGTTTAAAAGATCAACGTGCATGTCTTCTGATACCTCCTGTGAAGTCATTGCTAGTCAAATTTTATTGTGCAATGTAATGCTAGCGCACTGAACGATATATTCGGCTTTCCTATCAAAATCAGAGGTTCCAGAATCTCCAATTGCTCGTTCTAGGCCATCAGATGTCAAATTAGAAGAACCGTTTCTAAGGCTCGTTTTGAAGACATTGGAACAAAACCAAGTGTCTTCTGATTTCATTCCAAAACAGGGACATTCCTCCAGGTTCGGTACTTCATTTTGGCGGAGCTCGGATGTGATCTCGCATTGTGGATGTACCTGCATAATCCGAGCTGGGGGTGGAGGAGCACTGGTCCGCATCTTGCTTTCGCATACAAATTTGAATGTTACAGTAGTATATAAGTCTCGGATACTAGAGCTTCGAGCATCCCAAATTTGATATCCTCATATGCTTGAGCCATGCAAAATCGCAATCTAGTGAAGAACCGGAATTCGCCCTTGACGTATCATGGCTGGACTACGTTGAATTAAGTACTTATTGGCGACCTACCACTCATAGTTTGGAAAGGCAGCCTCTAACAAAAAAGGTATTCCGGAGAGATAGGAAAAACTTGACACATACGTGTTAGACCTCCTTGTAGTTGACTCCAAGCTGATATATAATTGTTCTTTGACACTCCCTACTGTACGCTAGGTAGGAGCACACAGCTATTGTTGGAATTGGTGACATAGTTGCATGGGCTAATTAGTCCACATGCACTTGATGACCTACGTACTTGAGCAATTAATGACATTGTAGCGGCTTAATACGAGTCTCAGAAGTACACGAGAGACCTATATAGTGCCTTATGAGAGAACAAGAACCACAAGCATGTCCGGTACTGAATCTAATAGCTATGCTATACAATATGTATAGTAGACCCGACACCAATGGGAAGCGCTTCCCGCTAGTTGGCACTATCAAGATCTGGATTCGTTTAGATATGCATTTGATCTAGAGGCCACTTGCAGTGGCCAAAAGAGGTAACCTTTCTATACTCCTAGTACTGACTATGTATCACTATTAAGTAGGTACCCAACATCTCGCCCGCTTAAGGAGGTATTTATTGGTAAGCAACTAGTTACCTAGACAAGGGCGAGATACCTTCTATATAAGTCTTATTAAACTGCCCGAGTAAATGATAGAAACTACCTTTAGTCCCTACATGACCATGACACTTTTGCTAGCTATCAAACTATATACAGGTTGGTAAGTACGAGTAAGTACTTGAAAGTCAACTAAGCGATACGTTTAGCCACTACAAGTGGCCTTATCTAGCATGTGTGCAGCCAATGCTGTGAATCTTGAAACAAGTGAAAAAACATGGGTCCCCTGTCTATCTGTAAGCCCCTGCAGATCGATCCTGTCCACTTACATCCACTTGGAACTCGAGCATGAATATGTCGTCCTCCGGAACTCGGAAGGTAAAGTATTCTCCGAAAATAAGCTAGTGCGTACTTCCATTGTCGCCGGGGGGTCATCTTCGCGGTCCGAGTCATTCTCCGAAGCGGTTTCTTCTTTCAATACTAACTTCAGCCTTTCTCTCTCATCTTCGTGCTCCTTCCATGGAGGCTCTCTCTGGCGGCCCTTCAGGATAGTGTTGCGAATGTGTCTATTACGATGGCTTTTCGTGCGGAAGGTCTTGGCGCAGCCTGTAGCTTCGCAACGGATGTGAATTGTGTTGTTCTAATATATAGAAAACAATCAGTCAACAATTTTAACGCAGGTGTTACACGTGTAACCTCTGTGCCGGCTGAAATATGCAGTTCGCCTTGCACTTGTTGTTGTTGTTGTTGTTGTTCCATTTAACGCCAGGGGATTCGCCTTGGACTTCGGCCGTACGAAGGACCATTACAGGCTGTTCATGATCTTTCAAGATATTGGGCAGTATTGGAAAATGAGGTTATACAGACTTCGCTTCTTGAAACAGACCCTAGAGACCCAGGCGGTCTGGGCTGGCAGACCAATTGTATATAGAGTCAAATCAAGCCACCAACAGCCAAGGAGTTGGTTGGTCAAGGACTACTGTAGCCCTAGGAGATCATTGTAATCTGAATTCCCAGTTCCAAGCCCAGTTTACCTACCCTTGTTATAGCAGCCACTTTGAAGAACATAGGATCTTATTCTGAGAGAGCTACGGTGAGCTCAATGTATCTCATGCTAGTTATGGATGTTATCTCAAGCCTTTACTGATCTCCAAAGCTCGCGAGTGTCGCATGCCAGTGAAGTCTTCATTCATACCTTTGTATGTGTCATAAAGGATCTTGCCTATGTAGCCGTAGGCGATCTGCAATTCAGACGCATACACCTGTTACAAACCATCCTAGTAGAATGGACACAAGATTATCCATAACACACCCTGGGTGCAACAATCCAACGCGAAATCGCATCGCAAATCACATAGATTTCGATGACCACGAAGAACACCATCCTCCTGATCCTAGTAGCCCTGGTTATGTCAGGTAGTGAAGTTGACTGCTGCGACTATTCTGAGCCCAGGACACCAACTGATGAGAACGGGGTGATGGCAATAGAGCAATGTCGAGGGCAGCTTTCCGTCGCATTTGATGAGAAGCTAATGTGGTTAACCGAAAGCACCACTATTCGCAGATCATGTGTCCCTTGTCTACGCCTTGAAACTGCTATACTACATTCCTTAAATACTATGAGGCCAGGTCTGCGGAAAAGCTCACTCACGAAAGTGCTGGAAATTTGGGCAACGGGGTGCATACAGCGTATAATGTAAATTATACGTCCTTAATATAAGGATTATTGAAAACACATGCTTCACCGATCCAGTATCAACTTGGTTGAAGGCTGTCTTGGTCCGTTCCTGGCACGACGGACCACAATTCGCTTTGAAACTTCAAATGTCCTGACCTTTTAAGGGACTCTGGGTCGAGGTAAATCGCAAGACCCATGTCCTTTTGGCCTAACCAATACACGCGGAAGATGACATATATAGTATTGCCTATGTTGTCGGTTTCGTTGAAGTTGTCTTGTACCTGTGATCTGTTAGTCTTCGTCCTCTCAATTTGTAGACTTCTTGACATCGCCGACATGCGTCTAGAAAAGGCTTGCCATCACTCACTCGTTGGTATTGTGCCTTACTTATGTAGAAAGGCGTCTCACAAGAGCTAGTAGTCGTTTTCACCTCGATAAAATAATTTGGATATTTCCCTTCCCATGTATTTCGAGGGAGGTAGCCCTTCTCAATGAGCTCTGTTGTCAGCTTACTCTGAATGTCCGAGTAAGTAATGTCGGAAGTCTCCCGACCCCGCCATTCACCCATACCAGTATATTCCGGATGGATGGTCACGTATTTCCTCATGTTGCTCTTCCAATTGTCCCTAGAGAATCCGGGTAATCCATCAACTTCAGAAAGGTGCGAGAGCAATTCGAAAACCTAGTCAATACGTATCAGCAAACTAAGCCTAACAAGGAGGCGACTGTGTGATTGAAAGCGCACATATAGTTCCCCTGCAGCACCAACTTTACAGTCCCGCTCGATCTGACTGGGAGAGCGTAAACCCAACAGTAGTTCAGTATGGTAGGAGCTGGGTTGTTGCCGCGAATTGAGATCACCATGAACTGGGAGGCTGTCTCGTCTCCCCGCCGCAATCACTCTGTTTAAGATAGCGACGTAGTGTTGATCAGTGGCACTATTCCGAGTGATTGTAGCAGGTTCGAAACACGGCGACAGGATATGTTCTCTGAAGGGGTTCTGAGCGTAAGATATCGATCCCGGCAATCTGGCGGGGCTAGTTCTTCTTGAAGCAGCAGTGTCACGCAACGTCTCTGTGTCGGAGGTACTAGTGTTGGATGCCTCATTTTCGTTATCATGATCGCTAAGGTCAAGATCATGGATGCCATCAGGGACAGTGTCTGTAAGCGTTGACGGCGACCCCGGCTCTGGTAATATCGACGCGTCAGTATTATCGATATGTATTGTTGCTATTCCATTCTCATCCAAGGCGTGTGGAGAGTTCGGAATAAGGTGAGAGCAATATATCTCTTGTTGCGTGTTCACCATCCTTATCAATCGAGTCGGTTTGTTGGGTAATTGGGTCAGTCATCATCCAGATGAATAGCTTCTGCGAAAGAGAGTTCGTAAAAGTATACTTCTGCTTGTCTTTGCCGCGAGGTAAATAGACATTGAGCCCAGAATGATCCTCGTCGAGGTGTATAGTGGTCCTTGAGCTTTCGACTTGTTGAGCTTTCCCGTCCTGGATAACTTGAAGATTTGAGAAAATTCCATCCGTCTCGTAGAGCTTCGCATTATGTAGAGCGTCGTAAAGGCAGTATATATCTCTACTGGACTTTGAACGAGGGCTGTTGTAGTGGCAGGCAATTCTGGAATCAAGGTCAGCGTGGACCATTCATGGGAGCCATTTTGAAGGGACTAACCTGAGCAACGGATGAGCTCTGTATCTTATTTGAACATCTAGACTCGAAATTGGACTGGCTCCTTCTCCAGGGAATGACGTCACCTCTTTAACGCACTCGGAAAGGTAACGATTCTGGAGTCGCGCCCAATGAAGGAAATGGCGCAATCGAACCACATCCTCGAGGCTGAAATCGAGGAATTTGACTTTGGTGGAGAAGTTTTGTCTCAGTTGCTCACGATCCACTATGAAGAACTCGGTGGAAACTGAACTACATGTTACATCCCCGTGAGGGTACCGGACGGGGAAAATAGAGCAATTTAAAATAGCTGAAGGGTCGGGGAGGTTTGACTCAGCGGACAGCAATGAATTGACAGTCCAGATCAACTCTTTCACATCCGGCACCATAACTGAGGGTCGACTACCTGTGTGCTTTAGTTCGTCAATAGCCATCATTAAATCTACCTGTTTGACATCGAGGACTTGTGTGAACAGCCTTTCTAGATCTTCATAATCTTCATTCAGCGAGACTTTCCCCCTCAGTCGTGCTGCTTTTGACCAGATACACTGAGAAGGCGTGTGCCATGGAGGAAGGTCGTCCACAGATGCATATATGAGAGCACCCATCTCAAATTCTTGACTAGATAGAATCATAAGTAACACAGAGAATATAGGGCGAAATAGCCTTTAATGCTTACCGTATAGCGACATTGTCAATAGTTCGTTGCTCTAAGGCGTTGATCGCCTCATAGATGCCCGTGATGGCATCAACATCGTTGCAGTCGTTTTGTTTTAGAGCCTTGAGCTCCTCGACGTAGTCTTGCCATGTGCAAGATTCTTGGATACCGAGCGTCTCAGTGAAGAATGTGGAGAAATGAGGACATTTAGCACCATCTTTGCAAAAGCAGCTCCTGTACAGCCTCTTCAAGACAAACTTGGTCGTCATTTTTTGGGGAGCATCCCATATACAACAGTCTGGCAAAGTCCAGGTGTAGGAGGATGGAGAGCGTGGGATATAGATGCACGGTTGTTCTGAGAACACAGCCCTAAACGCGAGTAAGCACATTTCTCTCAAGATGACGATAGAAAAACACACCTGATTATCTGCTTTTTATCCACACGGCTCTCACTCGCCCAGTATCTCTCTTGTATGTGGTCGTATAGCTCAAACAGTCGAGTAGTATCTGAAACAGCGACCTCGCCTGGGAATGCTCCCAACAATGATTTCAGCATGCTCAACGCAAAATCAACATCGCTACGAGCTATTGAAACTTGAAGAGTGTCAAGTAATGACTTCCATCTCGGCGGGATGTTGCTCGAGTCGTTCTCAAATTCGAGCTGTAGCCATGGGAAGAACACACCCTGCCCAAGAAACTTTTCGGTGCGTTTCATTAGTTCTGTTGTCGGGAAGAATGTCTCCTTCAGTGGTAGCTGGCGGTTTCCCCGACACAAGACGATGGAATCTCGAATAGTCTCAATAAATTCTGGTGTGAGGCGCGTATTGTGCTGATAAGACACCTGAAGAGAGCCAAGGTATTTCTCCGGTCTATACCTCTGAATGTAATCTCTCACATTTCGTCGAAGCTGAAGTTTTACATACCTTTCTACCTCAAGCTTAGAGTAGAACCAGTCTACCCATGTCGTGTCTTCAGTGTCAACGGGAGGGTTGTGAAAATATTCCTGGTGAACGAAATTAGCATCCCACCCTGGTGCTCCGTCGCCTGGATTGTCCCCTTCGACTGTCTTTCGGAACAGCTCCCAAGGACCATACAAATCGTCATTGACAATATACATGTACGTTGAAGCAGGCGAAACGGCCGTCATATCTTGATTGAGAACTTTGAGTTCCTCGAAAGGTTCCGACACATGTTTAACTTCGCTCTTTGTCAAGTAAAGAAACTCTAAGTGGCACTTCGACGTCTCAAGGTCAGGGTCGTTCGAGTTATGAAATTTAAAGATCGACTCTCGCACGAGGGAAATTGAAGCCATCTTGACACCAAGATTCTCGAAAAGCGTTATTCGGTCAGCGTTCACTACATCTCTCGCAACAAGCCGAAGATTGATATTGGATGGGATTTTCAGGTGGTTTATGTTATGGAAATAGATAGGGGCTTGTTCCGTGGATGCCCAAGTACCGTCTGCAAGAGGTATAAGGGGAAGCCTTTTGAGTTCCCGCTGCCGACTAGTCCATGTATCCTGCTTGAAAGGCAAGTTCAGTAGTCTTGCAACCCGCGAGTGCCAGTCATCTGACATTGAAGACGATCTGATTCGCGACAGGGTGCCGCGTTGTAGATCTCTCGTCACCCATCCCATGATGTCGGCGACTGTGGCCCAGCGAAGTCCATAATCCGTTAATATGTTGAGATCCGTTCGGTGGTAGGAATGGGATATGACTTTTCCAGGGCTCTCGTCATCGAAGAGCGGGGTTTCGAACTCATCGAGCCAACCTACCTTCAGTCGACAAAGATCGGAGAACAAGCGTGGGCTAAGACTTTCCCGACTAAAGAGAATTGGCGCCTGACCGAGTCGGCGCTCGATCGATTCGACCAAAGAAAGCCACAGCCCACGCCACTCGTTCTTGTTCTTGCTCTCCTTGTCGGGCAAGTATTTCATCCACTGAAAGCGTAAAGTATCGTGCTCGCAAAATTGCAGTACCGCTTTGATGAAACCCTCAGCCACTGAATCAACGAGTTGAGAATTCCGAAGAGAATCTTTAACAACATCTTGTCGGTTGGCATCCGTGACGAAATCGGCTTGGATCAAGAACTTGAAGCCAACTGGTCGCACGGGAAGAAATACGAATAGATCTTGCGGCTCAATAATAGGGACCTGCGACTCCGACAGAGGAAAAGCCAGTATGATCTGGGATTTGGCATAACCACGAGTTATTTCCTCCATTTCCGAGTAGGTTCGGTTTTCGTTCTTAGCAAGGTTCGTGGCTTCGTGAGTCGTGAGTCGTGATGTGGAAATGCTTGACACTTTCTTCAGTTGCCCCATTACTCGTTTTCTTCTTCCTCAACACTGCGTAAGTAAGCCGTGGACGTTCGATCGAGAAGACCGTAGAGGATATCTCTTGTGACGTCTCGTCGCAGAAAACTACGTGTAGTTTTTTTAGATTCTTCATGAATAGTAATAGGTTCTCTTGCAACTCTTCAAACTGAGCTTCAATGGACTGCCTCATTTTCGCACGCATTGCTGGACCCCCGTCATCGTGCAGAAGGAGCGTAAATCTGGTCAACGGCGATGGAAGCTCCTCGTCGATCTCTTCCCACAATGGAGAGATCATCCCCATTCCCGAGTCTCCCTGCTTGTGCTTGAAAGAGAAGGAGAAGGCCCCAGATTGAATGTGGACTTTCGAAGCGGCCATAAAAACAGACTTGAAGCCTATTCCTTTCTCTCCAATATAGCCCTGTCCCCCAACCTTGGAACTTTTGCCGATAGAGCAGATGGCCGCAAGATTCTTATCAGTAAAGCCATCTTCGTTGCATTCGACGACGATACAACGCGGATGCACTCGAAACGACAGATAAGGAATATCGCCCGATCCTAGGGCTTTGGAATAAGTGTTGTCGTCGGCATTCTGTAATAGCTCAAAGATGAAACGAGCTTTGCTTGTGTAGAGATTTGTTGCCAGTCTTCCGGATATGTCAGCCAGATGTATCTGAGGAATATGGTCGAATAGAAGGGAGCTTACGTCAACACACTTGATCCTATCATCTTATCTTTCGTTAGCAATGCCTCTTCGATCTCGCGTCGCAGTTCTGGGTCGAAGGACTCGAGCTGCTCGAGCCTATCGGGGCTAACGAAGCCATGATCCTTTGTGATCTTTCTCACAAGCTCTCGCGCGCTTGCCTGGCTGCTTGGGACCGCCATTAATCCGCGATAGCCTTCATAGGTCGAGTGCTGGAATCATGCAACGTTTATTTTGTTCGGAGCTTAGTTCCAAATGTGGGGCTTGATGTTGACACAAGAAGTCTTCCATGATTTGGAGGAAGCAAACAAAAGCGCAAGATTGGCCGTTGTCGAAACAAGTACCGTTGGTTCAAGCTGCATTTGCAGGGGATGTGGCGTAATGCCTGTCCACCTGTTTGTTCATTGTACCAGTTACAATCTAGGAAATGACGGATGCCTATCATGGTTCACGCGTATTCAAAGTCGTTAGGTATCCCGTTGAGCACTATTTTGATACCAAACAAATAGGTAGGCCTTCAAACACAGAGCGATATACGTAGGTGTAGATTGGGTTCGAAGTCTGCATCAGCAACGACCATCGAGTACAGTGTATCTATTTACGACCTACGGTATACACTTTCCAATTGGAAAAAAATATGACAGCTGTGCCAGATTGCTAGCAGCTCGCTAATGGCTCGATATCGACTCGTTATCCAGTTTACAGATCGTTACCAGGCCGAAACGTAATCTGCCAAGCGGCTATCAGTCCGGTAGTCCGGCGAGCAAGGATGAAATAAGAAGTACTCGCTGTAAGTAGTAAAATGATATACTGTACTTGGTTGTTGATGTTACATGCGTACAGACTGAACATGCAGTTCGAGGCAGTATTATCGACTACCACCAACGACCAAATACTATACTAGACGGACTGTACGCGGCCCAAGTGTCCTGAAGATTCTCTCATAGTTGCCATCTAAATCTAGCGTTCTCCATGCCTCACCTTTACCCCCGTCTGATGCCTTGAGCATCTTGTCCCACTGGGCCTGCGTCGACTCAAAACGACAATCAAATTCGTCGCTGATACAGCGGGCCTCATTTTCCATCATCCCATGCACATAAGCATCTCCAAGGAGTTCAAAGTAATGATCAACTGTGGTAGGCATTCCGGATTTTTGACCTTGCTTAGGGGTATTCGGGGGGTGTGGTTGCGGTACCCGACGTAAGACCGTCGCAAGCTCGTAGGACTGGAAGATAGCAATCTCATCACCAACTCGAACAAGGCGAGGTACCAGGCAGAAGTAACCATGCCGGGTGATGGCGAAGCAAAATGTAGTCATGGCTCCGGATGATTCAAATGAGGGATTCATCGCTGGCTTCATTGTACCTGCATCCCAATATCCTGGACACTTCATGATGGTTATTAAAATAATAATAAAAAGGTCATAGATCTCAAGCCACTCGCTGTTACGCAGGAATTCATCGAGAAGAATCACCAAAGAGGGATACTCACACCCTTTTCGTACCAATTGAACAAGTTTTCCCAATGCTCTTTAACATATTCACAACGCACGGGTTCTTGCTGAGCATCACACGCCATTATGAGGGTAAGTTTGTATGCGTCTAGAATTGTCTCTCCATTGATGTACGTCGACACTCCAAGTGCGTTAACATACTCGATATCCTTTTTCATTTTCTCGACAATCTGTGAAATATTGGTCTCGAGTGATCCGTTTTCATTATTGACATAGCCACCGACATAGATGATCTCGTCAGCCATCAAGCATCGAAATGAGGCAAAGCTCTGGAGCAGAGACTTTTTGGGTCCCCTATAGTCCTTTAGCTCATCCGACATCGGAAAATGTCTTTTTCTACCTTTCGGAAGCAGGGAAACTCTACTGTTAGCCATCTTGGTCGGTGAAATAAATGCGGCGCGAATGCTTCCACCGGCTTTCCACAGGCGTGTGCTAGGTATCACTATCATGTACTCGCTCTCCTCTTTATATCTGTAGTCTGGGGCCCAGGATGGAAGAGCAGTGTTAGCTTCCTGTCGGATCCTGCCCGCGTTTTTTAGGAAACGTAGGCCATCAGCATCGAGGAATCTTCGAGCAACGTCGGTGTACTAGTTTCAGATGTAGGTTAGTTTGTGACACCTCGAACAGAGCAGATAGGGGTGCAGCATAACATGATATCGTGGGAGGCTGAGGATTAAGTTGTTTAGACAACGGTACTCATTGGCTAAACTTACCAGAATCTCCCAAGGGACCTTGTAATCAACCTCAAACCACTGATTGGAGTCAACTATGATATTCCCCATTGCATAGATCCGATCACTGGGATTCGTCGCCTCATAGCGAGAAACACTGTCCACCAAACCCTCAAATCCCAACGTAATATCCGTCTGCCCGTAATGGTCCTGAAAGTAATAATGGCGACATCTCTGGATGATTCTTACTGCTTGTATGTTGTTGATTGTCCGGCTAAGGTGATGGTGAATATAGGGTGGCCATGTTTCAGTGTATCTCGGACACATTATCCACTATTCGACATCGGCGGTTAGTTGACCTATGTAGGTAAATGTATCTCCCCAAACCCCGTTGCTAAGCAATGTAGATATGCACTGAGACCACTCATGAGGAGGCTGTGGTGTACAAGGGGGGTATATGAGTTAGGAAGAATCGGGCTGCCTACAGCTAGCGCAAATATGTTATCCCAATTCACGACACTTGAACCGCAAAGCACTCGTGCACTTTGGCTCAATGAAGCTTCTTGCTGAATCCACACGCGAGAAAACCATGGGCGGTTCAGAAAGCTCACGATGGCGACTGCAAGATCCCGTATTGATTCGGCGCTAAGATCTGTGTAGAATGAAGGGTCAAAGAAGTATGATTTCTCTACAAAACGGAACCAATTGGAACCAAATTGACAATCAGAGAATTCTCTAACAAATTTCTGTGCATCAAGACTAGCCGCGTACGTCATCGCAGCAGAGCTGTATTCATCAGGACGACCCATCCAGATCCATGTCGCCGCCGCCCTGCGGTAGATGTGGTGCATGATAGCAACCTGCGCAGCGCGTTCATCGAGGTCGCACTGATTCATGCAGATGGCGTCGATCCAGACTTTGCGGGGCTCATGAGGTCTTCGAAGATCTAGCATCATATGGAACGCATTCCTCTGAACCCAAAGCTTGTATTTGCCGCACTCAATCTGTTCCGGGTTCTCAGAGGAACCCCAGGTATACGATGTGGCATCATAATCGCCCCCAGACTCTCCTAGCGATGTAGTAATGAGCTCGGTTCTGAGCGGCTCTTCAGGTTTCCCAGGGTGAATAAGAAGAAGTCGGAGCGGTAGCTCGCCGTGCAGGGGCTGATAGAAGAGGGATGCAACTTCCAAGTTCCATTTATCCATCATGAGACTAAGGGAGCTTTTGAAGTTTGAAATCTGAGTTTATTTAGGGTGGCCAACTGTCTGAGTGGGCGTTGAATTAAGCTGTTTTGGAGCAGACAGTACTCCGCTTTCTTAACCCCAAGGTATGCATGGTTCATGTTGCCAAGCAGCTACATAGCCCCTGTTCTGGCGGTGGCTTGTTGTGGTATATTGTCAGCTCTCATTACGGCCTAGGAACATAAATGTCAGATTATGTAATTAGCCTGCAATTTGATACCCATGAATTTGGGCTTATAAGTACCTCATTCGATTTCAATGTTACATTGGCTGAAGCCTCGCTTTGCTAGTATTCTGCCGGCGTCCCGGTGATAGCTGCTTCTGGTGCCAAGAGAGATCTTCTGACAGCAGTGTGTGCATTTGCTGGAAAACTGTATGTAATTGAGCCAAGGAGCGTGGTAAGCAATTAAATCGTCATCGCGATGGCTACTATGCGACTCGGAACGGCTGAAACCAGGAACCCTGTATCTATAACTGTTCTTCCAGTTCAGTTAGCTACACTATTATATTCAGTCAGGCAACCCAAGTATTTCGTAAGTTGCAGATAACATCAAATTTTGTTACAATACGAGACAGTTCGCCACAGCCCATGGTTGAGGTATCAACGCCAACTTGCTACTACGCAAAGTTAATAGCACAAATACAATTTCGACTCTGATCTTGTATGATTCAACAACGATTTAGAAGGGTATTATTAAAATCGAATTCTAGGTTGACCATCGGTTGACTTTACTGATTATAGGGAGTGTACACAACCAACAATCCTAAGAAAAGAACTTAACTTGTATCGTTTTAGAAGTGAACTCGATCGATGATACAGTGGCAGTAGCATCTATGTTGATGTACCCCCCCTTACTCAAACGTTTGTCAGTAAGAACCTATTCCCAAGACAGCGCAATGCAATGGTCAGCAAAGTATGGGTTTATGCGCTGATGTAAGCAGGCTAACCAACCGCATTACAAATGAATAGTATGCGGATAGTAAGTAGATGAAACTATAAAAATTATAGAGCTGATATTATTGCCTGTTCAATTCGCAATCGTATTTCCAACAACAGAGCTGTAGCTCATAGGTCGTCAGGGGTCTCGGGACGGAGGAACAAAGAGATACACTATATGTAGCCAGAGAAGTCTGAATGCCTTCAAACTTCTGACCTTTTAGACCTTGTGCCACATTGAGAGCCTGACCGTATGTCATATGCATCCCTTCTGACATAAATTGTGCCTCTGACCCCAATTATGAAATATTACCATCGAAGAGACCTACTGGATTACATATACCTCGAGCGTGTACTTTTATAACCTACGAGTCCAGAGGATCCTATTCAGATATCCCAAGAGACCTTTTCAGTCCTATAGAATTGCATAAACCGCTAAAAAGCTGTATAAAAAGTAGACTTTATACCTGAATGAGTTTTGTTGATAGTGTATGATTACGCCTCTATATGATAGCGCAAAAACACGTGACGCTTTAGTTACCACTAAGTCCCATGTCTTACATGTAGCCTTTGGGCACGAAATCTGGCATAGGATCTTCAGAGTTGACGAGTGTAAGGAATCAAAGCTGAATTATTCTTCGCTCAATAATATTGGTACGAGTAACTCACTAAATTGTCAAAAAGATCGTAGGGAACTGGCTGGGTTGAAGGATGCCTTTTGACGGCATGAGAATTGACTGTCTTCGTCATCAACATTAATGTGTTCAGGATTCTACAAGCTTCAAAAAAAAAAAAGGGGGGGGGGGGGGGGGCCAAAGATGTTTCGGTAGGAGCTGGAAAAGTCGTTGCAATTTGGCGAAGTCAATATATGCAATTATGAAATAGAAAAATTGGAATTCCATGGACGGGCGTTGATGCAATCTAATCGGTTGAATTATTGTACGCGATAGATTTAGTCATTCTCCGTCTTTGTGGCTTTGAAATACCTGCAAAGATCTATCCCGGTCTTCTTGAAACAAATCAAGGGAGGGGTAAGTAGTCAAGTGGTTGTCAAGGGATGAGGTGCATTCAAAAATAGGACTCATGTACTTATGTAATCTAATCAAAAGTACAGCCAGAGACAGTATATAAACTCCCGCTTCGACGTTGGTTGTGCCGCATTGATTTCGATGGCAGCCAACACTGGTACAGATATAAATGTATTAACTAGAAAATACGTTGGGTGGCTTATAGAAGACCTGAGGGTATTATCAAAGGGTACTTTGTCCATTGTATACAATAGTAGTACATTGAGTACGGCAGTGTTTGCATTGTCCCTCACACAATGGAAGCGCCCGGCCCGCAAATGGATGTTCACATTGAGCCCGATTTGCCCTCAATTTATGAAACACAACGGTTACTCGTCGAATGAAGTTGAATTAGTATGCGACCGATGAAGAAGGCCATTCCATCTTAGAAAAATAATCACTTAATTGGTTGGCGATCTGATGACTTCGGCCGTAAACCCCTCTGATCAGCTATCCATTCAATACGGGCGTTCCATGGCATTGAGTATCTCGAAGGGTAGACGAGAAGATATGTAGGCACCTTTGATCATTCACCTTCTTGTTGCTATAGCCGCGATTCTGAAGTACCTTGGTACGTATCTCGCGTAGCACGGCCTCTCACCTGGGTGGTCCGTCGTCGACCTGACCACTTGAGTGCTGGCTGTGTCTCTCTACCTCCCTCGCGAGGCAAACAACCGACCCTCTATTAGTTACCTCAACATGTACCTATCCACGCCAACCAACCACCTGCATTACCTACTCGAAGCCGCTCCATACCTACAACATTGAGTCCTCTCTAGAGCTCTCATCCTTGACCTCTTCCTCTTCTTCGACATCCCCATCGGTTCTCAGTTCCAGCTCAAGCTTCCGCTTCAGCGCCAGCAACATTACCAACACCATCGTTCTCATTGTTATTTTCAAGAGCAGATCATCAAGATGTTCACCCTCCACCAAGTGGTCACCAAGGCCATCATCACCTTGTAAGTTCAGCTGCTGCAAACTCGCTCTCCTCAACGCCTCTCTTAACCCCGCCCCTCCTATATACCTATACACACACAAGCTGTATGTCATCACCTGTATGTATCTCTTGAGATACTGTTTTGTTGTTCAAAGGAGTTCTCCTGTACGGGTCATCGTCATTCCCCTCTCCTAGGCGTTAATCAAATGTGCCTATGGCCACTGACTCCCGTCTTAGCCTGATGGTCATGATGCTGTACACAGCGAACTCTGGACTTCTCGTTCTCGGTTTGTTTGTGTGCTGCCTCTTCGGCAGCAGTACCGCCGTGTGGCGGCCCTCCCTCGACCTCTTCTTGTTTCTCGGAACCGCCATGATGTCTAAGCACATTGAGTCTCTCCCGGAGCCACACGAATATATGTTCGATGCGCATATTCTCGGCCTAGCAGGCCTGTATCTCTTCTTCGGCGACAAATTCCGAGTCTCGCTGCTGGCAGTTTGGCTCCCTTATTACTACATCAACAGCGACCGGGGCAAATGCGGGGCCTATATATCCCTTGCAGCAGTTATGCCTATGCTACCATACCTCCGACTTGCTTGCCAGGTTAGTATTTTGGGGTTCTTTAATATCTTGTCTGGTGTGTCCCGGGGAGAAGAGTAGATAGTCAAGGGAGCTTGCGTTCTTGAGATTCGGATCAGTTTCTGTCCCTATTGTTCTCTTTTTCCCTAGATGGCCGGCATTTATTAACTCCAGTTGTCGTGAAGGTCGTGTGGCCGTCGGTATCCGCCATGTTGCGTGATCATACCAAGAAAGCAATCTCAAGGTTGCGCATGTACGCCGTCAAAGTCTTAGCGTCGGTAGTACCATATCCCTTTTCTTCTTGTCGCCCTGAACCGACCCCGCCAACGTTCTCTTTCTCTCCTGCCATCACCACGGCCATTGTAGAGCCTTTAGAGCCTTTGGAAGAGCCGAAGCAGGCTTTGATGGTCGATGGCAGCACGCAGACAGAACCATTCGACAAGACCGAGTGCAGCACGCAAGTGTGCGAAGATGATTTGGCTGCTAAGCCAGTTTATTTACCAAAGAAAACAACAAGGTATATAGTGACGGGTAATGGGATTGTCAGCGCGCCTCCGAATTATGAACAGTCAACGATCAAACGTGGAGAACCATCTCGTATTCGAAAGCAGCGGCTTCGAGAACTTGCAGATCGTGGTTCGGCCAGTGACGCCCTTGCTCTGCTGCCTGCTCTACCAATCAAGCCTGTGAAATCGGTTAGGTTCGCACCGATCTCTTCTCCTGGACCATATCTTTCCCTCTTCAAACCGCTCAGCCCTAACCCCCCGGTCGTGGATGATCCAATCCCTCTATCGTCATCTCTCGCATCCAACTCACAATCAACTCTGGCCTCGACGCACACGTCTTCAGATGTTGCCGATGTCCCTCTTATTCCCGCTGCAGTTCCAGATGTTGTTCTGACCGAGCCGCTGTCTGAGCCAGAACCAACGTCACCTCCAGCCGTGGTATCTGTTCATACATCAGATCCTGAGTCATCTCCATCAGTGGTTGAGTCCGATCCTGTCTCGACATTACCTTCACATAACGCAGAGAGTCCCACGTCTTCAATCGTGAAGCCTGCAACTTATATCTCGGTTCTGCCAACGAGTCCCCTTCCATATTTATTTTCTGAGGGACCTATCCCGGCTCATCGCTCTTCTGTACCCAAAGAGCCATCTTCCCCTATTTCGGATGCAGTAACGCTTCAGGGATCCCCGACGCCCGAAGTATTATCTATCTCATCTTCTATTCTCGCCCCGGCGACACTATTTCCCTCATCCTCCAACTCTTTCATCTCATCTACTGTGGCATGTATACCAGCATCGCCACTTAAGAAAGAACCAGAGGCAAATGCTGAAGCAAAACTCCTCTTTGTACCGCCGGCTTTGCCGGCCGATAATATCAACGGCTTCAATAGATACCCTGAAGCAAGTGGTGACCACGTACCAGTTGCTGAGAGAGCAACAAGTCTTCCCATCTCTTTATCTTCACCCGAATTCGACCCTTCGATGACTGGCTTGTCCAACGCTCTAATTATTGCGCCTGGCTTTCACACAGAAACAGATTCTGGGAGTGTCAATGACACCTCGGGAGAATTATCTGTTGAGGGTTTAGGCGATCCACAGGTGCAAGCAGTTTGGGACGAAGTACAAGTTTCGTTTGATGGCATTCCATCTCTTGATGAGATCGCGACCGGGCTCAGCGATGACCCCAGCCACGAATTCAGGCTTACACAAGAAGATGTCGCCGCCCTCAATGATATAATGTTCGGAAGCGGCAATAAATTAGCTGCTCCACTCACAGCTGACGAGCTGGAGGAAAAGCTTGTCGAGGAGTTCATCGGTATCCAGGACCACCCTACAATCGAGGATTACCCCACAGTCCCAGATTTCTTTGCGCCTGAATTAGGAGAGCAGATGGAGGGTATCACCGCCGAAAACCCCTGTACTGTTGATCATGTTAGCGATGAGATGGTCATCGACGGAACATGCGCTCTTGTTACTGAAAGTCCTGATATCGTCATGAGCGGGGAGGAAAGCAAGGATGAAAGCATGGATGTAGACCACCAGATGGACGATATAGATCCAATGGATGAGAGGGAAGATACAGGGAATATCTTTGGGCTTAGGCCAAGCACCGATGTGGCCTTGACTACAGCCGCTTCGAAGCTTGCTGATATCGACAGTCACATGGACGAGGATTCCACTACGTTTGACATGTCCGAGCTCTTGAGTTCCTTGTCGTCAACTCCAGAAGCACTTGCAGCCCAAACTTCGTCTGTCGAGCCACTGACTCTTGGTCCCACCGCTGAACAACAAATTGGTGGAAATAATGGCTCTACGCAACCTCTATCTGAGCCTCCACCAGATACGCCTTCAACCACGTTTTCTGATGTTTTTGACCTTGCGGATTTGGAGGCTCAACTCGCATCGGACATTGCAAGTCTTGTCCCCGATGCTGATGCGCTTAGCACTCCGGCTCCCGCGACAGCCTCTACAGCTGCACCACCAGTCTCTTTCACCGCACCCTCAACACTCATCTCCACTGTTCCCGCACCCGAAAATGCAGTCAGCACCTCTCCCACCGCGTCATCTGCGCCAAGCGATGCCCGTGCGACTTTGGCGCCGGCTTCTATCAGAAATAAGATGCCTCCAAGACCTCGAGCCGCTATACCGCCCATCCCGTTTATTAGTAAGCAATTTCCAAGATTATATTACTCTTCTCTCGTCATATCATCAGAGAGGGTAATTTCCAAACACCTCATGATTCTTGAGAATCCTAAAGCTCCCGATCATATCGAAGCTTTCTCGGGAAAGCTCGAGCCACAATTAACTGACCTCTTCCGTTGCAGGGGCACCAAGTCCGACGGCGCCGAAGTTCGACTCGCGTTTCCTTGTCTCCAGCACGCCGAGGGAACCAGAGTGCAAGATCCTAGCCCTTGATCCCGGACACAGACCTACCAGCAAACAGCGCACCACGTGCCGCACACAAGAGGTCTACGTAGAAGACTACATGGAGAACGAAGGATTCCGGCAGAAGGCGCTCTGGCAGGCCAGAGGTTGCCCATCGATGGACGAAGAAGAGCTCGTGCAGCTCGTACAGCGGATGGAGGCGTCGGCCGAAGAGGCCAAGAAGGACTGGCCGTCTCGCCGGGCGGGCATCGAAGAGCAGACGAAGCTCGACTTGGCGGCAAAGAAGGCGCGGGACAAGAAGATCATGGGCGAGAAGCACGCGGCGGCGCGGGCTGCCGCTATGGAGAGAATCAAGAAGAGGAGACAGGCCAAACCCCAAGAAGTCTCTATCTTTATGAGTCAGTGCCTTCTTTTTCTTTTCCCTCGTGATCTCTCCAGCTTCCCACCTCTCTATCATTACTATGTATACTCTGTATTCTCCTAGAACTTTGACTAATACTGTTCATTCCTCTGTAGCACCGAAAAGGAGGGGCAGAGTCTAGAGTGAGCCGTGCCTGGTCACGTGAGCTCGTGTTTGGCTGGTCCGAGCGTTTCGGCGGGCTAGAGCCGAGGAGGCGCGACGGAGGGTTGTGTAAGCACAGCACTTGCGAAGTAATATTTTTTCTTTCTTTTGCAGTCGCTCCCGCGGACGCGGGCGATCACTTGAACGCGCAGGGATTTTATTCCCGTTGCCATATTTCTGTGCATCGATTGCATTGTACCTAGGTAGGTATTTGAAGCTACGTACTTCGGTATCCAGAGGAAAGTATGGGCTGTAGAAAGTCGGACACAGCAGGGTGGTGTCGTGGCGGAACACGTACACCTGACTAAACCTAGCTAAGTACCGACCGGCCGACCGATGGCCACTAGGCGCGTTGTTTTTTTCCACTTCGCAGAGAGATATTTGTCTAAAGCCGCGTATCGTCGGTATTCCGAGTCCCACCTTGGGTAGGGGGGACTAATTTGTACATATACTTAATCGACAGCACCTCTTTCAACGTCGTGCTGGCAGGTGCTTTGAATAGTATATAATTGTTCGGTTTACACATACTACATAAGTACACATGGAGGAGGGGATTTGATAGGTATCTATTCAACAGATGAGGACTACCTAATCAAGTAAGTATACCTATGTAGTGGAAAAGTAGGGAATATGCCCCTAGGCAGTAGGTAGGTACTGTAAGTCTGTAAGTACCTATACCTGCCTCGCCTGTAATAGTGCCCTAACAGCACCTGTGCAGTTCTGTGCAGTACCGTACTTGGCTGTGCCTGCCCCAGTGTACTTCCCAGGCTAAAGTCGCGCACCTGACCCTAACCTACCTAGAATCCTCTTGGAGCCATGTACCGTCCAGCGCGTTTTAGTAGCCACCCAGGTACCGCTACCAAGTGCTACTACCTGGAGGGTACGTCTGGCACACCCCACAAATACCACCACCGCCACTATGGGCACTACTAATTAGTGGAGGTACCTAGGGACCTTGGCCAGTAGTATCCGACGTGTACTTAGGTAAATCGCGTGGCACCCAAGTATCCGATACTTAGGGTATTGACTGAACATACACCACCTCCATCCCTGTATCTCCGTATCCAGATACGCCCAGCAGGTGTCAAGCACCAGAGAGGGCGCAGTGCCATGTACACGATACTTCTCGTCTTCCACAACTATCCAGCACCACGACTTCTCCTCTTCCAACATATGGCAACCCTCATTGTCGGTTGTCTCTTAAATCACCACATCTAGGGCTTCAATTACTTCTTAGAGAATTCATTTCGTTAGTTAGCACGACAAGATGTTGCCATGACTGTAACAGTCGCTCAACAGACGCCTATCTTACTACCCCGTCCAAGCCGTGTCTTAGGTACATACCTCTGCTCCGAACCCCTGCTTGGGACCTTGCGTCCTTCCGAGCTTGGCTGAGCTGGCGACAACGCGTGCTCGCTTTCCACGCACCCAGGACAAAGAAACGGATTAAGCCTGCTGCTTTGGAAATCACTCGTTCTTCTCGCTGTCATACACGCCCAAAAGAACCCAGGCTGTCTCCAGAGTCCAAGATTCAAGGTTGAAGTGAGACGGTAACGCGATCTGAGCTGGATTGGCCGCACGGTACGCGACAGTGGGCGCCCTCGACTGCTTCGGGCAACGTCGCTCCCTCTCTATACCCTCCCACCCCTCGCTGTTCCAGTCCAGCCAAAATGCCAGACATGTCGCAGCTTACCGACAGCAGCAGCAGCAGCAGCAGCAATCTTAATCCCACAGCGTCGCATGGGCACGTCGCGGGTGCTCAACCGCGGCTCGCGTCCAGTAGCCAGACCCAGAGCCACCAGACGCAGCTGTCCCACGACTCGAGCAACGACTCCCAGGCCACTAACTCCACCTCTAATGACAACGACCGCGTCTTCACCCCACCCGAGAGTGACAGCGAGAGCAGTCACCGTCATGGCAACGACAATTCCTCCAGCCAGGAATCCCAGCTAATGCACCTCTCTAACCTCGCCGCTTTGCAGCAGAAAATCGTCGTATCGCGGGACGACACCGAAATCAATGGGGCACAGTCGAGGAAGAGGATGGCTGATGGCGTGGTCAAGCACACGCGACACCACTCCAGTGCCTCGCCGGTGCGAATGGGCCATTCGAGGAATACAAGCAACATAAGTATCGCTTCGACTGCGGGGAGCCGCATTAGTGAGGTCTGTATTCACTTACATCGCAGCACGTGCTTTGTGGACAATAGCTAACCATGCCACCAGCTCTCGGCCGAGCTGAAGGCAAAACTCTCTTATGCCATGGTCAAGGTGAACAACGGTTGGCAAAGTCACTCTATCGACGAAATTGAGTCATTAGCATCACAAGCCGCTTCGCCGACTTCTAGTACATCGACATTACATGGGAGACACGCCTCATCAGCAAGTCCACGGGTAGCACTAACTAGGTTCCGACAAACGGCTTCCAACCCGTCCAGTATGACTACAAGTCCCGTTGTTCAGCAACCCCCAGGACGTATCCACGAGTCTTATTGGAGGGAAGGTGGCTCCAAGCTTCCCAGCACGGCATCTCCCGTCTCACAAATTCCAACCCTGGCACCACCTGCTCCCATCCAGCCGCGCCAGGCGTTACCAACCAACCCGCGGCGTAGCTCCAACGCAAAATACACACCTGCATACTTATCACACTCTCACACCTCGTCACCTCATACCCCATCACAGCCGAGTCCATTGCAGAGCACACCAGGCCAATATCATGTCCGTACCCCTAGCATCGACCCTATCCTCTTCTCCCCGCCTCAGAACCTCCGCGAGCAAGAGGCGCTGGAGACACTCTTATTCATGAGCAGTCCAGGCAATTCATCTAATCTAAAACACGCTTTCCCCTCGCCCCAGACTTCGCAGCCACACAATGGCCCGCGAACCTCTCTGCCTACCTCTCGGCTTAGGCACATGAACGAGGCGAATAGCCAAGGGCGGAAAGCTTTGCCAACGGGGCGGCCACCAATACAACCGAAGCGTGTAGAATTTGAGAGACCACGTAACACACCCGGCGGCCCAGACATGGATGAGCCGCATGGGTCTTCACAGGCACGAGCCATGCCGCGGCGGCGAACGATCAACGGTTCGATCTCTTCTCGACCCTCGCTATCGATTCCCGTCGGCCTGGGGGGTCGGGCACGGACGAAGCCGCCGTTAGGAGACGACGATGTGCAGCGGATGATCGACCGGGCGGCTGCGGCTGATAGCTCGGACTCGGAAGATGAAATACATCTCCCTCCGAGCAGTCAGCGAAATCGGACAGGGGTTGGCGCGGGATGATTCTCGAGTACTATTCACATGCCCATCTCTAATGCTGATGTAATGACTTTTGGGGGTGAAAGGAGAAGCAAGTCCAACGACAGCGCCTCGAGATTATCCAACAATTCGTTCGTATGATAACGGTACTCTATATTCTGATTTCTTTTCTAACGATTACGAATTCATGCACATACGACCCTTTCCATGAGTTTTGACCATGTGATGGGCAGTTGGCAGGCTGGCAGGCAGGCAGGTGAGGGAGGTTTTTTGTCTTCTGTTTTGGTTATTGGTCTCTTTTTTTTTTCTGGAGCATTTGGCGCATTTGCATTGGGAATTCATTCATGAAGCATAATGGAACGAAAAGATGGGTTTCGAAGGGTATAAGGAGGGTGTAGGTACCGGTATAAGTATAGGTGCGCATCGATGAGGCCAATTACCTATTACCGGTATGTAGGTAGCAGAGAGTATATAGCGCGCTCCACTCCAAGCGGAACTTGCAACAGCGAGCAAGATCAGACGTTAAGTAGTAACCTAGAATATTGAAGTAGGTATATAGGTAGGCAGGCAGCTACCAGACCAAGAAACACAGACCCTGCGATATATATCATGCTCAATGGATGAGGTATACTTGCTCTGTGTTGTCTGGAGTGTTCCGGAGGTTGTTGATGAAAAAGTATGTTAATAAACAGTATCCCTTTGCGTGTTAGTGTACTACCTATGTGGGTTGCTTGTAGGTTCGTTGTAGGGCAGAGCTGTCCTGGGATCATGCTTGTTATCCTCATATATCTATATATCTGTCTGGGCTAGGTACTTGTTAGTAAGAGGGGCAGCGCGTTCTTGAGTTATCGATTCAGCTTAGATAGATTGATGATAATTACATAAGTACATGGGTACCGAGTTATTATGTACATGACTCGTGGTGAAACTTGTGGTAAGGTAGAGGTATCAATGTCCATGTAATTCATGTGATGTGAAGGGATGAAACTGTGTTGAAAGTATATGTATTTGAAATGGGAATTGGTAGGGGGGTCGCTGGTGCATAGATTCTGGGATACAGGATTATGAGTCTGTGTTTTAATAAAAGAGAATAGGAAAAATAGAAGAGAGAAGAAAAAAGGAGAAGGGAGATCATCTATATGGGGTGTCTTTCTTCGTTGGAGATGAAGTTAGAGGAGTAAGATGTTTACTTGATCCGCATGATTCCGAATACCCGAAGTTGGCATGGGAGGTATAAGGTATAAGTAAGTTACTTTTACTGTAATATGGAACATGGAAATTGCAAAGTCAGGGAGATTGGTGATGGTGGCGTTATTCGGAAACTGAGCGCCGTCAAGATTGGCTTGTGAGATGAGTATAACTATTTGTCTCATACACATGACTTGCCCCTTCTGTGGTGTGAGCCTCTCAATGGGCGACTGGGGAAATACAAATTCTTTAATCGGTACTTAAGAACTCGTTTGCCTATCTGTATGTTGGAACGCCGAATATGTTGTGAGGTATTCTAGGTAAATATTTATCTTCTGATTAAGCAATGCTCGCGGTTCACGGCTTCTCACGAGAGCCTTTACATGGTATGATGGGTGGTAGCCTTGTGGTGTAGGACAGTATGCCCTTCTCCTCAGCACTTGTCATTCTAACTGTTCATCGTTGCATGAGGATGCAAATAATCAGACTATATGTGTTGATTGATTATTGGGGTCGCTGCAAGGTATAAACACCTGCCATGCCATATACTCTCGATTGGTTGATCAAGGCAACTGCTACTCTGGACATGTGGCGAGACACCTCACACCCTCACACTCACTCTCACTTCGAACATCTATCCCATCTCAGCTGCGAATCTACACATGCTACGAAAAGCTCTCAAAATACTTCATCTCGCTGAATGAGTCTCTCACGGACATAAGAAAAGACGAGGTATCCTTTGATGAGCTCACTATATACCATATGAATGCGCTCCAACCGGAATGATCGACATGATGAAAAGATCTCGGCACAATACACGGGCCAGCGCGCCCCACGCAGGTAAGTGTTCAGTTATCAATTGAAATTATGAGAATATCATCGTGTAATTCATTGACATATGCTAGGTGCTGACTCCTGCGATACGGCCACTCGTCACGGACCTCATTCTACCACCTCTCATGAGAACCTTGCTGATGATGTGGCTACTGTCGAGAGTGCTACCACTTCAGAGGTCGATATACTTAACGATCAAATCGACGAATACTCCGAAAGAAACGCCAAAAGAAGCAGAATTAAGATTGACGAGATTCTGGCTGGCATTCGTCCTGGACGAAAGGTTACTCTTCGAGATCGCCTTATCAAAGGCCAGTATGAGCCCCAGATGCTTGGTATGCGAGTGTACAATATGAAAAAGGGTAAGCATGTCTGCTAGTGACGTCTTTCTTCTCTGATTCCTAAAAGTTGCAACAGCCGCTGCTCAGGTCCCTGAATCTCCAGCCGATGTCGGCAAGCCTCCTCGGGATTTTCTTGTTCCTGCTCAGCCCAAGCACCCAAGCAAGTCTAAACATAAAATCAGCGACTCTGAAAAGTCTTCCAATGGCCCCGCGACTGGTAGCAGTTTAGAAGACGCCCGATCCGACCCTCATATCGCATACAAAAGCACACCCATTCACCAACTACACTTCCCTGAAGCTCTTATCCTCTCAGTCAAGCAGAATGCAAGTAGATGGCAAACCAAAGACCACCGCCCGGATTTGGTATTCGTCGTCATGCGCGTCGTTAGCAGCGACGTGCCCGATCTACATGTCTTCACCGGTCTAGGCGAGGCTACGGCTCACGCTCTCCATCTCATTGCGTATAAGCATCCCGAAGCCTTCGCGTTACCACAGAATAACGATAATGAGGGAGACAAGGCCAAGGCCGTGAAGTCTGAGCAGGTTCCGTCTTTGATTAAACAAGTCACTGCGCGACCGATTTGTCAACAAGTACCCTCTGGTCGCAAAGTTGGGAAGTTGAAGGGGCCCAAGATCGTGCTGAGCGAGAGCAGCGACTCGGATACAGACGACGAAAATCCAATGCTACAGATCAAGGAAGAAGACCCGGAACTACCCCGGCCTCCGCGCATCCCGGATCCTAGACCTGATTTCAATAGTCGAGGACAGCTCTTGCTTCGAGACGCCCCTGAGCCTACGTATGTGTTTTGGGGCAAGTATAATATCGCCTCTTTTGGCTTGAAGATGGAATTCCGTCGTGCGGATGGGACTGTGGTGCGAGTCTCTGTTCATCGAAAGACTTTGCGCAAGACGACTCAGCAAAATCGATAGCACGAAAACCTAGAGATGCCGTTGTTTGGTGCAGATGAGACGGTGTTGCATTTGAGAAGGAGTTGGGTTCGTGAATGGACCCCTAAAACGATGCTTTAATATTCGTATACTGGATATTCCATGGAATAAACGTGGTATAACACCGATCACCAGTGCTATAGCGGCGCTGGGATAAAACATGAGAACACAAGTCCGGCATAGAAGGCCGCAGCTAGATACGCTTGCATAATCGAAATCATTTATGTACTTTTTTTTCTCCTCTGCTCTTCCACCTTGAATCTCCTCAGCACGAAGGCCTTACAAACTATCAAACTAGGTATCTATATGCTGATCACATATCCTCGCTCTCTCACGATACTGTGAGCTTGGCCGTCTGCCGCACATCGCGACTGCTCGAGCCGACGTAGAACGTGAACTCGCCCGCGGGGATGACCCAGTTCTGCCTCGTCGCGTCCCACACGCTGACGTCGCGCCGACGCAGCTCGAACGACACGGTGCTCTTGGCGCCCGCGGCGATGGCCGTCTTCTCGAAGCCGCGGAGCTGCTTGGGCGGCGCGTTGGCCGACGCGGGATAGCCCACGTAGAGCTGCGCTACTTCGGCCCCCTTGACGCTCCCGCTGTTGGCGACCGTCACGCTCACTGTTGCCACTGTGTCCCAGAGATCGGCCCGGCCTCCGGGTATGATGCTGCCGGTGGCGGCGCCGGATTTGGGCGTTCCTTCGACCGAGATGCCGGAGTAGGTGAAGTTGGTGTAGGCTGGATAGGGTGTTAGTACTGGGCGTAGGAGTGATGGTGAAGTAGATGCCGGGATACTTACACAGCCCGAAACCAAACTCGTATCGAGGCGCGATGTTAGCCTTGTCGAAGTGGCGGTAGTCGATGAACAGACCCTCGCCGAAGTTGTCGTTTCCGCGCGAGATGGAGGTGCCGTAGTCGGACGCCGACTTGGCGATGGTGTACGGCAGCTTGCCTGACGGCGCCGTATCACCGTAGAGAATATCAACTAGCGCGTTGCCGTTCTCCTGCGACGGCAGACCCGCCCACACGATGGCCTTGACGTTGGGCTGCGCGAGGATCGTCTCGAGAATGATCGGCCCCACGGAGTGCACTACGACGATGACGTTCTTATTGATCGCCGCTACGGCCTTGACCAGGTCGTTACCGCTGTGCCACGGGTCCAGGTTGTTCCGGTCGCCGGCGTTGCCTTCCACCGTGATGTAGCCCTCGCCTGCGTCCGAGGTGATGAAGACGATGGCTGCGTCGGCGCCGTTCACGGCACTGCTTACGCCGTTCGTGTTGTCTGTTGATGAGACGCTGACTTGTGTTCCATCACTCTGTGCGCGCGATCTGATTGCGTCTGCGGGCGCGCTGAAGTACGGGTACGATGCGGTGCCGGAGCCCCAGCCCATTCCTAGTGCTCCTGTGTTGCAGCCTTGATCGCTGCATGCGTTCTGCCCGTGTTGGCCGACGGCGGCGGCTGAACCAACTAGACCGAGCTTTGAAGGCTTCTTCAGGGGTAGTATGTTGCCGTCATTCTTGAGGAGAACTGTGATTCGCTGGCATCAGTAATTTCCTATATTGATCTTAAAGTGGGCTTAGTCTGAAAGGGGAGTCTGCATCTCCCGAGGAATACGCTTGTCGTCTTGCTTGGAAATATCTGCCTTCATGAACCACAACCGGGAGTCGAAGAGGGCCCTAGGATAGATAACATACCGATGCCGTCCCGTGCAACTGCGCGAACGTTTGACTTGCTGTTCAATCCCGGTTAGTTTCGTAATGAGCATACTCTAGCATAGACCTGTAACGTACTGCGATCCTTGCACGTTGGCATTGAGGTTGACGCCAGGGTAACCTGAATCCTGACCAACAAGATACCACGCAGCAAGGATTCTGCGAGCCATGTCGTCTACTCGGGATTGTTGCACTCTTCCGCTGCTGATAGCCTGGCTAAGCTTCGATCCCCAGAGAACCGTCCCGCCGTTGAAGTCGGAACCTGGCATCGTCATATCTAGACCGCTTGTGGCAGCCTGCTCTGTAGAGTGCTGTGCATTCCACTTTGAACATTTCAAGTTAGCCAATGTCTTTTCAAGCGCGGTCCGGAGTGATTATATAGTAATTCAGCTTTCCCAGCACAGCTCTTTTACCTTGACAAGAACCGGGCCAGGACGAAAGTAGCGTTCATGGTTACCTACATCAGTCATAACATAGCCCTTGAAGCCAAGCTCCTGTTTTAGAAGCTTGTTCAAAATCCCGTCATTCTCGCATGCCCAGGTTCCCTAGATGACAAGTCAGTGAGTGGATACCAAGGACGTGAGATTTCTTATGCAAGAACAGGCATATCCCATAGGGCCACAGGTAGATTTACGTTGATCTTGTTATATGAGCACATGACCGATGCTACGTTCGCGTGGACAGCGTCGGCAAATGGCCATAGATACAACTCATGCATTGTGCGGTCGTCAACTGTCGAACTCATAGTTTCGCGATTCAGCTCCTGCTCGTTGAGGATAAAGTGCTTGGCGTTCGCCTGGATACCGGCGCCCTGCATTCCCTCGATCGTCTCTGCCATCGCAATGCCCTGCAGGTAAGGATCGGCTCCAAAGCCCTCCCAGTTTCTGCCACCGTTGGCATGTTTGCCCAATGGCCCTGCGACGGGGCCTAGGAGAACGTGGATGCCCAACCCTTTGGTTTCCTCGCCCATGAATTTCCCTCGTTCGCGGATCAAGGCTCGGTCCCATGTTGACGCGGCTTGGATACCTGGAGTGAAGGCATTTACGCTTTTCGCGTAGCGCACACCGAGGGGGCCATCCTGGAGGCAGAGAGACGGGTACCCTATGGAGTTGATAGCGGGCGTGTTCCCAACGCAAGCACCCTTGCCCCAGCCGACTCCGGTCACGATGTTGATCTTGTCATTTGAAGACAATCTAGCAAGTGCGCTGTTGGCTTTTGCGTAGGCCGCCTCCCAAGTCAGGGCTCGCTTTTCTAGAATATTGTCAGCAGGGACTGCTATGGCCCCGGAAGCGGCGGATAGTGCCGCTGCGAGTGTCTGAAACCTCATTGTTTGACCGCGGAAGACGATGGCGTCTTGACAAGAATGACGGTCCGCTGTCTTTCGCGACTTGATGGTGGCCGGCGCCGAGAGGGAGACAGCGCACCTCTGCCATCTTATACCCTCACCGACTATGTCTTGGTCCTTTTCCCATTCTATGCTGTGCCAGGCCGTGTTGAAAAGACCCCACACCTAATATGCAGCGGTGGTGAAAAGCCCATGCAGAGCGTATGTCCATGTACCCTGCGATTCACCCAGATCGGGCAAGCTGCGGAGGAGCAGACGATGGAGAACATCAACAACCTTGCTCTCGCTCTCCACGGGGTCGACGATGTAGATTGGCTCATCTCTCCGTTTCGCGTCTCGGCAAATGCTCGGGTGGCTTTTCCCCATATGTCTCATGATGTCAAAGCAGTTCTCGTTGCAGCGTGGTGAGGAGCAGTGCGTGCGGAGTGCGGAGTCTGCTTCCGGGCCGTGTTTCCCTCGTGTTAAACTTGATGGGGATCCTCGTCTCCCGCCTATTGAGCCAAATGAGGTACGCCAACTGTAGATCAAGGGAGCCTCTGTCTGCCATTCGGGTTCTCATATGCCGTCTAAATTACCGAGTGCTGGGCAGTAGGTTTAATCCGCACTTTCATGCGATGGCCATCACTAGTCAGTACTTGTGCAGACGAGATGTCAAGGCGCCAAGACATCCCTTCTCAGATCTTCCACAAATCACGCCTATCGACTTCACTCAAACAAGGTCTACTTGGTTGAACGCATATATTGGGTTAGCATGGGCCATACGAAGCCTGGTTCCGTACGCTTAAAATCAAGGCTTACCACCGCGCGTACGCATAGTGTACCTCTATTAAGCCAGCTAGACAACTAAGTTTCAAAAGCTGTCAAATTATATGAAAAGCGAAAAATGAAAGCCCATTATTATTTCGGGTTTGCCAAGGGATGCAGGGCGGGGCGGGGTTTCTTACGACCTGCCTCTTCTTCTCGATAGTGAATCCCTAAAAGCAGCTGGGCTGAGTCTTGGAATTTAGGTACAAGTACCAAAGCCAAGTAGTGTATGTATGTATATTTTCATGCAGATATATATCAAGAGGCATGAGCTAATTAGGTAGTGGTTCATCTGATGTAGTTCTTGAGGAAGTTTCACATAGAAGGATTGCCATCACTAATCCAATCAAGACCGATCCTGTTGAATCCCGCTCGGAATCGCTCCCGATAGTATCGATCCACCACATTATGACCATTGGCTCTAAGATCTCCCTACGGATAGGACCCGGGATTCGATCTTCGGGGCATCAATATGCATATATTATATATTTACGTAACTAAGTGATATTCTAGGTTCCTGTTTTGTAGACTTTGATACAGTCTCTCCTTTCCTACCTGTAGGTGTTAAATTGCAAATAGGAATGCTGATGGGTGTCCAAGCTAGGCGTGGAAGATACCTAGCGTCGGTTGAATACTATAAGCTGCAAATAACTGGGCACACCTCATTTAGTTTGGGAGCAACTGGAGTGGACGCGCGCGCGATGCCTATGACTCTGCTATGACCACACGACGTCTAGCGCGTCCGATTATTCTACGCCCTTCGTGCCGTGAGTCGAACAACCAGAAGAGGATAGGTCAACAACCTCAGAATAGCAAAGCCATCGGCTCCAGATCGAGCTTATTGGTGAGCCAGTATTCGCCTGCCGAACGCCGAGACCCAAAAGCCATAGCTTTTACGCTGTGTTGCTCGTGCCTGCGCCCTATATCGGACATCCATATCGGAGGTGACTAAGTAGGTATATGGAGCTATACATACATAAAGCGGCCTGGAGGGGTCTATATACGTCGTCTTCAATCGACGATCCGCATGACATCGTTATAAAATCAATTTCAGGCAACTCAGGGGAGTTAGTGATTTGGCAGGATGGCTAAAAGGCATGTAGAGTATGGGAAAAGTCTACTCCAGCTTTTCGAATTTGATCCCGAGTACCGGCACCTTAATCATGGTAGGGCAGGCAATTTGAAGTTCTACGGACAGCGTTAATGTATTCGGCAGGCTCTTTTGGCGCTGCGCCGCGCGACATCAGAAAACATATGCGACATCACCAGGACCTCGCTGAGTCTAGGCCGGACAGCTATATCCGATATGAGTATCCCGTCATCTTAGACGAGTGCAGAGCGGCGATGGCCAAGCTTGTCAACGCCCATGTAGACACAATTGTCTTCGTTCCAAATGCTACTGTGGGAGTCAACACTGTTTTTCAGAATCTTACATGGGACGATGATGGTAAAGACGAGATCATCTACTTCAGCACTATCTACGGTGCCTGTGCCAAGATCGTTGATTATGTTGTGGATAGCACTTCGGGAAAAGTATCGTCACGCGCCGTTCCTCTCTCATATCCATGCGAGGACGAGGATGTTGTGAAGGCCTTCCATTCGGCTTTAGAAGACAGTGGAAATGCCGGTAAACGCGCCAAGATCTGCTTGTTCGATACAGTGTCGAGCCTCCCCGGAGTCTGCTTCCCCTATGAAGCGATCATCAAGGCATGTCGCGACGCTGGGGTTTTGAGTCTCGTGGATGGCGCACAAGCTGTCGGACTGGTCCCAATCGACCTTGACAGTCTTGACCCCGACTTCTTCGTTTCTAACTGCCACAAGTGGCTCTATGTTCCTAGAAGCTGTGCTGTGTTCCATGTGCCACTGCGTAACCAGCACATGATCACAACCACTACACCTACCTCTCATGGCTACGTCCCCCAGTCGGGATCCAGATTTAATCCCCTTCCACCATCGAAAAAATCTGCGTTTGTTAACAACTTTGAATTCGTTGGCACTCTAGATACAAGCGCGTATGTGTGCGTGAAAGAGGCTATCGAGTGGCGCGAGCGGGTTCTCGGGGGCGAGAAAGAGATCTGTAAGTAATCCAAGCACACAATTCTCATCCTTCTCAATCTCCACTACATTCTGTATAAGATATAATAACGCCAAGACCAAGACTTTGTACACCATTGGAATCCTCTCCCATCCTGAAATTCCTAGGGCTTAGAATGATTAAGGCTAATATAAAGTATCATAGTTGAGTACTGTCACGCCCTGGCCGTATCTGGGGGGCATGAAATTGCTTCTATACTGGGGACGGAAGTGATGGATAACCCGTCTCATACTATGTCCAAGTGTGCCATGATCAACGTCGCCCTACCTCTTGATGGCGAAGACAGATCCTTGGAGATACAGCATTGGATAATGAGGACGTTAGCCGAAGAATACAAGACATTCATTCCTCTAAAAGAGGACGCTGGTAGAGTATGGGCTAGGCTCAGCGCGCAGGTATATACAGACATGGATGATTTCATATGGGCTGGTCAGACGCTTCTTGCTGTCTGCAACAGAGTCAAAAGGGGCGATGCTAGTCAGACACATACTGAGGATAGCTGACGGCTAGTTAACCTACGTCGAAGGAGGCAAGATCTTTGCTATGTACATACATGTGAAGACGTTCAGCTGCCAACATTACCTTACATTATCGACCGTACTGAAGTTGTTATTTCCACCTTGTGAGCACCCCTCGTCGGTGTGTGGTTGTACCTCAGACATACACTATTTGGAAAGCTCCAGTCTCTCCAGATTTCACTAATCTGCCGGCGCCCTATCAGTATCTAGACAAGACCTAGTTCTGACAAAATTGCATATCAGCGCTAGGTATTCACTGGCCCCAATCGAGGACGTTATATTTCTACTTTCATCTATTAATGGCAATTCCAACAGCATGTTAATGGGGCTATGTGCTTCCCGCGTCATTGTCTCCCGGATATCCATGATAGCAAACAAGGCAGAAGATAAACCGAGGGATGTCAAGGACTCTTTGTGGAAATAATTAGATTGTGAATCAATAATGAATAAAGGCTGACCATATTAGGAGATAATCCGTGATCTACTCTGCGAAGTCCTACGCCCTAAAAGCTCTTGCTATAAGGCTCTCGTCATCGCGCCCTTCATAGCGTTTAGATGACCTGTAGGGCATCTTATGAGCTATGACGCAATCTTCATAACCATCAGCAGCTCTCACTCACACTCATTCAAGTCAGAGTCCTAGGGATAATACTGGGTTTATGGTAATACTGGAAATACCGGGACTCGGACAAGTAGTGCCACGTATAGCTATGAACAGATAATAAATCATGTGCATCTCATGTAAATGAGCACTACAGTCACAGCAGCCCTCCATCCTTGTCGGGGGCATTTACTTTACCTTTTGCTGCTCTCATCATTTTCATTTCAATCAGAAAACAAAAAGGCTAAGCACATCGAGATGTCACCAATAATTACATATTTCAGCGCATACTAATTCCCGTATAATCTAATTTCATATTTCATGGGCATGATACAATGAGTTTCTTTAAAGAGACATTGTTATAACAATCCATATTGGTAGTGTCTTATCTCATCAGCCACATTTCATGCCCGCTGGTCATCCGGACTGATGATAGCCTGCCTTATGACGCGGTCAAGCAGATGTGAGGGGCATTTCCTCTGAGAGAGCCTCCCACACCTATAGGTAGTACTCGTTGGGTTCAACAAAGTCCGACATGCTAAACATAGCACCTGCAGGGCTTTCGGTGCTGTTGGTTTTCTCTCTGTTGTTGCCATCTTGTTGTTATGTTTTCTTTTCCCGTTCCCTTTGTCAGCTTCTCATTGGCGGAGAAGTCATCTTGCCTACCAATAAGCTGGCCGACGTCAGCACCGTGGTGGGTGGCTCCGCCACGGCCAAAATAGCATTAGCAAGGGAGGCCGACCGACGACCGCTCAGCAATTCCCAGGCAGGCTACAAGTCCCACAGACCTCAGCTCGCCGGGCTAGCTAATCTACAATATGGATGTGCCAAGTTCCGGGCGGCTATACCACGTTTCCGGGTCGTAGCGCTGACTGCTATTGCCGGTGTATCCCAGCTCACCGGAGCAGAGAGACAGAATCGCCTATTACCGTCCGCAGATGTGCGGTAAGCCTATGCGCCGCCACGGTCTTCTGGCGGCATACAAGATCAATAATACTAGGAAGATGTGAGGCTTCGAAAAGACTATAAATGCACGGGCATCGCTTGCTCCAGCATTCTGTTGGTTGCTCATACTCTCACGCTCTTCTATAGCATCACTAACTAGACTGACTGCATAAATCCCTTCTTACACTCAACTCAAACACTTCCCTCATTCTACGAAATCATATTCTATTGTATAAATCAAGTCATCATGTTTACCCAGCATCTTATAACCTCGGCGACTCTGATGGGCTTGTCCGCAGCTTACGTCGCACCGCGCACTACGCCTGCCAGCGATGGGTTCCCAGATCCCAACCCACAGCAGCTTTTGAGCATCGAACAACAGGCAGATGGTCTGCTCTCCAACCTACCTCCACCGCCTCAACTTAGCGATGCGGGTATCACCAATTTCCAGCTCATCGCTTTCAATGAGAACTTGGAAGTCAGCTTCTTCGACGAGATCATAAAGAATATTACGAGTCACGCACCCGGCTTCTGTTCTAACTCGAGCGCATATTCGGAGACCGCATTGCTGGAGATCCTGACCACAGTCAAAGCTGTAAGTCGTAGTTAAACCACACTCACTCGGGTACGTCGCGCATCTACTAACATATTACCCCAGCAAGAAGAGCTCCACGCTATTACGGCGATCAACAACCTGGAGCATTTCAACGCGCCACTGGTCCCGGAGCCATGCACGTACAGTTTCCCGGTCTCCAATCTCGAGGAAGCCATCACTCTCGCCGAGACCTTGACGGTAGTAGTCCTAGGCACGCTCCAGGACGCCGAGCAATCCTTCGCGCAGAACGGCGACGACGGCCCCGTGCGCGCCGTGTCCTCCGTCATCGGCCAAGAGGGCGAGCAGAACGGCTTCTACAGATCCCTCCTCAACCTCAAGCCGTCGGAGAAGCCGTTCTTGACGACCAACGTCGCGGCCTTCGCGTTCTCGGCGCTGCAGCAGTTCGTCGTCTCGTGCCCCTTCGACGTAACGCAGATCCCCATCCCTATCTTCCCTCCTCTGCAGGTCCTCACTACAGCCGAGCCCCGCGACATGTACCTCTCCTTCTCGGCCGATCTGAGCGGTAACCCGAATATCACTGAAGGATCCGATTTCTCCGACCTCTTCGTTACGTATCTCGTCGGCCAGCAATTGCCTATCTCTGAGCCCATCATCAACCCCAAGTTTGACTCCGGCGTGCTGACTTTTGATGCACTATTCCCCTTCACGGAGAATATCATGGTTGGGTTGAGCATCGCTTCGCTGACGAGCTCGAATAACTTCGCGAATGCTGATGCCCTTGTTGCTGATACGCTTGCTGCGCCGGGGCTGATCCAAGTCAATGAGCAGCTGTCGGTGTGATCAGGGTGAGGACAGCAGATTGATTTCGGTGGGTTAGCCTGTGATATTGGCTACCGCCGGAACTTTGACCTCTTCTCTTCGCTTCTTATTGAGATATTGCATTGTATTATTCATTTGGTGGGATTTGTACGCTTGGGGGGTTCATCTTCATTTTTCTTGCATTCTATGGTATGTACATTGATTTGATTGCATGATTTATAAGAGGGTGGAGAGAGAATTAGCATATAGACCTGTATATTCACACTCGCGTATATATATATACATGTGTCCATCATGGATTTTGTATCCTGCAAGGTTTTTATGTCCTAGCAAACAATTGACCTAACTTCTCGGAATTCACTGCCACCCCCTGCGTTTTATCTGCACAGATAAGTACCAGCTTCTTGACGTCTTTGCTCGTTGTGAGCCTTCAATGCTGCTTCGATCTGCGCTGGTGGCCGCCCCTACTGCAGGCCCTAGAGGATTATGTTATTGTAAATAGCTTCAATTCTAAACACTGTCAGTAGTTTTGCTATACTAGGTATGATAATAATTTATTATACTAAGGGTTGAATACACACGCCGCAAACTGTGACCCGAATAGTTGCAGCGAATTCCCGTCGCTGTATGTAGAAATCACCAATCACTGTTATTAGCTCCAACACACCACGGCCCCGCGCTTCTTTAAGACTAGCCTTTTGCGCCCATGTCTTCATGATTATCGAAATACTCAGCTCTTCTGAGGGTCGTGCTTGAACTGAACACCTAGCCCAGCCGCCTGCTGCTTGATCCAGTCTCTGGCGCAAATATCCTGCTCCTCCTCGGGACCATCCGGTATACCGGGGGCTCGTAGCTGCTTCATAACGCACTGGTCCTCAGGTCTCACGAAGTATACTATGCTGAAGCGCGGGTACTTTCCTTGGAGCCCTGGAGCCGGGATCACGCGATGGCGGCCTGCGCAGAGCACGCCGTTGGTGAACTTCACGGCTGCGTCGCCTAAGTTGATGACTTTGATGCTTTTCATTAGCAAGAACTGCACGACGGGGCAATAGTGGGAGAGAGAATGAATATGAGAGGGTCCCGAGGTGTAATAGACGAGTCGAAAAGTATGTGTGGCCTGACCCGCGAATTTCGAGAACAGCGGGGAGAATAATTACTTACTTGCGCAGCCCTTCTTTGGCTTCACCCACAACCACTCGCCAGGTGTATCAGGCTCGTGATTCAGAAGTTGCGCCTTGCGCGCCGACTCGGACCAAACTTGAAGACCGCCCAGCCAGTTCATCAAAAGGGTGATACTAGCGGCGAAGGAAATTGATGTGTTAGTAGGGTACGTCGATCGATGCGGTAGGGCATTCGAGTGCCCTGCTGGATAAAAAAAAACGAAAACAAGAAACAATCAGGCATTTCAACTTACGTGCCGAAGTCGGTGTGGCTCGGGGTCTGGATCTCAGGCATTTCCTCCGTGTCCCTGGGCGGTCCCCGCGTCATGCGGATGTGGTCACCAGACTGCTCTTCGATGCGATGACGGCTGGCGAATTCTTGCGGGTCGACCCCGAGCCTCTTCGCGATAATACCCAATATGTGCAAGCCGACACTGTGCGAAGTCTCGACGTACTCTTTGAACATCGGCTTGGACGCCATGACCAGCTCTGGCCATGGCTTCCTCATTTGATCATCTGGTAGGATCACTATGATCACCTCATGGCTCACGTCAGTCTGTGAATCATGAGGTAGATAAGCAGGCATGCAGGGAGAAGCTTCTCTGCTGAGGCTCAATCATTGTCGGACATTTATCAGTCACATCCACCGGCTCGCTCTTTCATATAGGAGATACATGGACAAGAAAGAAGGAGAAATGTGAGCTCACTTTCATTCTTCCCTAGGTTGAAGAACTCGGCGGTGTCCTTGGTTCCAGCCTTATCTGTCTTAGTCTCGCCCGCAAGCTTGTACCCGTCGAGCGAGTCTCCCTGTATCCGATACTTTATCTTCTCCTTAAGTGGTAGTTTGAACACATCCTCCGCGACGGCGGCCACCTTGTCCGCGCCCTCGACGATGATGTCGCCGGCGGGACATCCCGGCAGCTCGAGGTAGAAGAAGCCGCGACCCTTGCATATCTCGAAGACGCGGTCCGCCTCGGTCGAGTCACTGTCGGCCAGGATCTTGGCGAGCGAGATTGTTTCTAGCTCGATGGTAGGGAAGCCATCTGGAAAGGGGGGATAGGTCTCCGGGGCAAACTCTCGGGTGGATTCGCTATGAGGCATGTTGGGCTAGTATTAGGTACTTAGGTAGGTTTGCGGAGATGCTGTCAAAGATTAGGGACGTGATTTGCGGGGTGGAAGTATAAAGATACTCTATTATTTAAAGTTCTGTCAAAAGCTAAAGCATGGGGCGACGAGATGAAATGAGCAGGACGATTGAGAAACTAGATAAGTTGGGTGTCATCTAACTGCAAAATGGTCAATTATTTAATCAACTAGTATCTTTGATCGGCTCGGTTTCGATGGCCGCTTTATACATTAAAGTCGGTATGCATTCACCTTGCCGATGGGTGCAACCGTCCCAAGCAAACTAACCGCTGGGTCTACGGTAACTGGAGCTTGACGCGAGATCAAATGACAATCCTATAGTGGGACATGGTAGGTCAATTGCGAATCATTGATGTGGGCACAATGAGGGGAAGTGAACAACGCGCGCCACCGATACACTTCTCCAGCCAACCCCGAATTGGGGTCGGCTCTTTGTCTCGGGGTCTCGACTTCGTGTGATGTAATAGCTCCTTCGCGACTCTACATAAACGCGAGAGCAAACGCTGGAGAACTAGTTCAATTACAGTAAAGAGGACGGTATATTCTTTAAGTCTTATGTATGTCTTACGTGGTGTATGCTATACGGTCTATTACCGGCAGGCTTGCCGAAAGCATACATACGACTCAAGTGATTCCTATATGTAGCGCCAATTATGTATAATGTTGTCCTTTGCAACACCCAACTCCGGTGACAGCTAATGAAACATGTGTTATAGTATAGGGTGAAACCGAGGCCACGAGGCGGTTGCGATTTGGTGTGTGTACAAGTCGTTCATAGGCCAAGAAGCTTTTAGATATTTTACAGTCAAAGCGGTTGTTGATGAGGCGAACATTTCATATCTCAAGTTCAGAAAGGCATAGGAGGCGACATGAAGTCGAAGCCGAGGTTTGAGCCTAAGAAGCCTTCAACGCTTGAGACCTCAAAGAAAGCTCCCATCATCTGGCGAGGTTAGCAATTGCCAAGTCGAGGCTGGATAGGCGGGGAAGTAACCTACCGAGTGGTCCGTCCATTCCTCGTCCGTCGTCATGAGCGAGTCCCAATCGAATTGGTTCTCGCTGCCGTTGGAGTTTGCATACTCTGCTGATGCAAGTTGTTGTTTCAGAAGATCAAAGCATATCTTTTCTGTTTTCTTGGCTGCGCTGAGGATTGGCTCAGTGGTCTTTGGGCCGTCCAGACCGTCCATTAATGCTTGCACATAGGCTGCTAGAGCAACACCAAACAGGTATCCCTTTACGTTAGTTTCGCCAGCTTTGATACGAGAGAGGTACAAGGGAAGAGAGTGCCGTATGATATTAAGCAGGTCAGGTCGTGGTGTGGGCGGCCCTATGCTGTCGTCCTCTTGCAATGTTGTCTGCAGTTCGAGGAGAATGATCATAGATGCTTGACTGGCGACGAGCCTCCAAATGCCAGCGCCACAAACTGCAAACCGAGCCAAGTCATTCCCTTCTGTTGATAATGTTTCCAAATCTGCTCCGCTGTTGACGAGCGGCGTTGTAGAACTGAGATTGGTAGCTGAGGAAGGAAATATTAAGTGATACGACTTGACAGCGGATTCGATGACCTCTTTACGAGAGAAAGAGAAGGCAGGCTCTCTGAGTCCCGCACCAAACCAGGGGAGATGCAAGCCGATCAGGCAACGACGAGCCATTATCTCGATGAACCTGCACTGAAATGCAGTTGGCTGTCGTCCGGAATGCGGATAGCTCTTGAGTCGCTTCATTAGACCCTTAAAGGACGTCATGAAACGGCGATGCAATTGAATTGTATCTTCGTACGTTCCTCGAAATGGTGTAGCGTTGAGCCATTGATAGATTGCAAGTCTATCGCGAAAGCTGTCTCGTAAAGCGAGAGGAATGCTCATATCCGTGAACCTGTCGCCTGCTTCAGGATCACTTGATTCATCGTCTTTCATCAGATCCGTGTCGTCTAAATTAGCTGGGGCTCTAGTGTCTGATGTTTCGGGTGAAATTGTCGGAAAGCCACCCGCGTCAGCAGATGTCTTCAATTCTAATTCCAAAATCGTATTCCAGAGTCGCCGGCGAATTTCTGCATCTAGCCGGGACATCTTTGGGAGCCGACTGGGATCGCGATGAAGCCCCATGCAGAAGGCGCTTCGTAATAACGATCCCACATGGATCCAAACCAAGTCCCCGCCAACAGAGGCTGTCTCCCTCGCTATTGTAAGGAGAGCCATTATTTGTAAACCAGTAATCGTCAGCTTTCCCTTAGCTGGAGGACCCAGAAGCCAATATTGTGCCTCTATTACCCACTGCACTGCCGAATTGCGCATAGAGAAAGAATCATCGTAGAGGGTACATCCAATGGCCATGACTAATTGTAGCTGGATCACGAAGGATAACCCGACCGTATCAGGGGCCGCCCAGTACCGTTCATAGTCACGTTTGAACGTCGGTACGTGAAGAACCCGGAAGATTGTCTCGATGGACCGTAAGTAACCATCCACAAGCCTGTCTGCAATATCCCTAGTAGGCATTTTTGTTCCAAACTTGTTGATGATGCCAGGGTAGCGCTGTGCCTTGATCGATCGCCCAAGGGCTTTGCATCGATTCAGGACAGCCACGGCCTCGGATTTGGCGTCCCTGGACTGATGTTCGAATAGTTCGAGCATTGATTTAAACTGGAACACTGTTAGCGAGCTGACAAGAGCTGAATGTAACAAAGAAAGGAAAAAGAAAAGAGTGAAACGAACATGTACTATGATGTTCATCCAGTGACTCTGGCCAAAACAGCGCGTCTTGGAAAAAACACCCCGACTCATCGAATGGATATCAACAGCCAGATAACAGTCAATAGCTGGCCCTTCCGGGCTAGGACTTTGTTGATCGCGTCTTTCCGGTGGCTCCTTGGCCGCCGTCGATTCCTCGAGGCGGCGTTCGAGCTCGAAGCATCTCTTCAGCAACGCACCCACGTCGAGAAGCGGCGCAGGTTGGTTTCCAGAATCCGAGCCAGGCACAGGAGACACATGATCGTGGTTCAGTGCTGTGGATGCGCTAGATGCTGGCGTGACGGGACCACGCCGCTCGGTCTCGGCAGTGCCAGCTGGGTCGGCTGCGGTAGACGCTATCCCCGATCTCCGGGCGGTTGAGCGTGCTGTGTCTTCAAAGACGCACGTCTTGTGCCGCCCACGAACACACGCGCCGCAAGGATGCTTGCGATCGCAGCGAATCTTAGACTTGCGACAGCTTACACAAGCAAGAGTAGGCCGACGGCGCCTTTGGTCAGTTTTTGGTCGCTGGGCTCCCTCCATGGCACTCTACATAGGCAGGTTAAGAGGTATGTAGCTCGTTCATTCCAAGAAGCCTTGTATCGCCTATCGGTTCATAGGCGAGCCATAACACGTCCAGGTCGTGAGATGTCATGGTGATCTTACTCGGGGAAAGACCCAAGTTCGGCCGATTTTCATATTATATCCGATTTAATCGGGCGAACTTAGTTGGGGAAAGGTGGGCTTGGAGGATGTGAAAGGCCGACTTGGCGCTCCCTCCGCCAAAATAGCGATGGCGCTATTTACACAATACTTTAAGACGACATTTCAGATCACTGTAATTATCAATTGTCCTTCTCTACGGATAATCCCTGGCCTTCAGTAAGTTACTTGTTTTGTTAAGTTTCGAGGGTGGTCTTTTCGTAGCGCGTAATATTTACTCAGGGTAGCTCAGAAGGTGCTGATCTTGGTCAAGTATAATGAGTTCATCACATGGGAAGAACAGATTGACATAGAAGTGAACGATGGTGCAGCCTGAGCTACATGACATTGGTCGAAGCAGAGAGAGCCATCGTTAAGGAACTGTGTCCACAAAAAGCGTTGCCCCCAATGTCTTCACTATCCCATATTTTCAGGCGTCCGTCAAGGTTCTCTCATGACACAACATTCCGGCCTCTCCCACAACCCTTGTCGTCTCATCCTCGCAATCATAATAGAAGGGAAAGGGATTTCAGGCTCATGAAACGCCCCTCGCGACTGATGTAGTGTCAATTAATCGTGGAGAAGAATAAGAGGACAATGGGTCGCACAGAGCCAACAGTAGTGAAACCACCCGCAGCATTCCGCCGCGACGCCCGCGCAAAGCGAGCCCGAGCCACCGTCAACAAGGTGATTCCCGCGCTGCTATCAGCGCATCCGCGCGCACGTCGCGGCATCGAGCGCTCCGAGCTCATCGTGGACCCACCACGGCTCGGAAGAGACCAACTTGGAACCAACCTTCACGAAGGAAAGCCCGGCGAGGAAGGTCCTGGCTTAGATGCTGCTGTTCAGGATGGGCGCAAAGCGAGGGGTGGTGGACGGCGGAAGACGAACAGCGAGCCTAAGGCTATCATCACGAACGACACCAGCAACAGCCGGGTAAAGAAAGAAAGCGGCGAGGATGATGACGCCTCCAACGGTCTGCGCATCACCTTGTGCGTGGGTGATACCCTAGCCGCTGCACATTCGCTCCTCAATTCTTCAGGGCCATCTCCTTCTTCTTTTCCGTCTACACAGCAGCAAGACCATCAACAACGCAGTCACGACGAGCGTGTAATAGGTAAGAGTGCCAGGCTGAAGAAAGTCGGCATCCTAAACATGGCCTCCCCGCTCTCGCCAGGCGGCGGCTTCCTCAACGGCGCAACAAGCCAGGAGGAGTCCCTATGCATGCGCACGACGCTCTTACCTGCCCTCCGCGACGAGTTCTACCGATTACCTGAGCTCGGGGTGGTGTACACGCCTGATGTGCTCGTGTTCCGGGCTCCTGCTGGCCTTTCTAATGATGTGAGCAGTACAGGAGGAGGAGAAGCGGGAGATCTTAGCGATGACCGCGATATCCTTCCTAAAACCGAGCGATGGCACGTCGACGTCGTAAGCGCCGCTATGCTCCGCCTCCCTGAGACGGAAGACGGCGCGTACGCGAATCCGGCTGACCGCGAGCTCGTACTGCGCAAGATGCGCGCTGTGTTACGCGTTTTCGCCGCGAAAGGGTGCGCGCGGATCGTCCTTGGGGCGTGGGGATGCGGTGCCTATGGGAATCCCGTTGCGGAGATTGCGAGGGCGTGGAGGAGGGTTTTAGGGCCCGAGCATGGTATACCTGGACCTGATGGAGAAGGGAATGCGGATAGAGATGACGCACAAAGGCAGGAGAATAGAGAGAATAAGCGTAACGGGACGAACGACAAGAAATCCCGAAGGAAGAAGAAGAATGATAATCACGAGCCGTGGGGCACATTCTTCGAAGAAGTCATCTTCGCCGTCAAAGACGGAAATCTAGCTACGTCTTTTGCGCGCGCGTTCGGCGAGGACGTTATGCACTTGCCTCCTGCCTCATTGTCCGGCGATGATCACGGTGACGGCTCTTTATCTTCTACGGTGGGTGATGAACTAGATCCCGTGGAAGTAGCACGTGTAAGCGAACTCCGGGGGAAAATAGCGCAGCTCGAGGCGCAGATCGAGGAGACGAGGAGTCTGCAGATGCGCGGTGGGCTGGAGAGCGTGCTGGCGAATCTGAGGAGGCAGCTTCCTGGCGGCGATGACGACAATGAAGAAGGCTCTGTCGTTTCGGGGCAGGGATCTTCCAGTGAGGGAGACGAGGTTGTGGTGACAGATGTGTCAGAGTAGAGATAATATTGTATCGTATCAAAGCTGGACGAGACATTCATTAATGTCACGATCATGATAATGACGTTTAACGACTAGAAGTATTCGATATGTCATGATGATATCCCGATTCGATAGGAGTGAGATTAAAGCACGAGAATATGTATTGATTGTAGAGCATCCATGATATCACAATTAGCTACAGAGAAACAGTGCAGCCTCCGTCCCAATACATTGTATCTCATGGCCACGTATTTTTGTTTTGAACATGAGGTTTCCACAACTAAACCAAAGTATTATTACAGGAATTCGTGGCATAGCGCTACAAACGGAACCGAATCTTTATCTATAGAACAATCATGCCCAGACGCCCCTTATGGTATTTACTGACTTTCAGCTACATTTATAGCAGTAGTTCAAGAGGGTTTTCCACAACTTTCTTGAACTCTTTGATCCACTCACCACCAACGGCACCATCAACGACCCGGTGGTCGAAGCTAGCTGTAACGGTAAGCTGGTCATCCCACTCAATCGAGTTGCCCTCCTCGGTCTCAACGACAACGGGAACCTTCTTCGTTGTGCCGACAGCAAGAATGGCGGCTTGGGGTGGGTTGATAATGGCAGTGAAGTGGTCGACAGCCGAGTTCATGCCCATGTTAGAGATGGAGATGGTGCCGCCCTGGTACTCCTGGGGCTTAAGCTTGTTGTCGCGAGCCTTCTTGGCGAGCTCCTTGACAGCAGAAGAGATGGACTCTAGACCACGGCCCTCGACGTTGGTGACGATCGGGGTAATGAGGCCGGTGGGGGTAGCGACAGCAACCGAGACGTCGACGTTCTCGTATTGCCGGATCGAGTCACCCTGCCAGGACGAGTTGACGGCAGGCACCTTCTTGGAGGCAGCAGCAATGGCCTTGATCAGGAAGTCATTGACTGAGAGTTTGTACTTGCCCTCAGCAGAGCTGTTGAGAGCCTGGCGCAGCTTGAGGAGTTTGCTAGCCGAGATCTTGCTTGTGACGAAGAAGTGAGGGTTGTTCTGGGTCGACTCTTGCAGGCGCTTGGCGATTGTCTTGCGCATGTTGGAGAGAGGGGTGTCGGCGTAGGATGCGGCGGCAGAGACGGCAGTAGGGCCAGAGGTAGTAGCCTTCTTAACGTCGTCCTCGGTGATGCGACCATTGGGACCAGTACCCTTCAAGGCTGAGATCTTGACACCGTTCTCTTTCGCCAATCGCTTAGCCGCTGGGGTGATGTTAGGCTCACGGTCCAGGGCGGTCTCGATCCTGCCTTCCGAAGCATACTCGGTAGGCTCGGGCGCAGAAGTCGGCGCGGGAGCGGAATCGGCAGCAGCAGACTCGGATGATTTAGACTCTTCTTTGGGGGCAGGTTTACCGGCATCACCACCGGCATCCGACAGGCTGAAAGACTCGAAGGCCGAGATGTCGGTTCCCTCTTCGACTAAGACGGCAATTGGCTGGAGGGATAGTTAGCGGGCGACGGGGACAACGAGGTCGGCAGGACAATACGAACGTTTCCAACAGCAACATCCTTCTCACCAGCGTCCTTGAGAACCTTGGCGATAACACCCTCCTCTTGGAACTCGAAGTCCATCTGAGCCTTATCGGTCTCGATCTCGACCAAGACATCACCGGGAGCAATAGAGTCTCCAGCTTTCTTCTGCCAGGCGCCAATGTTGCCGGCCGTCATGGTAGGCGACAAGGCGGGCATCTTGATGACGGTGTGCGGGGGGAAAGAGGCATAGTATCTGGCGAGAGAGGGAAAGCCGGAGCGGAGGGCCGATGCCCGCAACAGGCCTTGCCTTCGTAATACGGCGCCGTACATGGTGGATGTGATGTGATATAAAACAATACCGGGTTTGGTATGTGGAAAGCCCAGCGACACTGCGGTCGAGTGGACGAGGAGAGAGAAGAAGGGAGAAGAGAGAAGGGGAACAACAGCGACCTGGCCGCAAGTGTTGGAGGTGTGTGCGCGCGAAGGTTCAGCAGCAGATGGCGGACAAGGACGTGGATCCGGACTGTGGCACAGGACACGGAAGACGGAGCGCAAAAGACGTCAAGTCGGCGACTGGGAAAACGGCTGACCTGATCAATGACCTGATCAATTGCACACAGAGGTGGCAGCTTGTCGGAGGCTGTGAGGGGATCGTGGCGACGACGTGCGTGAAGGTGAGAAGGGAAGATGTTGGAAGCTTGGCCCCGGTGATCCTCTGAGATGAGCAAAAAAAATGTCGAGGGCCAGTCCGGCCTTGTCTCTGCCCGGTGCTTCAAATTGGGACAGTGTGAACATACAGTGCAAGACTGCACCCTGGACTTCGGGGAATGTTGAGCTGACTAGGGGCAGGATAGCTGCGAGAGCTCTGATTGGTGGCCATTGGATTTCTGTGGGCTCACGACAACGCCCATCGCAACAAGTTGGGGACGGTCCAAGCCCATTTGGGATGTCGCCTACAGTATGCACAGTGTGTAGAGTATGTACAGTAAACTTGAGTCGGCCAGTCTCGGCCAGTTACGGTCAAGATTCTTCTTATAAGCACCTATCTGTTCTTTCTTCCCTGTCTACATCACCTTCGACTTGCCTCCGTTCAGATACTCTCGATCAGAGAGGTATAAACAAGATACTGGCGCCGAGATATGGGCCTCTGAATTTCATATAGATCAGCAAATTCGCGCTGTCTGGTCGGATTTGATATGCTGACCGGCGGCACTTGCGGTGTAAGTATGTAGTAGGGCCGGTGTTACCAGCGTTATCGGAAGTCCATTTGTAGTACCGGTAGGCACATATAAAATACAAACTAGTACACGTGTAGGTAGTGTACTTATAGTACTTCGTAGGCTCAGTTGGGACATGGAGCTCCCCAACTGAATCCGTTGATGTACATGAACGCCTCCAACTATCTATTGGCTCAATATTTATAGTACTAAGTAATTGGCAAGTACCGACCTACCGTATCTCAAAGGCCCTACCGAGCTGCATCTTCTGAAGTGCTATGGAAAATACCGTACTACTGCCTACTACCTCGTGCTTCTACATAGTACTATAAGTTGGCATTTCGCCTTATCTGCCTATGCTTACCTAATACTCAGGACCTACGGCATAGAAGAAGTGCTCATATTATGTAAGTCTTGTGGCTGAAAAAAAGGATACCTCTTAGGTACCTTGGGTAGTTGTGGCTGGCTCTCCTCTACCTACATAGGTAAAGTATGTAGGTACTAGGTACCTTGTAGGTATGCTGCCCAGGTAGTACCTACGCTGCTACAATTAGCCTTACCCACAGCAGGCACATATACCTACTTTAGGTAGACACTCCTTGGCACTTAGGTACTAATTACAGGGGCCCATAGCGCATTCCGTCAGCTCAGCTAGGTATCTAAGTGACAGCTACTGATCTTACACCTTACACGTAGGTGGTAAGGCAGTGAATCGCGCATCCTCAAATGGCCCATATCTGTCTGGTACACCAAAGAAAAAAAAAAGGGATCGTGACATTAGGCTACCTTGAAACAACTGCTCCAACATTCACTCTTTCATAATCCATGGTAGCCTTTGACGCCCAATTGCTTCTCACTTGTTGATTCTTCCAATCCTCCGCTGAAGACGAACACCCTCCCAGTCCCTCGAGAGCCTATTTCAAGATCCGCAGCCCCGACGACGTCCACCACATCCACCACATGCGATCCGTACTCCATCCATAGGCTTCTGCGAGTCGTAGTGACCTCGAACCATCGAGTTGACCGCGCATGGCACGCGCCCCGTGCCTTGCTTCTCGACTGCCATGGGCTCCATCGCCTTCGTTGTCTCTTCTCTGGAGACCATAGCCGCCTCCAAGGAGGCCCAGCGAAACAAACAGCTCGCCGACCTTGCCGGCAAGGCTCTTCAGGCCATCAAAGAAGGCGGCGAACAACCTCCCGAACCCGACGTCGTCTTTGCCCCCTTACAACTCGCCACCAAGACAGGCAGCCCCCAGTTGATCAATACTGCTCTCGATTCCATCCAAAAGCTCGTGTCTTCCTCTTACCTCTCCAGCCATGTCGCCCCCGGCGCATCATCAGAAGTCGGAGCGGATGGAGCCGAGCAGGCCCCAATGCTCGACCGCGCCATCGATACGATATGCGACTGCTTCCAGGGAGAGACAACACCCGTCGAGGTGCAGCGCCATATCGTACAGGCCCTGCTCGCCGCTGTTCTGAACGATAAGATGGTCGTACACGGCGCTGGCCTGCTCAAGGCCGTGCGCCAGGTCTACAACGTCTTCCTGCTATCGCGGAGCACAGAGAATCAGCAAGCTGCTCAGGGTACGCTTACTCAGATGGTCGGCATGGTTTTTGAGCGGGTCAAGATAAGACTGCATATGAAGGAGGCTCGCTTGAACCTGGGCAAGCTGAAGCACAGTTCTAGCAACGTTACCTTTGACCAGCCCGACACTGTCGCCAATGAAAATGGTGTCGACCGTGGCGACAACATGGATGGGTCGACGGGGGACAATAATGCCGACGATGAGTCTGAAGTCGGCCCTCCACAAAACATGAACGATGGCGGTCCGAGGTTGACGCTTAAGGATCTAGAGCACAGAAAGAGTTTCGATGATTCTAACCTAGGTGAGGTGCCAACAATGGTGACCCAGGTGAAGACCGCTCGAAAGCCGGCGCGGAGTGTTTCGGAGCAGACGACACAGAGCGATGCTGCGCCGACTGAAGCTGAGGACACGACAGAGTCTGCCGATGCCGAGGATGAGGTGTATATCAAAGATGCTTACCTGGTCTTCCGTTCTTTTTGCAACCTTTCCACGAAAATCCTCCCCCCTGACCAGCTATACGATCATCGAGGCCAACATATGCGCTCCAAGATGATATCACTTCACCTAACCCGTATCCTTTTAAACAACCACATTGCCGTCTTTACTTCACCGTTATGTACCATCACCAATAGTAAAAGCAACGAGCCCACCACGTTCCTACAAGCTATCAAGTTCTACCTTTGTCTCACTATCACAAGGAATGGTGCGAGCTCAGTAGACAAGGTTTTCGAGGTCTGCTGCGAGATCTTTTGGCTAATGTTGAAATACATGCGCGCACCCTTTAAGGTCAGTACTTCCTCCCTCCATACATTTACATAAGCATGCTGAAATGACGTTTTAGAAAGAAATAGAAGTCTTTTTGAATGAGATATACTTAGCCCTTCTCGCCCGGCGGACTGCACCCCTTACTCAGAAGCTTTACTTCGTAAGCATACTCACCAGATTCTGCGGAGACCCTCGTGGTTTAGTGGAACTGTACCTTAATTACGATTGCGACTCTCAAGTCGACAATATCTTTCAGACAGTGATTGAGGATCTATCTAAGCTAGCGATCACGCCCGTGGCAGTTACCACGATCCAGGAACAGCAGTATGAAGAGAAGGGGCTGAGTTCGAATTTCAACTCGGACTGGCAGCTCAAGGGTATGCTACCGCCGCCGTTAAATGTGCGTGATATTGTACCTCCTGTCGAACCCGAATTGGACATACCCAAAGAGTATATGATAAAGCGAGCAGCGCTAGACTCACTCGTTGAGGCTTTGCGTTCCCTCCTCAACTGGTCCATGGCTGGTCGTCCAACCGCGAATGGGGCTACAGGCGAGAGCGAAACCCGAGCCTCCACGGATGATGTTCGAGAATCTATTGATCCATCCATAGCTGAGAGCAACTCTAGGGAAACGCCTATTCCGCCCTCAACACCCGTCATTGAAGACGATCCGGCACAACTGGAGAAGGAAAAGGCCCGAAAAACTGCTCTTTCTAATGGTATCCGGCAATTCAACTTTAAACCCAAAAGGGGTATCAAATTTTTGATGCAATCTGGGTTTATTACGAGTGAACGCCCTGAAGATATTGCCAGATTTCTGCTCTCAGATGATCGCTTAGATAAGGCTCAGATTGGCGAGTATCTAGGAGAAGGCGAGACCAAGAACATTGAGATCATGCACGCTTTTGTTGATACCATGGACTTCACGAAGCGTCGATTCGTTGATGCTCTTCGTCAATTCCTTCAGTCATTTCGTTTACCCGGTGAAGCCCAGAAGATTGACCGTTTCATGTTAAAGTTCGCGGATCGCTATGTGGCTGGTAACCCGAATGCATTTGCTAACGCCGAAACTGCTTATGTACTTGCTTATTCGGTAATATTGCTGAACACAGATTTACATAGTAGCAAAATCGCGAGGCGGATGACCAAGGAAGACTTTATTCGGAATAATAGGGGTATCAACGACAATGCAGACTTGCCACCGGAGTACTTGACAGCCATCTACGACGAGATTGCCAGCAATGAAATTGTCTTGAAGAGTGAGCGGGAGGCTGCTGCGATCGCTGGTACTCTACCATCCCAGCCAACTGGTTTCGCTGCAGGACTAGGGCAGGCTCTTTCCAATGTCGGCCGAGATCTTCAACGAGAGGCCTACGTCCAGCAATCTCAAGAGATTTCTTTACGATCCGAACAGCTCTTTAAAAACTTGTTCAAGAGCCAACGGAAAAATGCAGCTAGGTCAGGTATCAGGTTCATTCCGGCAACATCTTTTAAGCACGTAGAGTCGATGTTTGCTGTGACATGGATGTCGTTCTTCTCGGCCTTTTCCAGTCAGATGCAAAACGCACAGAATCTCGAAGTCAATAAGCTCTGTCTAGAGGGAATGAAACAAGCTACCAGAATAGCTTGCCTCTTTGATCTGGCGACTCCTCGCGAGGCGTTCATGACTGCTTTGAAAAATGCTACGAATCTGAACAATCCACAGGAAATTTTGGCTAAGAATGTCGAGGCCTTGAAAGTGATTCTAGATCTTGGGCAGACAGAGGGCAATAGTCTCAAAGGATCATGGAAAGACATCCTAATGTGCATTAGCCAGTTAGACAGACTGCAACTGATATCGGGTGGCGTTGATGAGGGCTCCATTCCTGACGTTTCAAAAGCCCGCTTCGTACCGGCCGAGAGAACGAACAGCGACCCTCGGAAATCAGCGACATTAGCACGACGACGAAATCGCTCTAACCCAGGCTCAAAGGGGTTTTCAACAATTATTGCTCTTGAGAGCAGGTCGGATGAGGTGATCAAGGGTATTGATCGCATCTTTAGCAATACTGCCAATCTTCACGGCGAGGCTATCGTTCACTTTGCTAAGGCTCTTACCGAGGTGAGCTGGGACGAAATCAAAGTGTCTGGTTCCAATGACTCGCCTCGCACGTATAGTCTGCAAAAAATCGTCGAGATCAGTTACTATAACATGACCCGAGTACGGTTCGAGTGGACCAATATTTGGGCTGTGCTTGGCGAGCATTTCAACAAAGTTGGCTGCCATGTCAATACTGCTATTGTCTATTTTGCGCTTGACTCCCTACGACAACTCTCGATGCGCTTTATGGAGATTGAAGAATTGCCCGGCTTCAAGTTCCAAAAGGATTTTTTAAAACCTTTCGAGCACATCATGGGGAATTCGACCAACCTAACCGTCAAGGATATGGCTTTGAGATGCCTAGCTCAGATGATTCAAGCACGAGGCGAGAACATTCGATCTGGTTGGAGGACTATGTTCGGGGCCTTCACTGTTGCCGCTCGTGATCCCAACGAGACGATTGTTAACCTAGCTTTCGAAAACGTGACGTTGGTGTATAGATCACGTTTCGGGGTCGTTATTTCCCAAGGCGCTTTCACAGACCTGATTGTATGCCTGACTGAATTCTCGAAGAATATCCGGTTTCAAAAGAAGAGTTTGCAGGCTATGGAGACTCTCAAGTCAATAATACCACGCATGCTAAAGACCCCAGAATGCCCTCTGTCAAATAAGACCAGAGCTGAATCTAAAACATCAGAAGCTTCTTCGAGACAGCAAAGTGGCACATCATTAGAAGAAGGGTATTGGTTACCTATACTCTTTGCGTTTCACGATGTCCTGATGACGGGTGAGGATCTCGAAGTCCGTTCAAATGCTCTTAATTATTTCTTCGAAGCTCTTCTACGATATGGAGGCGACTTTTCCTCAGATTTCTGGGATATTCTCTGGAGACAACAACTCTATCCTATCTTCATGGTTCTCCGTTCAAGGCCAGAATTAACCAACGCCCTTAACCATGAAGAGCTATCAGTATGGCTTTCTACTACTATGATACAGGCCCTTCGCAATATGATTGTGCTTTTCACTCACTACTTCGATGCGTTGGAATACATGCTGGATCGTTTTTTAGAGCTTCTGGCGCTTTGTATTTGCCAAGAGAACGACACAATCGCTCGCATTGGGAGCAACTGTTTACAGCAATTAATTTTACAGAATGTTGCCAAGTTTACTGAACAACACTGGACAAAGATCGTCGGGGCATTCTGCGACTTATTCGAAAGGACCACAGCATATCAGCTTTTCTCAGCTGCCACAATCAATGCTCCAGCCTCGCTGTCCTCACCTGGACACAATGGGTTCAACCTTGATATACCAGTTGCACCTGGCACAGAGACATCGCCAGACGATAAGTCATTAGAAGTAAATGGGATTGCAGAACCCGGAGATAGTGTTGAGGGCGGATCCGCACTGACCAGTGCTCCTCAGACACCGAGCCCTAACGAGGAGATGCGGCCCCGGGCCGGTTCAGTAGCATCTACACCTTTGGAAGACTACAAGCCCGCGTCCTCATTACAGCAACAACCCATCGTGGTTACAGCTGCCCGGCGACGTTTTTTCAACCGCATAATATCCCGTTGCGTGTTGCAACTGCTCATGATCGAGACGGTTAACGAACTGTTCTCCAATGACGCCGTGTACGCCCAGATCCCGTCAGCAGAACTGCTCCGTCTGATGGCTTTGCTGAAGAAATCGTTCCTGTTCGCCCGGAGGTTCAACGAGGATAAGGCCCTGCGGATGAGGCTGTGGCGAGAAGGCTTCATGCAACAGCCCCCTAATCTGCTGAAGCAGGAAAGCGGTGCAGCGGCGACATACATCCAAATCCTGTTCCGCATGTTTGGCGATACGTCACCATCACGCGCAGAGAGTCGGCCCGAGGTAGAGAAGGCGCTCATCCCCTTGTGCAAGGACGTCATCAAGGGCTACCTCGCGCTCGAAGAGGAGTCTCAGCAGCGAAACATTGCGGCGTGGCGCCCCGTCGTCGTTGACGTCTTGGAGGGATACTCGACGTGGCCCGAAGCTGAATTCGGAAAACATGTCCGCGCCTTCTATCCCCTGGTGGTGGAGCTCCTAGGCAAAGAAGTCAGCGCCGAGCTACGGGCTGCACTGCTCAGTGTCCTACGAAGAGTGGGCGAAGTTGGTCTTGGCATCGAAGGCATGACTACTACCGCTGCTCATGGCGGCGGTCGCAGGGAAAGTGTTGTCAGCACCAACACCGCCACTGAAACCCCCACGGATAATGGGGAGGAAGAAGGGGAAATGGGTACAAGAACAATGAAAGATTGAGGCCTTGCTTGCTTGTTATTATATGTACATGGATGGATAGATACTGATACAGGGAAAAAGATTATATGGTTGTTTGCTTCCTCCCGCTCCGCCACCGATTGTCTAAAGTTTTTTGTTGGAGAATTTGAATTGTGTATATTGTATTCTTATCATATTCATATCAAAAGAATGAATTTACGAGGAGGAAGGAATGGGAACATAAAATAATTGCCTATAGAGAGGGTTTCGCATTTCCTGCTTAACTAGATCCTCTTAATATTTCTCACCTGAAAGACTAACCTGTGGCTATCTATTTGGGTTTCTCTTTCCTTTTGAGGGGGTTTATTGGAAAATGTACAAGAGGTTGTTGATTGGTCCTTCTTGCGATGATGGAGAGATAGACAGATAGTCGGAGTAGTTTGTCGAGTAGGTATGTATCAGTGGTTGGTTGGTTGGTTACATGGATAGATAGCATGGCACAGCACAGCACAGCACAGCTTGGCTGTGGCTGTGGAAGAAAAAAAGAGTCTCTTTTTTTTCGATCTTATGATGTGATGTGATGAGATTGTGAGACGTGATATGTGATGGGGAATCGGACCGTAAGTCTTACTTACTCTTCCAACCTGCCGAATGCTCTCTGACTAACTCGGTAGATGGTTGGTAGTTGGCGGTTCGTAGCAAATTAGTTAGTTTTGTGCCTCCCTCTTCCGTATAGCCTTGCATAATGCTTACGTTTATCTCTGCTCGTTGCCTCCGCTCTTTTCTTGGGTTATCTCGTCATAGGGATGTAATTATGTGTTCTGTACGACTGCTTCTTGGTACGACAACATGTTTCTTGGCCCTTCTTGTGTTACATGTGGTTAAGTAGTTGATTTATGTAGTTAAACTAACACTGGTTTTGTGATACGACGGTCAAGTGAGGCAACCGACTAATCAATGAACCAAATAGAGAAATAACCCAACCTAACCTGATCTGCACTATCTTAACTATCTGCTTCGGCAGGTGTCTTATCCGAGCGCCACAGCTCATATCATCCTGTTTTCCAGCCCTGATTGATCACTCCGGCCCTGTTCTTTTGTTCTTCATCTTCTGCCTTTTTGTTTGGTTTATCCGCTCTCGAAGGAACTAAGTATCCGCTTAGTGTAAGCTTCATTGGCTTCGTGTTACACAGGCTCTTCTTATCAAATAGTTAGGAGCAGCTAGCTAACTTAGGTATGCTAGGGTTACATAGTTTGATAGAGTTACGCGCTGAGCCATGGAGAAGCCCCATCACGGTTCTCCACGATCAGCTCTGCGCCGAGAGTTCTTTTTGTCTTGGTATTTCACCGCGCCGCCCCGTGCCGCGCTCCGTCCTGCGCTAGTAAGATGTAAGTAAGTAGATAACGTTATAAGAAAGAAAGACAGGTAGACCGGAGGAGGGCTAAGACTGCCCATGATTGTTACATAGAGGATATGTACACTGTTTACTACTACTTACTATGTAGTGAAGTATGTAAGAATATGAAAATGTGCGAAAGTACGGAGTATTGTTGCACGACATTATCCGGCGGACTGCATGCGATGCGGTGCGGGGGGCGTGCTCGCCCAACAGCATTGGTCTGAGTGATCATGCATGCATGCATCCCGACGTTGCACCCGGTTCTGCGACTCTATCGCACCATCGTTTTTCTTGTGTGTCTGTATACCCGTTCTTTCAACTTCTTCGTCGTTCGTAGACGCATTACGTACTTCGTAGGTATCCTAATAGTCGTCCTCTCCGCTTGGGTGTAGCATTGTGAGTAGAGAACGAGCATGGGGGTGGCGGGCTGACTCATCTTGAGATTACTTACATATGCCTACATTCAATTACTGCGTACAGCTCACGATGCATGGATAGCTACATAGTTTCTGCAGTAGGTACTCCGCTACCAATGCTACATAATCTCTCCCCTGCCTACATGAGCCACTACCTGTGCTGGCCGTGGTGGAAGTAGAATGCGGGAAATGGCTGTGTTGGCTGCTGATTCTTGGGGCGCGGAAGACGGATGCCGAGAGCTGTGCTCACGGTTACATGTTATGCTATGCACATGTGTGTTGGTATGTACTTATGTATGTATCTGTCTGTGTGGATGGAATATGGCTACCGGTACTCTGTGGCAGTAACTACGTGCATGAAGGCTTGGTGAGACTTGACATGCTGCTCGTGAAGTCCCTCAATCAGACTTGTACGATGGCTGGCAGATAAACATAGCCTGGCATGGCATGGCAACGCTAGCATGACATGTACAAAAGCCCAACAGTACGGAACGTAGCCAATGATAGAGGTATGTATGGAACTTTTTTACAACCGTATGTTCTTGTTTTTTTTTTTTGACTCCGCCCGATCCCATCTAAGATCCCATGGTCAGCAAGGTTTCCATCAGCTCTGAAACGACTAACACTTGCGAGTCGGGGGAGTAGAGTTTGGTAACTAATGGGATAGAGAACGACTCCTACATTCATGTATATTGCTAAGCTGCAATGCTCATGCCTCAAATACCTTTAGAATTATAAATTTAGACGTCTTGCTATGTGCTGAAAAGCATATTTACTCGAGTCAAAAACGATAATGCAGGTAGGTAATGATGTGTGATGATGCTGTCTCCGTCTCCTACGACTTGGTCACCTTCAACGCTAATAGGGGAACAGGAATCGCCTAGCCGAGGTTCTGAAAATATTCTGGAACATTTCTGATCTGTAGGGCTGAGACCTTCCATGCAGAAGTACAGACTACCAAAAGTAGCCATGCGTTTGTTTCTAGTCTGAGTGATCTACAGTACAGAACAACGTACACGTTTCCGGCGTAGATCGGCGGCTTGTTTCTAAAAAGTCCTACATATAGCAGAAGCCAGGGTAATCGGTAATCAGCCCCCTTTCGTCTATGCGAGCCGAGGCGTTTTGATGATGGATTACGTATTATCGCGTATTAAGATTTGATTGCTTTGATGAATGTTTGATACTTATTGCCTCAAAGCTGGGAAGCTGACGTAACGTAGCGTGGCGTAGCGTGACAGGAAGAGACGAAACGAAACGAAACGAAATGGAATGAAAGGCAACTGAGGAAGCGACGTTACTTCATCATCGTGCTGATCGTGCTATGGGTTCTTTGGAGTTTCTTATATTGAGTAAGTTGATCGATCGATCGACCGTAAGCGTCATCGACACTTGTTCGTTTTGTAGACTATACACCTATGGATGTATACTAGCTATCTAATTTCAACTATTGCATTTCAGCTATTTACGACTTCTATCCTTTCTCAACTGTTTCTATTCCTATCTCACTTCTATCAGTTTGTGATGTTGCCTATGAATTACAACGCGAGTTGTTTACATCAGGGGTCAGCCGATCAGTCATCAAGTTGAACTAGCTATGTACCTCTAACGCAGGAGGACTGTAAAGGGGTTTCCTTGAACCCTAGATACATACATATGCGAAGTAGTCCCCTCTGATCTCGGGGTAAAGGAATCCAAGAAATTACTATATATGGGATATAAACTACGAATACCACGCGAACCCACCAACCCCATGCCGCGAGTATTATACCCTCCAGTCCCACAGTGCCGATTATGCTACCATACCTTATTCACGCTCACCTTATGAGTCAATAGTTATGTCATCATACCCCGACTAGTTGATCAAGTTGAGACAAAGGGGCTGCTTGATTTGTTTGAAATTTGGTTCCCATGTTCCAACTGACCAACTCCATCACGTCACATGTCAAAACCACAGCCTTTCAAGAGGCATCCCTCGGCCTCTTTTCAAGGCCGCTCTTTGGCTTATCACAGCCACTTGCACCTCAATATTGTGACATTGTCACGGAACTAAGAGAAGCCTAATTCCTGAAGTACAGCACAGACCAAGGAACAGTACATATAAAGCTAAATAAGGGAATAAGGGGTAGGAATTAAAATTTCCCTCGTGCAATAACAGAACTTTTACTTGCAACCACAGCAGGACACTACTGTGACAGACATCCATCGCTTCTATCTGCTTCAAATGCATGTCAGAGGAGGAAGCAGAATCTGGTCTCCTCGTCGGGAATCCAAAGCTTCTTACGGATACCCTTGAAGACAGTATAGGGAATCATGATCCTTTTATACTCTGATATGAAACGCCATCTAGATCTGGGACTCGCAGGGAGAACCATCCAAGGTAAGTAAACCGAAGGTTATGAGTCATTTAGCTTGTCCAGGAAGGCATATCGTTCTTTTCACTCGCTCGACTTTCTCCCACAATCAACAAGATCTATCTCTAGTATAACTAGTCTTCCATTTTATATAGTAAGCTATATAGATCAAATACGGCAACGTCATCGTAAAATCGTTCCTAGCTAGTTCCTATAGGATGGTATAAATTGAAATCTTCCAAGAACAAGGACTAGACATCTACTCCAATATAGGAACAACAGCTCGGTCCCGACATCCCTGACGTTGAGATATGCCGCAACTATAAATATAGCCCCGGCAGTAACCTCCGCTATAAAACAAGATTTATTTATCTATTCCTGCGGTGTAAACGCAATCTGATATCGAGAGGTGGTTCGCATACGAGCAGATAAAACTTCGAAAAGGTAACCCTACGGACTAGTTGGAGTTGGAGGACACGTTGTTAGCTGCGGTTTGTCTGTTGGCTCTTGAAGACTTGCTTGCATGTAGTTTTATTAAAACTCCGGTCTGCAAGTAAATGCGAAGGGGGTTTCGGGAGTTCCGCGGTTCGGCCTTTTTCTTTCATACAGACTTAGAATCGTGTGCGATGGAGTTGAGTTGAAATTCGTTCATCATCGGTATCGACGGACGTGACGGATAGTTATTTGGCAAGACCTTCTTGTGTTACGGTGATAGGAAGTAGAAGAATATTCGGGGGCATATCGAATAAACAACCCGTCAACTACTTACTTACTGACTTAACAGACTTTGCTTACTTGACCATGCTCTCCCTCTTTTACTTAGTATGTTAATATGTATATAGTATGTATGTATATAAGATAAGTACTTAAGTTGTATAAAGTGTGCGTGGGTCTTGTGTAACCCGATCATCTCCCCACCTCCCTCCTCTCTCCCCCTGGTAACTCGGTGACATGGTCTGTTTATTGGCGAATTGTCCTTTGTGCTCCCAACTTGGCAAGTTTGCGTGCTTTTAAGCCAATCATGAACCTGGGACATCTGTTTGTTGGTTTCCTGCCAGATAAAGATCCCTGTCAGCCCATTTCCGAATTAGGCTTCATGTTGCGATGGCTGTCAGCTACCTACATTGTAGCTAGGCAAAGCTGAAGTTGTGGTTTGTCCGTTCGTGACCGTGGTATACGTGAGGGCGGAAACCGGTGAGGGCTGCTAGCAGTCCGATAGAATCAATCAGACGATAGACATGTGTTTGCCGAGATGACATGAGATGGCAGGTCTCACTATATCCATACACATAGTACGTATATATATGTGTATTGTATGTAAAAGGGGACTGCCACGTGAAAGGAGCGGTCGCAGCAGTGATACACTACCGGTACCACGATTCTTCCGCCTCCCTATTTCTTTTCTCTCTCCTAGACTCGCATTCAATTGCTACTTACAGAGCCTCATGTCGTTCCTCTCGTCTCGTAACAGGTCACCAAGCGACACACTACACGTATACATGCCTTATGTATGTATATATTTGTATGTGAGCATAGGTCTATATGTATGTATATATTGGCGGTTTGGGAGGTCTGATGTCAGCAGCGCGATGCTACACTCAAGATCCACACGCTCGGAGATACCACTGAGTCTCGCAAATTAGCCCATAATATGCCGTGGACATGTGAATGCCGAGATACCGTGACATACATAGATATCTCGCCTTGCCGTTAAGTACATCTAGCCAAAGTAAGGTCTTCCTCCCGTCCCTACTGTGCCATCACCCCACCAACTTCTCAGTCCTGACCAATTCGACCGGCCGATTCGGTTGCCAGATCGATTGGCGGCGAAGCCTTGAAGCTCGCAAGTCACTGCCACACACCTGCATGCTTATTGCCACAAAACTAGCTTGACTGCCCTGGCTCGCGAGGAATGAATGCATGGACGGTTGCCTTGCGGTAGCTAAGAAGCAGGGAAATACGTAAGCAGAGAACTAGGCTTCGCGCGAAGAACCGCTGCTGATCCTCCCGCATTACTTCACATACATACGCTCTGGTCCTTACTGTACAGCTCAAGCCACAGCCGCAACCGCCACCGCCTATACGACCAAGATTTTTCTTAAAAGGGCACCGGCTAACTCGTATTGCGAAGGTGCATCTACTTTAATCCAACATCATGGAACATGGTTCCCGGCCGCCTAGCTAACCAGCTTACCTGATCATATTTTCTTCGCGGCTTGTAAGCCATCGGTCCTAGGCTTGCCCAGCGAGCCCCTATTTTATCTATCACCATGGTCGGCGTGCCCAAGAGCAAACGGTGCAGTTTTTGTAAATCAAGAAAGACGAAGGCAGGTCTCTACGCACAGTCAATGGATGCCCTATTGCCGTTGTCGTCGCTGACAAGTCTGGTAATCAGTGCGATGAGAAATGGCCGAATTGTGGGACTTGCACTCGGGCTGGCAAGATCTGCTCAGGTCCCAGGACGGATCATAAGTTCATCGGTAAGCAGACAGACCTTGCCCTATTTCCATGCAACGATGCTGACCTTGGTAGTGAATGGGTGCCATGGTGGAGTGCCAAATGATGCAGGAGATGCAAGGCATACAAGACGTCTGCCGTTAGAAAGTGGGTGCACTAGCAAAGTGGACAGTATATCACGGCACCATGCCGACGCCGTCGTCCTTGCTACAAAGCACCTTTTCGTGGACGAATCTACGCACAAAGGCCGCCAGGTGGCTGCAAACCTATCGAAACCTTTATCATGGAACCCCCCAGATAAAGTCACAGCTCATTTGATCGCTTGTCTGGGCGCCGCACCCGGAACTGGCTACGACCTGCATATTCTTGGAGCCTTTCTCCCTCTGATACCAAGACATCTAGGCAGCGGGCACACGGCACTGAGCTATGCGGTCGAGCTCCTGCTAGGCGCCTGGGAGAATAGCCGTCAGGGACTGCCTTCGGAGCTGTGGTTGGATCTAAGAGCGTACAATAGAGCGCTCCGTAGTCTCAAGGCCACGCTCGATGATGCCAATTCCGAACACCTGACCAACACACTTGCTACACTATGCGTATTGCAAAAGACTGAGGTAAGTGGGGTGGACTCACTCTGTAGGAAGACTGGCGTGGGATGCTGCTCAGGCACATGGCTGATATCCCCGAGTATGTAGATCTTGTATGACTTTACAAGGGGCTCAAATCAGGAAAACCATGCAGCCGGACTTATTGCCGTCATCAAGGGGGGCGGTCCGAGACAGCCCATGGAGGAAATGGCGCTCCATGTCACGTTTGAGAGCATTTTCCACATGGTGAGTAGTAGCGCTATTGCGCTATGCAGGCGTGTTCTGCGATTCGTGCTACTAACTGGGTGTCTAGTTGCAAGAAGACATTCGTCAACGCCGGGAAAGCGATTTCCATAACCCAGAGTGGATGAAAGCACTGCATGGCGCAGTAGATGCGAGCGGTGTCACGCCCGTTCTCAAGCACTTGTATCATCTTTGGGTCGACGCAACGGTCTGGCCAGGCCTTGCGCGATTGGTTAGCTTGATTCGGCGACATCCGTCGGATACAATGACCGCCGCCCAGCTACATTTGAGGGCGACGGCATTGGCTAACCTACTACGGAATCAGGATGAAACCATACTAGCTGCTCTAGAAGACGTAGGCGCCATCAGCGAGGTCGAAAACAAGAATCGTCCGGATCTATTTCCAAAATGCTACCAATTCGCCGACTTCCCAACGGCAAAGCTATTCTCTACACACACCCTATTCAGCATCCTTGCTTATCGATTCCTACAGGAAGCGGACCAGGTTCTGTGCTCCCATAGGGATCCATATTTAGAAGCACAAGCGAGGAAATTCAGTAAGCGGGCTTGGATGGCATACCCTTGGTTGCAGAGCCAGATCCCACTGGCAGTAGATTTCACAGGATGCCTGGTGTTTTCTTACGAAGCTGGGAACGAAGAAGAGCGCAGGTTTTGCGCTGCAGGTCTTACGGAGATGGACTCCTCCCGACATCCGCCTCCCATAGGCCAATGGGTCGAGGCGACGATCATGGCCAATGCAAAAGCTTATACTGGCCGGCTTCCTTTCATCAAAACACAGGATTCAACGGTGGAGTATGAAGGTGTAGGTTGTCGAAGTTAATCGGGGATGGACCGGCCGCCTTGTATGATTGTAATAGGAACCAGAGTTAGAGATATAGCTTCAGGGACCCAAAATTAGAATAAAGCACGTTAATGACAGTAGATCAGACAGGTTTGGCTGTGATCTTGTAGGCTTCTGGGACGAGGTTGTTGGGGACGTACATCTAAGAGGTGTGGTTTGATGACGAGTTCTCTGATGAGCGATGACGCACCAAAAAAGTCCCGAAGGCGTGAGCAACACATTTTCGTATGCCGTAGGATACCGTCTCGCTCTGCACATTTCACAACTTAGTCAGATGTAACCTCATGTATAAATTGCCGTAACGCATCTGCCTCTTCTGGTATTGTGCGGTCAGGCAGACTTTGGATGACGGTGCTGAATGTTTTATCCTGCGCGGCCACTTCTCGGTAAAGCTTTCGTAGAGTCTCCATTTTGAATGTCGAGGGGGGCGTGATTCGTTGGATGCTTAGCAGCCTTTCAAAGAAATCAACCAGACTCAAGTGCATCAATATATCATCCCTGTCGATCATGTGAAGAGCTGCAAAGTACAACAACCCGCCAGGAGCTTCAGAGTTCATAGACTGCTGGTGGAGGTCCGGAAAGTTGGTCCGGGCTATAGTAGCAAGGTTGTAGGCTGAAAGTCGAGGCAGCAGACGAAGTAGCCGGCCTTGGGCTAGAGACAACTGCTGGGGGGTCAGCCCACCTTCGACATCATGGTGCGGTCCTTTACTGCATAGTGAGAGAATAAGGCCATAAACGTCACGGTCATTGAATATCCTTCTCCACATGAAACCTTGTCCTGGGGTGCTGGAGAGTACGGGTATGGCGATACCTTGGTTTTCATCCAAGACCTTGGGGGGTAACTCGGGCGAATCGACGACGAGGAGATCGCCAAGCACGCCGGTACCCTTTTCTCCGACTTCGACAGCAGGCGCACTCAGCCATGTCGTCACAAATCTAGTAACAACACCCTTCATGGCAGCAAGTACAGCGGCATCACCAGGGGTCTCGGCTGCTTTAGCCAGAATAGTCATGGCGAGAAGGTTGGCTGGTGGCGCGGGAGATGCAAGTGCTTGGATAAGCGCTTCCTCGGAAGCAAACGACATAATCTGGTGGAAAGTGAGGGGGCGTAGAAGCCGCGAAGCCAAGCTGCAAAGAGCAATAGGATCGCGTTGATATCGAGTCAGTACATGTGTGATCTTGGGAAGGAGCCGTGGGATGAGGGGTGGCGTGTTGGCATCTGGTAAGAGATATAAAAGGTCAGCACTGGCAGTTGATCACTCTTTCGAAGGAGGGAGAGGAGGGAGAGGAGGGGGAGGAAAGAGAAGGAGGACGTGCTACATGCCTGTCATTTGGATCTCGACATGGTCGAACAGCTTGTTGTCGGTGGGTAGGGTGGGATCTGTTGCTAGTTGACCAAGATGCTGCTCAAGATCATCGACACGCGACACTGGGGTTGTGGCCGAGGTTTCCATCGTAACAGCTATGCGATCCATGGAAGGAAGACGATACCTGGAATGAGGGAGGAGGTTATTAATGGATGGAGAATAGGGTTGACCAATCGGCTGACCGTGGAGTAGTAGATGTCTATGTAGCTATTTACGTCAGTTAGAAGAAGAATGATGTAGTATCGGCTTATTTAATGAATGATTGTTCAGTATCAAGCGAGATTATGTAGAAGAGACCATGAGGTTGAAAAAGAGAGGTTCTGGTAGACCATTGTAAGCTGGGTAGGTCCCCTGGCCTACCTAGTCTAGTGGGAGTGGTGGCAGTAGCAGGTGCGCACTAGCTGAGCCTAGGTAGGTAGATAAGCTTCCCCCCCCACCTTCTAGATTCCCTCCCCTCCGCTCCGTCGCTAAACCCGCCGAAATTTTGAAAAGGGACTCATCGCAGAGTCGCAAAGTGAGAGTAGAGTCATCTTCATCTTCGCATTATCGTCAACCTCCACGGCAACACACACACACATATATATGGGTTATTTTGGTTCATACTTCCACACAGTCGTCGCAATCACTACCCAGACTGCTACGGGCTCAATTTCGACTGCCCGATAACCTCTAGCCTCTAACCTCTTACAGACCAATCCGGAGCGCGGTAATGTGCCGAGATGTCCGGCCGAGGAGGTAGAGGCGGCCGCGGCGGCGGTCGCGGTGGTAGTCGTGGGAAGCCTGCACCTCCAGGCATGCCCGGCGGAGATGATCCTAGTTTGATTGTTAATGACCAGCCTCAGGAGACATATCCGGTACGTTCGCCCTACATCCCCCCATCATTCATCCAACGTCAAGCCAAAATTCGACTCACTGACATGTTGGCCTGCAGAAGTCGTACAAACCACCCGTCGCTCCCCATCTAACCCCTTCCGAAGAGCGTGCCGTCGCCTTCTTTTTCAGTTTCCGCCGCGCCTATCATAATTCGCCCTTATATACCCATCGCCATATAAACGGCGAGTTTCTTTCCGCCAAGGATCCTGTCCTCCCCCGCCACGGCCAGTCCCAGATCAATGCGCGCTATGGCGTAAAAAACCGTGCGACTGTCGACCCCTTTCTCTCCGTGCCCATGTACAGTCACCGCTTCGTCGACGACACACGGACACTACCGAAACTGAGGGATGCTAGGCCCTGGGTCAAGGATCTATTTCCAGAGGAGCTATGGGCGACGTTGGACGGCAAAGACACGGGTGGGGCCCGTGGTGGAATACAGACCAAGGAGATCACGAATCGAGGCACGAAACGGCGATTATATGGCGACGACGACGATGAGCAGTATGGTGATGGCGAAGACGATGAAGAAATGCTGGGTTGGGGCCGGTCGCAAAAGCGCCGAGAGAACGAGACGGAGGAAGAGCGCAGGGCCCGGATCGAGGGTGCTGGCAAGGACGCGGACAACGAAGACGGCGATGCCGGTGATGCGGATGAGGAAGATGAAGAGGAGATGGAGTTGGAGGATGACGAGTACGACAGCGCCGAGGATGAAGACGGCGGCGACTACAACGCCGAAGCATACTTTGACAACGGCGACGACGACGACTTTGGGGAGGATGATGGTGTCGGCGAAAGGTATGTCTACTCCACGCAGCGGTCTTCTCCCCCAGCTTTTGTGCTCATTCCCTTGTGGATTGGGCTGTGAGGATACAACAGCTACTAACTCTTTTACCAGCGCTATGGATTTCTAGGGGCATAGTTCTACGACGACCCGACGAGAGCCACCAAAGGATGGGCCTTTGAAAAGGACCATGACTGGATCATCGAATTCAGAAGCATGATGGCCATGGACTCATCGTTTCAAAATGAAATAGAGGTATCAATCATAGGCATCGACCCAACCACGGCATAAATGGCAGGTTGAGAAGACGTTGACGGGATATTCACAGCACACCTGATGTGAGTGTTTGCTGGCCCATGATTCATCAACACGATGTCATTTTTGTTTGGACCATCTGTACACACTTACCATAGGTACACTAGCTGAATCCTAGTAGAGTGGACGTAGCTTTATGCGCTGCGCTTCCCGTGTATGGGATTACATAGCCACCTAGATAATACATACAATTGATTTAATAGGCCATTGTGAGCCTATCCGAGTGAGAATATTGTTGTTCCTGGTCCGCTGGCAGCGAAATTACTGGTAAATTAAGTACTGCTATAGGTATATACCTATATATGAGGCTATCTAGGCCTTGTGACACTGACCTATCTAACAGACCTACCTAGGTAATTAACCCCTGCGAGGGCTAGTAGGTTAGTGGTAGGTTAGTGGGGAATTAGTGGCGGATTCGTGGTGGATTAGTGCCATGTCTGCATGGGTCCCCCGCACTAGAGAGCTCCCAACCTGTTTGGAGCTCTCTCTCTCTCCAAAGCAGCGGAACAACGTCATGCAGATCTCACATCCCAATTCCTCGGGCAGTACCTGACCTAGCTGCTACCCCAATCCACCCACTCACTCACTGCTCAGTCCAAACTCGATCCACGACGCGACGATCTCGCAAAATAGCACATTGCCGCTGATTTTATTCTTTCCGTCTCATATTTTGCATGAAGCTGTGTGACTCTTCTCTGAATTGCTTCCTCTCCTCTCCCTCACATCCCGGCTGTCCTTTGAACGCCGCCTGCTAAAGTTGAGTCTATCTCTAAACAAGATCGACAGCTGAGATCAGCACCGGGAAGCAAGACAGTGAGAACCGCATATCCAGAGAGATGGGAGGCTTCAGTTGGAGGAAATTTCTCGGCTGGGACCATCGTCCAGGGCACCCTAGCCATCGCGATCGGTCAATTCGCGAATCTCATCGACGGTGTAAGTTGCATATCGCTTTTCTGCTCCATCAAACCCGCACCGTCGTATCCACGAAATATCTCATGATACTCCAAGTAAAACAATGAAGGCAGACTAACGTGTCTTCGTACCTTCTTCAAGTGCTGCCACTGCACCGTGACCACTCAATCCAATCCGCCATACCGGCTCCCGAGGTCACCAAGGTTGCTCTCCGGTTGCGCTATCTCGTCCAAGAGTGTGTCCCTTGCGAACTGGAAGAGCACCAGGTTACCCAACCTCACAGCAAAGTCATTACCCACAAGGTCATTGAGGCTGCAAAAGAGGCTGGCGGGACTGAGAATAGGGCTTGCGTTGTCTACTGTCTTCTCGTCGCCAAGCACTGGTTCCAACATCAAGCTCTTTGCGAGCTGTGGGATGCCGACTTGCATCAGCTTCGTGCCACAGCTTGTGAGGTTATTGCGAAGCAAATGTAAGCGACGCGTCATATCATTTAAATCGGTGTCAGAAATATGTCACTAGACAACGCGTTGACTAACTGGGCATTAGCATCGAGACAGAAGAGGATATGGAGTATCTGCTCCATTCCGTTCTGCTGAAGCGGTATTCCATAATCATTGACGGAGAGCCTACACCTCCCGTTAATGCTGTCGAGAAGGCCGTCGACCTACATTCTTTGCGCGTCATTGGTTCCTCAGGCTACCAGAAATGCGTGAGCTATCTTTGGAAAGGATGGCTTGTACAGGATGAAGACGATCCCGCCAGTTTTATTGACTATAAGGACCGTGACAATACATCTTTCTGGTCTCACCTAGACCCCGAACGCATGCGCGCCCCGATTTATCAAAACGCCTTTCTGCTGCTCATTTCCGTCGTGTACCTGGCCCTTTACACGGGCGCGATCAACACCATCAACCCCACAGGCGATTTGGACTTTGTGGAGATACTTCTTTACATTTTCACCCTGGGTTTCATCTTCGACGAGCTGACCAAGCTCTACAAAGCTGGCTATCAGATTCTTGGCTTCTGGAATGCTTTCAATAGCATGCTGTATTCGCTTTTGATGGTCTCGTTGGCGTTGCGTTTTGTAGCCCTGACCCGCTCGCCTCACGATATCAAAGAGCGTGAAAAGTTTAATTCTTTGAGTTATAACTTCCTTGCGTTTACAGCCCCCATGTTTTGGGGGCGACTTCTTCTCTATCTAGATTGCTTCCGCTTCTTCGGGGCCATGCTGGTTGTCTTGAAAGTCATGATGAAGGAGAGTATTATTTTCTTTGCTCTTCTCATTGTTGTTATCATTGGTTTCCTACAGGCATTTATCGGCATGGATTATGCAGATGATATGGCTGGAGAGGATACAATTTTCATCCTCCAAGCAATGACCAACGCAATTATGCAGAGTCCAGATTTCTCTGGGTTCGAGCGGTTCAGTCCGCCGTTTGGCATCATCCTCTATTATCTATTTACCTTTGTTGTTATGGTACGTGCCTATTTTGCTATAATGAACCCCCCTTCATAACCGATGCTATAAGATCTGGCAAGGGAAACTAACCTCATATGCGTAGGTTGTTCTCTTAAACGTGCTTATTGCGTTATATAATAGCGCGTACGAAGACATCTATGACAATTCCGATGACGAGTATTTGGCTCTCTTTGCCCAGAGGACGTTACAATTTGTCCGAGCACCAGATGAGAATGTCTTCATCGCACCTTTCAACTTGATTGAAATCTTTTTTCTCATCATACCTTTTGAATGGTGGATGCCCAAGAAACAATATGAACGACTCAACGACATCGTCATGAGTATCATCTACTCGCCATTGCTGGTTTGTGCCGCTATATATGAAGTCCGGGTCGCCAGAGAGGTGCGTCGAAATAGGAGGAGGGGCGAGGACGACGAAGACACGATTGAAGAGTGGGAGCAGATGATGGACCAGGTGGATTTTGAGGGCGAGGGCTGGGCCAAGAAAGTCGGCGATAGCAAGGCTAACGTTGAGGATGATGCGGCCGTATTAGAAGTACGAGAGCTGCGATCCGAGGTGAAAGAGTTGAAGCAACTCTTGGCAAAACTGGTCAAGCAAAAGACAGAGGGCGATAGTTTACTATAGTATCTATCTTAAGATGGCTACCCTGGTACCCTGCCAGTTACTATGATATCTCGCTTGAGGACTAGATAGTCATGTCTCTTACACGTACAACAGAGGATGATCCCCTTTAATGCAACCAAAGCTCACCTAACGGGATGCACTAGGGTCACATTATCAAGATGCTAATATATCCATAATAGGTAGAAAACTGCCAAGGTTAGGTCCAGGGATGCTTCTTGTCTTACATACATACCGTATGTATACTTATGTATATGTGGTGGGGGTGTTCGGCCCCATGCAATCGACGATGTGCGCTACCCCCAACATCCGGTTCTGACGTCATTCCAGCATCTGGAGCCGGTTTGTCTGTTATGCTATCCTTGACGATTTGAATGAGCGATGAATGTTCAATAATAACTTAAGATTCAATCTAGTTTTCTTCTTGCTTACTTATTTGAAGATTGTATATCAGTACATATCAAAACAACGCGGGCCAGATAATAGGCGATTAGGTGACGTAGACAGCGACAGCAACAGCGCCAATCGGCAACAGGCAAAACTACAAACGAGAAGGGAGATAATTTGCGACAGAAAGAAGAAACATACCAAGAAAGGAGAAGACGAAATGGAAATCAACTTCCCGAACCTAATCAACACGGCCTTCCGCACGCGCGACACCGAAGACACCACGCGCGGCCGCAACGCCATCATCCTGTCGGAGAACTCGGGCCCAAACCACAACGAGCAAGGATTCCTATCGTCGTCCTTCCCGCGCAACACGCGGACATTGTTCATCACGTCCGACGGCGAAGAGTTCGACGAAGGCACGCTGCGCGCGTGGCGAGAGGAAGGGTTCGAGGTCAGGTACTTCGGACTGGTGGAGGATGATGATCGCGGGAATGGTGATGAGAGCGGTGGGGGTCGGGACAGGAGAGAAAGGGAGGAAGATGCGTATAGGAATACGCTGGCGGGATTGAAGGATGTCGCGAACTTGGGCCCGTGCGAGACCTTTGGTATTATCGCCTTTGGAAGAGCCGCGGGCGTGTGTCTTGAGTTCTTCCACCATATGGCGAATAACCCCGAGTTCAAACTCGCTGTCCTCGTCGCGTATTATCCTACCCGTGTGCCGGATCCGCGAGCGGTGTTCCCCGGCGGATTGAGAGTCGTGTGTCATCTCACGGGCGATGAAATTGGTGTTGTCGCGCATAGTCAGATTGTGGGGATCCAGGGGAAGAGAAAGGTTGTGAGGAGGAGTGTGGAGCGAGGAGGGGGTATATCTGGTGCGAGTGTGAACGTGGGCGGAAACAGGACGGCGTATCCGTGTTATTGGTATCATGCTGAGCCTGGGTTCGCCGAGGGAGATCTGGATGAATACGATAAGGTTGCTGCTGAGGTTGCGTGGAGTCGGAGTCTGGATGTTGTGCACACTGCGTTTAGGATGGATGTTGAGCTTGAAGGGGTTGTCGAGAGGAATTTGGAGGGTATGTGTTATTTGCGAAACGGTATGAATATGAAGAGGAGAGGATGCTGATGTAATGAGAGTTCTAGGTAAATTCTTCACCCGCGACCTGGCACAGACAATGTCGACATACACGACGCACAAATCGCCTCACGCGACGTTCTTCCCCACCCTATCCGGCGGCATCGGCACCCAGGAACTACAGCAATTTTATGCAGAATACTTCCTGTCCACGAACCCGGACTCGACGAAACTCACGCTGATATCGCGCACCGTAGGCGCAGACCGCGTCGTCGATGAACTGCATGTGTCTTTCAAACATACGCAGCCCATGCCCTGGATCCTACCAGGCGTCCCGCCTACGAATAAACGCGTCGAAGTCGCCATAGTCAGCATTGTGACGCTGCGCGGTGGAAGACTGTATCATGAGCATGTCTATTGGGACCAGGCGAGTGTGCTTGTGCAAGTGGGGTTGTTAGATCCGAAGCTTATCCCGCAGAAGGCGAAGGACAAAGGTGTGAAGAAATTACCTGTTGTTGGACGGGAGGCTGCGAGGAGACTTGTACGGGGGTTTGAAGATGATGATGTGGAGGATGGGGAGGCGGATAATGAGATGTTGCCGGGGTGGTATGATGATGAGGATGATGATGAGGATGATGATGTTCGGGGTGGAGATGAGAATGAAGGGAAGGGTGAAAATGGTGATGGGGGCGGGGAAAATCATAAGGAAAAAGAGAAGGAGAAGGATGGCGATGAGGGGGGGAAAGGTCAAGACGAAGACAAGAAAGCCGAGGATGAAGAAGAGGATAAGGCGTAGGAATGAGAGGGGTTTGATATTTGGGTATGATACGTGTCGCTGACAGCTTGAGCGCTCATTACTTTATTTCATTTTTCTGTACTTACGGTCATGCGGAGCAAGATTGAAGCAGATTCAATGAGAATTTCGGGCGGGCGCGTTCGATGGGAATCAATCATAATGTGTGGTAACTAGTATCAGTGTCGAGAAATTTAGTCATTTTGAATATATGTATATTTGAGGGGCACCGAATATATATACCGACTAGTCTACATGGATTGAGGCTTTACAGGTCGGTTGACTTCAAGTTGCCTAGGTAGTGTTGTTGCTTCTGAGTAGGATTGTTGCTTCTGGGTGCGAATGAAGATTGCTGGTTTTCTTGGCTTGAGATTCAACTCACGCGAAGGGACAGAACGCAGAAGCTTACACGTATTGAGGCGCGATCAATGGACTTGGGGAAAAGATGCGACAAGTACGAAAAAGTGTGCTGGAGAGCTATAATTTGCTGGAGGAAGATACTTATGCTTGGAGCATGAGATATGTCAGGCGTGTTTTCAGTATGTACTCGTGTATCTCGTCATGGTATCAATTTGATCTTTGATCCAGAACCCGTGTTCAAACGTTACAGCACGGCATCCCTGTTGCATGATAAACATACACTAGCTCGACTTTCAAAATATGGCATATATCCATCGCCCAATTCCACCCGTTACCTTGACAGGGGATATCCTTTGGAATTTCATCATGCAATAATACTCTTACTGTGCATGGGTTGCAGTTGCCTTCTCTACATCACCATCCTCGCTATGACCACGGTACGCAACCTTTTCAGAAAGATCATGGCCGGTTGCTTCTGCAGCATCAGCATCATACGCGACGTCCATGCGTCGGCCCAGGTGCTCGGGACCCAAGAGTACCAGTAAGATGACGTAAACATAGACGGCGCCCATGAAAATAGCAATTACTATGCCATAATTGTATCTACTCACGCCGTTCTTGAGGGGCGGGAGAGGGAAACGCTCGCCGATGGTGGCCTCAATGGTGGAGCTGGCAGACGAGACGAGATTGCCCAGTTGGTAAGATGTACCAACGACGAACGTGCGGAATGCGCCAGGCGAGAGCTCCATCAGGTGAACGGGAATGACACCCCATGCGCCTTGCACAGCGAATTGCTCGAAAAAGGCAACAGCGATGATTCTTTCATTCGTCACAAACCCGTAGGGATAGAGCAATGCGCCACCCAGAATGCACATGACAATGATGCTGAACCGTCGCCCGAAGATCTGGGAGCAGAACCCAACAATTGTACCTCCTGTGATAGCGCCCAAGTTGGCAACTACTTGCGTCACTGTTACCTGGTCGGCATTGAATCCGAATTGATTTTTCAGAAGCGTGGGATACAGATCCTGAGAGCCGTGAGACATGAAGTTGAAACCCGCCATAAGAAGGACTAGGTAGATGAGGATAAGCCAATGGCGTTTGAGCGCAACCTTGCCTTCCTCGACAAACGTCTTGCCGATGCTTCCATTGGCGCGGCGCAGTTCCTGGTGGGCGATGTAGGTGTTGGTCTCAGGCAGGAACAGTCGCCAGACAATGAAGATGGCGGGAGGTCCGGCGGCGAACCAGTAGAATGGTCGCCAGCCATAGGGCGTTGTATTCACGAGAGCGCGAGCAAAAGCAGTGGCAAGAAGGTAACCCAGAGCGTAGCCCTGTTGTAACATGCCACTCAACAATCCACGGGCCTCGTCGGGGATGTCTTCCAGAGCGGTGGCGGCAGCATTGCCGTACAAGCCGCCCATAGCAATACCGAAGAGAGCTCGGGTCGCCAGGAATTGGCTGTATGTATTAGTGAAGCCAGTACCCTATCAAGAACTCGTGTCAGTAATTTCCATACTTTAACTTCATGCCAAGGATATAGGAAGGGAAGGCGGGGGATGAGTGCATGATTGGCCCGGCTGATAAACCCAGCTGGTGGCAGGGATACAGTAGAAGCTTTTGCTAAGACTGCGCCAAGTATCGCCAAGTATGTCAACTGCCGATAGCGTTTCTTGGCTAGTCAAATTGACTGACACAACATTTCGATCTTTTAAATACACTTCTTGTCCTGCAAGGCTACTTTGAACAAGCTCACTCACCAATTCTAGCACGATGAAAAGTAGATTGTTGACGATGAATGGCCACTTGCGACCGTATCGGTCAGCCGCAATACCGAAAATGATGGAACCCGCCGTTCGCAGCATCAGCACGAGCGTGATACCCCAGGTGATGTCAGCGACATCTTTATCAAATGTCTCGGCCAAATCCGAGGCCGTCAGCGACACAGTGAAGAAGTCGAAGGCATCCCAAGTCTGTAGAATATCATGGTACAGTCAGCACACGATTCCATGATGCCACCGCAGATGCAACCAGGAAGTCAATTAGTCCGGGAGGAAGGAGACAGAGAGAGAGAGAGAGAGAGAGCTTACCCAAGCAATGAAAGCGATAGAGAAGAAGGCCCAGTCGTGGCGGGTAAGCATCATTAGCAAGCGGATAGGGTTAGGGGCCTTGTTCATGGGTGGCTTGAGGGTTTTGATTCGCGTTGACAGGTAGGTGCCAGGGGACATGCCATGATGAGGAGGGTAAATATCCTCAGGCGCGTAGCCGCCGCCATAGTCGGCATTGTCGTGAGTGGAAGCCATGATATTTGAGAGCAGTGATGGTGGTTTGCGAAAAGGAAAAGTCCAGACCACACAATTGAACTAGCCCTCGAGGCTCTCTTGAATTGTATCGTCCTCTTCTCCGCACGAAAGGATGGATCGACCACTCGTATATATACTGTATATAAGTATGTAGGTGTATATATATAAACTTGAAGTATAGATACGAGGTCGAGGGAGGAAGAGAGACAGAGGCTAGCCAAGCCGAGAAGGAGGTGTCTGTAGGTTAAAGAGAAATACTTATAGGACTCGGGCGAGCGAGGGCGGAGAAGAACAAAGAGGCAGGTTAACTGAAGCTGTGACCATCTTTAGTCTAGGTAGCAAAGAAATGCTTGCCTTGCTCGAGTTCGGGGTTTAGCAGCCATGGGCCATGGGCTATCCATCATCCACCAGCCACCATCCACCACCGCCCACCGCATCTACTTCCCTTCGAGGTGGTCGAAACCTTCTCCTCCCAGTCCTCCCAGTCCTCCCAAGGGCCCCAATACCCTATTCTGCGCTATGTGATGATGGTGGGTATGTTGGTCAGATAGGAGCTGTGGTTGGCCAATGAGGGCAGAAATGGAGGGAATCTAGGGTCGGCTGGAGTGCAAGTCGACCTACCTACCTAAACAGGTTAGTTCAGGGAGCTCCATGGGGTCTGATGGGGACTCTGTTTGCGGAGAGCTAGGGGACTGCTAGGGTAATAATGCTTGTCAATGATAGATGAGAGCTTCACGCGGTCAGTACGCGGTGATGCTCATGTGTAATCCCCGATTTGTGTCAGTTAGAGGGACTGTACAAAGTACATCAAAAAGAACATCAAAAAGAAGTGGATGGAAAGCAGACAGTAAATCTAGCCCTCTCAGCCAACCAGAGTAATCGAATATTGCTTGTTTCCTATGGATACTCAATACCCCTATCAGACCCTATTTGATATCTTCCCCCGCACCTCCTCTTCGTCCAGACTCCTCGCTACTGTCCTCGGATCATTATCGATCTGTCTGAACGCATTCATCAGAGATGCGCTATTTATCTTGTTCCCTGTTCATTATCTATGTATGTACCGATACCTAGTAATATGCGCTACAGTACCCGATCAGTTCTGATGTCATATGTCCCAAAGTTCCCATGGCAGGGGTTGGCCTACATGTACACGTACGAAGTAGTTGCACATTTCTTTCCCTAAGCGGCAAACACGGAACCCCTCGTGGCAGCACGGGGCCCCAGCAGGTCGAAATCCTAGAATGCCCACCCGAGAAATCTACGGCCAGACTACGGCCAACATGTTCAAATGACGGTAGGTAATCATGCTTCCATTTAGGTACCTAAGATCAATGGCCAAAAGAGCGGTCTAGGTAACATGACGAGCATGATAGCCACACCCTGCCATATGGCAGCGTGGTGTGTACCATCCCATTTCAAGCCGACACTCAGCCTAGGTAGCCAATGGTGAACATCGGCGGCAACGGGTCCTACGTCATGGGTATCAGCGTTCGGTCTGCGAACTCGATGATGCTGTCAACATGGCTTGGGTCAAGTCGGTCTTCGATCATGTTTCTTCGAGACTTCTGGCGCATTGGACTGCTCAACCTACATAGAACATGCAGAAAGGTATGCGTATCAGATACCTATCTGTGCATCTGTGCTTAAGTGAAGACCGAGCTAGGTAGATAAGTACAGTACCCTCCAAAACGTTGAACCAACAGCGTACATAGATGATTATTTAATGTATTGAAGAAGACATCAAAACATCGTGATATTTCGTAGTGGCAAGTTCTGAATGATTAAAGTAGTGAATTCAGCTTTTTCGCCAAGTCTCGCCAAGCGACCTGTTCGATGGTCTAGGTGGTATCACCCACTGGCTGTCCATTTGTGGCAGCTCACCTCCATGAACCCCATCTCGCATGTCGGATCTTCCCATCACCAGCACTCGCACTAGCTAGCATAACACATGGCAAAAAGCTCAGGTCGTCATGATAGTTACACACTACGATCTCGGATCTCTCAATTCGTTCACCTGTTCCAATACGATGGCTATGGCCCGTAGGTATATGCAGGTACCCGGGTGTGACCTCTCATTATTCGGAGATTTTCTCGTCGGCCGGTGTGTCCGAAGCTCCTCACTGCTTGCTTCTACGGCTGCTATTATTAAAAAATGACTATCCTCAAGCAGATTTGTATAAACTGTGCTGTATTTCAGAGCTATTGAGATGCAATATGGACATCAAATACCGATGCGGATAAGAAAATCCGCTACCAAGACTTATCGTGGTGAGGGGAAGAGTGGCAAATCATCTCGGACTGCAACGCACTGGCAGATTATCTGGCAATCCAGTTATACTCACTTTCTAGTGCTTTCTGATACAGCCGAGTTTAGGCGCGCCGCTCCAAGACGCCGCGACTGCGGGACAAGGAAATAAAAATGCCTGCGTTTTAGCCGCGGGTTGCATCCGTGAGGTAACTATGAGGTTGTTGAACCAAACCCCCCTCCTCCACTTCACGCAGGAATAACACATACATGCGCTTTTTCTTACCAAGCCTGCACTTACATATCTTCTCATTATCTCAGCAAATAGGAGAAAGAGATGTCCGAATCAAATGATCTTCGCGTAGTTCTAGGCTTGATGATCCTCGGGCCAGAGGGATGTCCGGGCGCGCGTCTCACGGGCCTCGACAATCTGAATGCCGCGCTCGACATCTTCCAGGAACGCGGGAACAGCGAGATCGATACGGCGCGCTTGTATCTAGGGGGCAAGCAGGAGGCTTTTACGCGAGAGGCGGGATGGAAGGAGAGAGGCCTCTCCGTGGCTACTAAGTCGTATCCTATCACGCCTGGGCTCCATTCCCCTGATGCTCTGGCTGCCACTCTCGAGACGTCGCTGGCTGAGCTGGGGACGGATTGTGTTGATGTATGTATCTTCGGGACTTGTGTTATATAGTTCTGCGAATCATGGGGTTGTGAACGTGATGTGCACCTGCTGACTGTTTTCTACGATAGATATTCTATCTACATGCTCCAGTAAGTCTTCTTTCTCGCACACTGACATTCGGTTTATTCAACCTCTCTCTCCCACCCTCTCTTCACTGCCCGCTTTAATTAGGTACTTAGAGTCTTCGGATCTCGAAACCTATCAACACACTTAATACACAAAAACTAGCAATACATAAGCATACTCGATCATGCCGCTCAAATTTGTATGTGTTATGAACAGGACCGTTCCATCCCCTTCGCCACCACCCTCGAAGCAACCGACAAGCTCCACAAAGCTGGCAAATTCAAACGTCTCGGCCTAAGCAACTACACGGCCTTCGAAGTCGCCGAGATAGCAACGATATGCGCCCACCGGAACTTCGTGCGGCCGACGATCTACCAGGCGCTGTATAACTGTCTGTTCCGCAACATCGAAGACGAACTCATACCAGCGTGTCGTCGGTACGGCATCGCCATCGACGCGTACTCGCCCACGGGAGGAGGGTTCCTCTCAGGCACGATCACGAGCGTTGATGCGAAGATCAAGGAGGGCCGGTATGCGGCCGGGGGACCGATGAGCCATCTTACGCGCGGACGGTATTTACGGGAAGGTATTATTGAGGGCGCGGGGATTATTAGGACGGCCGCTGAGAAAGAAGGGGTTCACCCGCTTGAAGTTGCTATGAGGTGGATTAAACACCATTCTAAGCTTAAGAAAGAGTTTGGAGATGGGGTCGTCATTGGATTTTCGAGTCTGGATCAGTTGAAGTTTAATCTGGATGCGCTTGGTAAAGGACCGCTGAGTCAAGATCTGGTGCAGGCTGTGGAGAATGCGTGGAGAGCGGCGAAGCCTGATGCTGATGTTTACTGGCAGTTGCCCTTGGTTTATGGGTATGATACCGTCCAAGAGATGTTTGGGAAGTCAGGGTAGATAATTATGGAATATGTGGCTAGGTTTAGGGATGCGGATATTGGCGGTGTATATATTTATATACCTATATACACATATATATGCAGGTGTACGCGTATATCTAATGATTGATGAGATTGCTTCTTGAACTTTTGAGCTACTTATTTCGTGCAGCTAGTCTTGATCTTTACTTTAAAGGTGGGAAATGCGGCTTCGGTAGGACTCTTGCCCTGTTCTATGTGTCTTTGCCATTGATTCATACGGAATGGAAGCTTAGGAGGAGCAGCACTACCTCCTCACGTGTGCGGAAATTACATAGTATTTACTATTTTAAGTGTATGACAAAAGATTGTTAGCCCCTCTGATCTCTGAGTTCTATACAGAGATACGTTACCGTAAGTTCTTCTGAAAAGCAAGTCAGAGCGATTCCAATTTTTATTCGCGGGACTAAGGATTGATAAGATTGCCGCGCAAATTGAATAGTTCGCGATGGGAGTCAAACACAAATACATGGTTGACGACAAGCCAGTATGTGTGATAATCATGACCAGTCACTCGTGATAGTCTCATTGTGAATTGAAAGTAACACTGTAAATGAGCTCAAAGATCAAGTCGGTGTCTTATCAGCTTACTAGCGGGAATACCTCTTACGTCACAAATAATATTTGCGGTATGGGGAAACTAAGAATACAGCACGAATCCCTGACACGCCATTGGTATCTCAGGGTTCATGGTACATGTGCCTTTGTCAAACGGTCCATTTTCCTTGAGAGGGCCGGTAGACTTTTCAGGTGGTATCTTCCTGCTTCTGCTTCTTCTGAACATGCTCACTATCTGAAGGTTCAGTACTGGGCACGCTGGGTAGCTGGCTCGCAGTAGCTTCGGCTTCCAAGCTCTGTGTCTCGTCGGTGGCCTCGCTTTCCGGCGGGAAGAATCGACTGAAGCATAAGAATTGTATTAGTACCTAGGGAGGCAATATTGATGGCAAGCAAGAACACGACTATATGAGAGAAAAGAGAGATGAGGGGGTGAGGGGTAGACGCACGGCAGAAGGCGATCATAACTAGCAACGTCCTTCCCTTCAAAGGTCACGAATATGATCTTGTCGATCTTGCTGCCATGTTCACCAGAGAGGAAATCCTTGGCAGTCGAGCAAGCGATAGTCGCGGCGTCGCGGGACGGGTAGCCATAGACACCTGTGCTGATGCAGCTAAAGGCGATAGTCTTCAGCCCGTGCTGCGCAGCGAGCTGTAGAGACGATCGGTAGCAGCCTTGGAGGGCGGCGGCACATCTTTCGGCATGGTGTTCGCTATAGACGGGTCCGACGGTGTGGATGACCTTCTTGCAGGGGAGGTTGTAGGCGTTGGTGATCTTGGAACTGCCGGTGGCACAGCCGCCGAGAGTGCGGCACTCGGCTAGCAGTTGGGAACCGGCAGCTCTATGGATGGCACCGTCGACACCACCGCCGCCGAGCAAGGACCTATTTGCAGCATTGACGATGGCGTCAACGGCTAGTTTGGTGATGTCGCCTCTGATGGTGGCGATCTTATTGTTGTAGGCAGACGTAGCACCGCTCATGACATTAGACGAGGGGTCGAGTCTCTGCAACTTGTAGAGAAGTCGGAGTGTTGGGATCTCGGCGGCGGGGATGGTAGCCATGCTGGGCGCGGCGTGCGACACGAAACACCGGGTGGCGGATGGGGATAATTGAATGTGTTGTAGCTGTCTACCTAACTTTGATGTAAGTACGTCGTAGTGGTATTGTAGTATAATTTTGGGATTTGGGCGATGAATGGTAGATATCAAAACGAACAAGACAACGGAGAAAACACCGAAGAGAAGACAGACGGACAACTTCAGAAACAGCAAACGCGACGAAGACAACCATGTGGAAGGCTGCGGCGCACGATGCATAAGGGGCTACCTGGAGTGTGTTCCCCGCGGAAACAACGACAGACATGTTTGCTGAACATTGCGAGTCCCTTGCATCAGCTGTGACATCTCTGGAAAGAGTTCACGAGCTTTGGTCAACTTTTGATTGATAAATAATAAACTAGCTGACTTACTAGAAACCTACTTAACGGGATCAGATCAGGTCCTCGTGTGTTGACGAGAATCTTTGGGTGAGCTCTGCGCGAGGGGGACAGTTGGGGGGTATGACGTGACGTCGCTGCATGTGCATACACCCCGCCATGGGTACTTGTAGATACCTATGTCCCTCCCTGTAGATACCTAAGTAGGTAGTTACCTAGCAGTACCTAGCCGAGGCGGTGCAAGAAAAAAGTGAGAGACTCAACACCTCTGTGTTCAGTGCAGAGTCCCTCAATTTTTTCTTTCACCGCCTCGCTAGCTTCCATAGCTTAGGTGAGTGAGATGCCTAATTCAGGCAGATTCAGGGTTCGTCCTAGGCCGATCCGGGGTAAAGCGGGCACTGGGGTACATGTCACTTTGTAGCTTGCCCTCGCTTGCCTCGGCTCATGTCAAAAGAACTCATCACAATGAAGCCTTGATAAACTCTCTTGTTGACAATGGGTTCCTTTGAATTGGTAGCCATCAAATCTTTTCTAGAATTAGAAAGCCTTGTTCAAGAACAATCCATCTATGGATGAAAGACGACGCTCAACGCGCTCTCATTCCCATGTACCGGTATATTCCCATGTATAAAATCATCATGTTGTCTCTTTCGATCCAGAGCACCCATTTCCTCGCAATTTTGTCCAGGAGACAACCATCCACCTATTCATGACCTTCAAGAAAACCCAGACATTTAGAGATATTCACACCACGTTGTATCAACCATGATGCAGAGCCGGGATACCGACATCCTCTCTGGGTCAGGGCATACCGCCATCGTGGTAAGCATGATCGTTTTCGTCTCTCTCCTGCTCCTCTCATGGGCCACAATGGGTACCCAGATTTACCGCGCTCGCAAGCAGGCGAATGCAGGCGATCCAGACGTTGAAGCTGAAGCTGGTACTGCCATGCCTGACGGTACCGTTCCCTTGGAGGATCTCCTCAAAAGGGGCCAGACCAAATTTCAGACGCGGTCAGCACAGGGAAGCAGAGCTTCGATCTCAACCTGGCCTAGAACCGAGGTGTCAACTAATGCGCCCTCGTCAAAGAGTGGAGGGGAGCGAATATCGGCTTGGCGTCGCTTCATTCAGAATTTCAAGAAGGAAGAAGAGAAGTAATTAGTGCTTGTAGGGAAAGAGGCCGACAGTGGTCGTAACATCAGGTTCCGTGTGGGGAGGATTCGCAGCACTTCGCATGAGGCCAAGTAACGTCCAAGGATTAGACCATTCTAGCATCTTTTCATTTGTTTGTTTTCATTATAAGCATCTAGCTCATAGCATCACCAATGCTTCGATATTTCATTTGTATGCATATTCCGTACCTACCTAATTCCGTATCTTCATACTAAGTGTACCCAACTACCATACAATTATCTCTTCTTAAGTGAAAGCTCATCACGAGGAACAAGTCGCGGGCAGGTATTCTTTCATTATACAAGATAGGAAATAATAAGGTTGAGCCCGATGTTACCGCGGCAGCAGATGCGCTCGTTCTACATTTAGTATATCTCATGGCACAGCGACAGTGCTATAAACACGCTCCGTGAATACTTACCCATGGTATTACACGCTTCTGCCAACACCAAATTCGCTACGGTATATAATAACCTAGAATCTTGGCTCCCTGGCAATACCTGTCCCCCTGTCTTCATTCGGGGGATTTCATTGGGCTGGGCTGCCCCAAAGGGTACTATCATCATTAGCCGGTCAAATGAGGAGATGGTCACTCAAAACTGGGCAAAACGGATCGTCTACCTACTTAGAGAAAAAACCCATGAGGGGAAGGGGATGCGAGCTCCGTCGGGGTACCAGTAGGGGAATACTTGGCGCACCTGTCTCCTGTGGGGGATCTTCGGATTTGATCAGGGTTTCATTCACATGGCTTATGCTGTGTTTTCGGCAGTTTTGGTTCTGAGGGGCTTGATGGTACCCTCGTTTCTGCTGGGGACTGTTTCTCATATGCCGATGTGGAAAAGCGTTTTTATAGTATTGTGCATCCAGAGATATAATGCGTTTGGACTCGCACTTGAGTTTTTTTGGGGGACTTGTGAGCTCTGTTTAGACGAGACGTTGTCTTTATATAAGAGTTTAAAAAGGTATTTGATCTTGCTGAGGGATCGTGATTTTTGTTGCATGAGGGAATGTTGATGAGCGCTGCTGAATACTACAGACTGATTACTTCATCTTGCGATATATCACGCTAGCCCTTGGGCATTTATCATGGCGGAAAATAGATTGAAGGATCATGAATTGGGTATGAGGGAGCATTGGAAGGCTCTGCTCATCATCACTCTTGTCTCGTTGAGCTCCTTTCAATATGGCCTCGATTTTGGAATTATCGGCGGCCTGCAGGCGATGATTGGCTTCCTTCAGGTGAGTAGTGGACGACAAGCTTACAGTATGAGCGTTGACTTATACACCCGGTAGATCTTTGGGGAGAGAGCCCCGTCAACGCCTCTCGGTTGGAACATCAACGCCGAACGACAGCAACTCATTTCCTCTCTAATGGTCCTCGGCGCTTTCATCTCATCGTCTACTGCCGGGTTCACAGCCAAGTACTTCGGTCGTAAGATGTCACTTTGGATCGCATGCGTCGGTGTTTTCGTTTCTACGGCACTCATGCAGGCTACGACGCAGATTGGGGGCCTGTACGCTGGACGACTCATCATCGGGCTGTCGAACGGTCTTCTTATGACGCATGCGCAGGTAAATCACATTGAATCCTCCTCTATCTAGCAATTACTGACTCAAGCATGTGAATTACAGCTCTATATTCAGGTATTTACAAGAACACGTACCGGCATAATGGAACGGGATCTAACCTTGTTATTAGGAATGTTCACCTGGTCGATATAGAGGATTTGGCATTTCTATATTCACGTACTGGGTGGCGGTGGGTAAGTAGAAACAAACACAAATTCTTCGTCCTATTCCTTTTACTGACCGCAAGATATGTAGGGTCTCTCATTGGCACAGTAATCGACAACTTCGCTTCAAAAATTAATAGCAGGAACGCATATATAATCCCGTTAGGCATCGTCCACGTCATCCCATTAATCTTGACGGTTGGTCTATTCTTCATACCCGAAAGCCCGAGATGGCTAGCAACGAGGTACGTATCTAGCAAGTTATTGACACTCCTTTGATTCAACTCCCCGACTCATATGAGATTGGTAAATCTCTGAAGCTTGATGCTAACTCAGTTGTTCACAGTGAGTCAATATTATTTTGAATAATACCGCATTACGCCACATTCTACCGAGACGAGATACTAATTCATGCCACAGAAGGGAGGATGGATGAGGCAGAGCGCGCACTTCGGCGGTTGAGACCGGCAGGATGGTCCGTTATGGACGAGCTGGAAGAGATGGCGACAACACTAGCAGCAGAAGCACGATTGCAGTCCAGCATAGGATACCGCACCTTGTTTCAGAATCCAATCGATCGACGTCGTACATTCTTGTCCGTCTTTGGCTTGACTACTCAGGCTGCCTCCGGGGCTATGTTCGGTAAGAATTTCCCATGTTTCATTGAATCGCGTCAATAGCTAACTCCCTGGGGTTGTAGTGATCTGTAAGTTTCATCCCTGCATGCTGTCTACGTTGTTGTTGGCCTGACTAGTTGGAAAGCGTATGGCACATACTTCTTCGAGATGGCCAATGTGGGCAACGCGTTCGAGAACTCATGCATACTAACCGGGACTGGCGTTGCGGCACTATTGTTTAACGCCTTGGTCATCACGAAGTACGGCCGTCGACGCGTCATGATGACCTCGGGCTTCATCGTCTGCGGACTTTCGCAACTGATCATGGCTATTGTGTACACCATTGAGCCCGGAACGGAGAAAACAGGCAAGGTCATCGTCGGCCTTAGCGTCATCTACATCGTAGCTTATAATGCCTTGATATCCACCTACGCATGGCTCTCGGGCGGCGAGCTTGCATCTCAAAGGTTGCGCAGCCACACTTTCGGCCTGGCCACGGCGATCGGATTCTTCGGTGCTTGGCTGACTACATTTACTGCGCCGTATTTCATCAACCCTACACAGCTGAATTGGGGTCCGAAGTACGGTTATATCTGGACGGGCAGCTGTGCTGTAGCCGGAGCCTGGGTCTGGTTGTATCTGCCTGAGGTCAAAGGTCGTACCCTTGAACAGATCGACGAAATGGTAAGATGATCATCATTCGAGATCTATGTGCATAGATATGCTAACGTTATTTGACAGTTTGAGGCTGGTGTTCCTGCTCGTAAGTTTCGAAAATATCAATGCACGCGTCGCGTCGACGATGAAAAGCCTCAAGTCGATCATGTAGAATCTCAGTCAAGCCAGGAGGATGGAAGTGAGCCGAAGGTGGTCGCTAATGTTTCAACATCAAAAATCTGATCTTCTACATCCTTGATAATATCTATCATACCATTCTCGACTCATTGCTGGTACAGGGTGCTTCAAGCTGGCAGTTGTATATGTCATGTACAGCGCGATTGGATAATAAGAGAAGATTGGTAGTCCATTGGCTTTATCCGTTAACTTTAAAAATTTGATTATTTTGCCCAAGCACAAGTGCATATTCCTGCTATCTGCGCCTAGTCCTCGACGGCTCAAGCCATTGTCATGGGAACCCCTTATGGCCGCGAAGTACATGCCTCGTATCTCGCCCCTAAGAACTCACAACTTTGTGACAGCCTAAACTAGGTACTAGCCGAGATTCCAATTTAATAAGGTGGTTTCTGTCACCAGCTCCATCAACTTAGCCAAAAGAGAGCTATCACAGTAGCGCCCTAGAATCAATATAGATATATCAGTGCACACCATATTGGAATTCCCCAATATCAATGCCTCTGAGTAAAGCCGCTTCGAGTTACTTATAGTGCTCTTCTAAGTTCTGTGCATTCAAGTTCAACCTAAGCCTATAATTGCTACATGTAAGATCTGCCTCTCTTTAATGAATCTATTGACACGGGATCTCTGCTGCAGATAAACTTTCTACAACCTTGTCGTACGTCTCTTCGGCGTTCTTCTCGGTGTCAAACTCGAAGATCCAGTCCAGTCGGGGAAATTGGATAATCTCGGGATTTTCCTTGACCTTGTCCCAGTCTGTCTTGTGCCACATGTCTCGGGTCGACTCCCCTGTCTTCTGCGTCTCACGAACACGTTCATACCGGATCTTCTCGTGGGCACGCACAGATGTTGGCACGTTTTGCTTCCCGCCCTTTCGAAGACAGACGGCGATGCAGACTACGTTCTCGAGTTAGCTTCTTCGAATATTGGGTGCTTGTCAATTTGCACCTGAGAGCCCTCAGTGCGAGGCGGATTCGACGAAAAGCTTTCGCACTTGATGCAATAGAATGAAATTCACTTGCCGCCATCTTCGAGTGCTTGTGTCGCTCCCTGTGCGCTGGTAGGCAGGAAGGGATGCGCTGAGTCTCCCAATAGGAGGATTCTTGCCTTAGGACTTACCCATGTAGGCATAGGGTCTCGATACACTAGTTTCCAGTCGACCAACATCTCTTCTGGTGTTTTGGACACGATTCGATTGCACATTGGATCCCAGTCTTTGATCGCCTCTTTGACTTCAGAGAGCTTACCAGGGAAGCTCCATGACTCATCAATGTTGTGTTCGTCAGGATGGGTTAAGACCCAACAGCAATCGGTACCATCTTTAATGGTGCTGAAGACTGTATCGTCAAGATTGAGTATATGTTTTCAACAATACTCTAGGAATTGAGATGGGTGGGGTCTTCCACGACTCACGGAAATGCATGTCAGGGCCGATCCAGCCATTGAATGTATCACCATTCTCACAGAATTGAGCGGTCAGAGGGTCTGCGATCATGTCCTTGTTCGGAAACCTTTGGAACTCAATATTCAGCTCGAGGTCAGAATGATTAAAGGGCGAGAAGGCATACCAGGCTCTCCACACGGCATATCCGCTACTCTTAGGTTTGTCTTCATATCCCAGTACGGATTTTCGAGCTTTAGATCGAACACCGTCTGCTGCGATAACCACATCGGCTGATACCTTTAGCCAAAGTCAATGATTGCTTGTTGAAAATTGCTGAGGTGTTGGCTACTATACCCTTTCGCCGCTTTCGAGCACAATTCCTGATTTATCCTCGTCCTCAAAATACGTAGAGATTTTGTTTCCCAAATGAACTTCGTCATGCTAAATTAGTCGTCTCCGCTTGCTCTAAAAATTTAGAAGCCCATTAGCACTCACTTGGTATGCTGAGATCGTCTCTTGCATAGTTGAATACCACTTCATGCAATTCACCCCTATGTCCATTGAAATTTGGTGCTTCTTCGGAATAGGCTGGTGTTTTCTGGTTGATGACAATCTCGCCGGTGTCATACTTGTGAATATTGAAGCCGTACGTAGTCAAATCGATCTGTTTAGCCCGGGTTTAGAGAATTTTTCGCCTCAATCGGTCGAACTGAACAAGACAAGAGATGGCCGAAAGGGGGGAAAGACGAAACACTACGTACGCTTAGTGGTCGCATACGACGAACGACGTCGCCATTCGACCACCGATAAAAGATACGCCCAGCATTTGGCCCGAACGAAATGATGTCTCCCAGTTGTTTTAACTCTGGGAATGCTTCGTAAATCTCGACATCGTGGCCTTGGCGATGGCATTCTATCGCAGCACCTAGACCACCAAATCCTACAATAGGAGATACACGTCAGCGTGCACATAGACTGGTGATGCTCATTGAATCTCATGGATCATACCAGCACCCACAACGACCACTTTGATTCCTGTCGGAGGGCGCGATGACGCACCGTTGGCGGTACCGTTTGTCGCCATCCTCGAAGTTGCCGAGCACCTTTGTAATCATTAGGGCAGAGAAATACGACGTCAGTGGTAGCTTAAATATGGCGATTGCGCCGAACTGCCTACTTTTTTCCAGGTCACCATGCGGGGAGACGCGGGGTTACGATCATAAGTACTGTTGCCACTTTGTCTCCGAAACCAAGTTGGGGATTAATCGTAACCGACATCCAGGCATCGTAACTTGCTAGGTCACATCCTCGGCTCATTACCTTGCACCGAAACTCTAGAATGGGTCTCGCGCTCTTAGCCTATATCAACCTTGTCAGCCCAAGAGCCGAGGAGTCACGTTGGGAAATACGCCCTCCTATATTACACGGACGTTATAACGCCATACTGTTCTTATCACATGACGATTTGGACGAAGACGTCGCTTATTATGATGGCAAGTCCGTTCTGTGAAACGCAGTCTGTACAAGAGCAACTACGGTCATGAAATTGACCCCTATGCTTGGCAAGGCAGAAAGACGCAATATCTGCATAGCTGATCTTTATTCATCAAGATGACTTCGAAACCAGAGTGGGGTCTAAAAACATCGGCCTTAAGCGTTGCTGAAGAATACGCGGACAGAGTAAGGGGCAAAAACAGTATGTGATATTACTTTGGGCCGCTACACTATTGAAACTCCGTCACTTATACACATATGAAGTTATCGTAACCGGGGTGGCGCCGCAAGGAGTGGGTGAAGGAACTGCACTTGCATTTGCGTCACAACAGCCGGCGAACCTACTATTGCTATCTAGGACCAAAGAGAAATTGGAAGCCATAGCCGATATAATTCAGACTACGTATCCAGGAGTCAGTGTACGAACGATCGTAGTAGATCTGGCCTCCCAAACGTCCATACGAAAAGCCGTTGAAGAGGTCAAAGACACTATCTCCACGCTCGATATTCTTGTTAATAATGCCGGCGTCACCCGTCGACTTCGGCATTGGACGGAAGAAGGAATTGAGACGCAGTTTGGCGTGAACCACATTGGAACGTTTCTGCTTACCAGCCTTCTTTTTCCGCTATTAAAAGCCGCAGCGGAGAAGTCGCCCCCTGGAGCAACTCGGGTTATTAACTTGTCTAGCCATGGCCACATGCTATCCCCTATCCGGTTTCACGATTACAACATGGAAAACAAGGAAATTCCGCAGGAGGAGAAACCTGCTGCACGTATGCCCCCGGCCTTCGCCAAGGCCTCTGACGATGGATATTTGTCTACTATAGCTTATGCTCAGAGCAAGACTGCCAATATCTTGTTCACTCTATATCTACAGGAGCATGCCAAAGCTTCTGGGATTATGTCATATGCACTTCACCCTGGAGGTACTGTTTTTTTTTCTCTTCTTACTTCTGGTCAACGTTTTATGTCACTCTGAATAGACAAATTAGTTGGGCTAATACGTGAATGCCAGGGGTCATCAGTAGTCTCGGAAGAGAGCATGACAAGGACGTCGCCGAGACAATTGCAGCAACATCCAAGTATTGGAAGAATAGCGACGAGGGGGCGTCGACAAGTCTCGTCGCTGCCTTGGACCCTGCGCTTGACGGTAAGTCAACCGCTCAATCATTCTGCAACTGAGTAGTGAACACTTACTGATTGATCATCAATGTTCAATGCGTTTTAGAATGCCGTGGCCTATATTTGGCCGATTGCCAGTTCTTTCAATGCGCAGAGCACGCGAGAAGCCGCGACGCAGCACAGAAGCTGTGGGAATTGAGCGAAAAGCTAATGGGTGATAAGTTTATTGTTGAGTAGAGTACAGGGAGTAGACGCTTTGTGACTGTCGCTAAACTTCAATATGTACCTGGGGATAGATGGCTCTTTGTCAAACCTCGAAACGTTTTTTCCATGCCGTTTGCAAATGACCTTTGTGATTGTGCGAACGAGACTAGCTAGTGCTTAACCTGGTGTAATTTTTACCGACTGAGTGTGATGGAGCAGCATAGTCCCTGTGGCGATTGGCTTGGACGCATGATAATTACTCCAAGATGGCTGTTCCACTTCCTCAGTCACCTTGGGCCAAGCGCTTTGGAGATGGGTCGATATTAAAGGGACAAGTATGTAATTCGTTACTACAAGATGGTGGTCATACGCATTCTGGTATCGCACCAATGCGCCCTTGGTAATCAAGCCTACAATCGCATTGTTGAAGTTGAGAAAACTGATGAGCGCTAGGCTCGACCCACGATATTACGACTCTAAACCTAAAAAAGACGAGTTTACCACGCCTGTGACCGGGAAAGAAATCGATGAAGCTTTAGCTACGGAGAAATTATCGCGCAATTTGTTAATGGGAGTTCCGGCATGGAAGGCTGTGACACTGAACAGCGTCCTCTCATGTTGGGGCGAAGATCCTGTCATATTGAGCGGTCACCGACCGGAGGACGCGAAGAATTATGCTGAAATGTTGGAGGCTTATAAGTCACAGAGGATCGAAGTCCGCCCAGAAACATGGCTACCGTTCTTTAAAAAAGACCGTTGGTATGATCTGTTTCTTGTGGATGTCGCTGACACGATCGAGAGGGCGGACGGGTCAAAGCGGGCTATTAGGACCTGGACAATGGACGACGAGCGTATTTGGCATGAGGTGTCATTTATTCTCGAACTAGCAAATCGGATACTAATGACACTCATCAAAGATAACAATACCTGGTGAGACCAACCCCTTTGCGTCGGCATCGTTTTTCCTCTAAGCTCATTGTCGCTGGAGGCTAACGGAGATGAATGAACGCGTGTATACAGGCTCGGGACGTTAATGTATGGCCATGTACAACGTTGGTATGAACTTTATGGAGATGCGTCTAGGGCGGCCGAGCATGTGGCAAGGGGGGAAAACTGGATCATTCTATTAACACCCAGCTTCGAGTGGGCAGAGTGTGTAAGGTTAGGGAAGCCCTTTCTAGGCCGTGCAATCGAGCCGGATGCAGAGAAGCGGGAGACACTCATCTGTCAAATGCTAAAGAACCACGCTTGGTCATTCGTGAAGGGTGACGTGGGCCAGCGTGGAGATACCAGCTGGCTAGAGCCTCAGGACATGACTTTCAGTAGGATTAACGTTGCTTACCTGAAGCATCTTGTTGGTGGGACTATCAGTGTTGCTGAAAGGTGTGTATTACACTTAAAGATGGCCCAGGTGGTGAGTGCTACAGACTATTGAGACATGTATAGGCTTCTGGTGAAAGATGTTAACTCCTTGCATCCAGGTATTACGTAGGTCAATTCATCTATACTGATCAAGTCGATTTAATCATCTTCCCATATTGCATAACGCACTGTTAGGAAGAAACCATAAACGCACTCGCTAACAGCGGAATACCGTAGATGAGTTGATGCATGCCATATATTTCCATCGAGTCCATACATATCATGGAGATATGAGCGCAGACATCCGGGGGCGGGATTTCCACGAGCCGGTATGATTCTCCTCATGTGTATGAATGCCTCGCACACCACGAATATACTGGACTGAACAGTGAATGTAATTAGTTCGTAAATGGGGAATCAATTGCTGAGCTTGGTCGCTCCTGGGAAAAGGCTGCCCTTGGTGGAACGCCAGTGAGTCAACCGCATTTTTCTTCTGATACGTCGTTGGTGATATGGACTCCTGAGTGCTCCAAATATACCCGAGCCGAAATATCTATATGGTTATCGCAACGCTCAGTGAAATCAAGTTCAGCTAACAAGCGTCTCACACAGTTGGAAGTCCCTGGTCTATCCAACAGACTTCCAGTAGCAGACCTTCATGTCAAATTCCCTAGTCGGCTGGGAGCTAGTTCACAAGGCCAAATGCTCCCTAATAGCCCTGAATTAGATTTCTTTGCACCGATTTACGCTTATTACATCCCCGCTGCCGTGTTTTGGCGGATGCAATCCAAAAGCTTTTGGGCTACCAACCCTCATGGCGAGCTGGGGTTCCGCTACCCCCAATTCATCTATACTGAATTGAGGCAGGCTCGGGCTCATCCTGAAGTTGTGATCAAAGATACCTTTACGAACAGAGACCCTCGTGTGCGCTATATATTCAAGGAAATATTACGTAAATGGGATGAACAAGGGTCATTATGGGCTAGTTCGCGGCCGTGGTTTGCCCCTGCCTTGGATGTATGGGAAAGGGTATGTTGAGATCCATCGCCTAGCGTTTCTGGACCACAGCGATAAGAATGCGAACTTTACGCCCAGAGCTTACTATTGAAGTCAGACACCTTGGAGTTATGTTAGTCTCCGCACAGAGCTCGAGAAATTCATCGAAGCGTACCAGAAAAAAGACGAATCCGAATGTGCGTCTATAGCGGAATTTTTTGTCTGCCTTATTCCACCGATTAATGTCACAAAGTTGTCGGGTACGTGACAAATTATTAGCTTCTCGTATCCTAGAATTACTAGTATCTCGACAACATAATCGATGGGAATGACTTTGGTGCAAGGTTCACGGGATCTCGCTGATTTGGGTCTTGAATAGACACTGAACAGCGGCTGTTGATGCCTAATAGTCCGAATGATGGCGAGCCGTCTCTTTGGATCTGGCATTGTTTAGGTTAGACAGCCCTCTTTCCTCTGGACTATAGACATCATACAATGTGTCTGGCTAAACAACCACAACCCGAGACACAGGGCTGTTGATGACAGCAGCATTACCTCTTCAAAAAGCTGACAAGCTCCCAACCACGACTCAACGCGGCGATATATACTCACCCGGCAAGGCCGCATATCAAGCGGGTTGGCGCGTCGTTGCCGTTAATTCCACGGTACAGGTGACGCCGAGGATACACAGGAGGGATTCCTACTGGGATCGTTTCAACGACTTTGGCAAACATGTCCTGGTCGCTTCGCGCGTCGAGTTTGTGCACCAAGCTGCTCATATGATTGGTGAGTAAATGAATTGGTTGCTAGGCACTGACTACCTATGTAGCTGACCATAATTACACAATTATAGCGCATGTAATGGAGACAAGACAGGCATAGTCAGTTCCCCGAAGTCTCTTCTCCTTTCTTTCCCCTGTTCATGATTGAGGCAGACTTTTGATCATCGGTTACTGACTCTAGCTTGCTGGCAGTGCATCCTCGCCTGTCTTGAGGGCCCTCAACGGTCTATTTGCACATATGTTTAATGTCCTCACGAACCCGTCCTTTGACCAATCGTCGTGGCTTCCGGATTTCCCTTTCCAGTTCCCTGACTATGAACCTGACGCTTTCGACCGCTGGGATCCGACGAACAACAGTTTGACGACTTTCCGGAGGGTGCCTGGCCAGGCTGATGGAACGTATAGCATGGTACCGGTATCGCAGCCCTCTTCGCAGTCTTCTTCACAGCACTCGTCGCAGCCCTCGTCGCAGGGCTCGCTGCACTTCTCGCCACAGGGCTCACCTTGAGATATTTGAGTGTCTGATTTTGGAACAAGATAAATATGCTAGAGATGGGCTATGTATACTTCGTAAGAAACTGGGTTTCAACTATCTGCCACTGTATATAGAACTACGTCGTTGCTCTCTCTATAAGGGAGCAGTTTTAATGCCTATTAGCAAAATTGTCTGAGTTAGCTACTCCTAAGACTGTCCGTATTTTTTCCAGACATTTCAAAGACTAGTCTAGCTATTTCCCATTATATCAGTGTTATAGAACCCTGGTGAGCAGTGAATACACCAGCCTCCTGATTCGCCGTTCATGCCACAGGTATAAGCTCAATTGGGAGAGGAGATTTCTCCCACACAATAAACAGATTCTTCTGCTTGTGGACCCAGCCCTTGGTACTCGAGTCAACCGTTCGTTTCATATCAAAACTGAAAACCATATGGGCAAGAATGAGACGCATTTCGATGAGCGCCAAGCTAGGGGGTTCCACGGTTAGCATGATCACCGATATAATAGCCCTGAAACAAGCTCTCGAAAGCACGTGTCCATAATAGGATGGGGCGATAAAGCTTACTTTTGCCCAATACAATCTCTCGAACCTGTGAAGAAAGGTTTGAAACTCTCTCGAGCATCGTTTGCGTACCTAGGGTCTCCTAGAAAGCGCTCTGGGTGAAATTCGTCGGGATCCTATGATGAAACAGTGTCAGATTAGATTCTCAATTAGTATTAATAAAAAATGGGAGTATAAGGTAGGTTAGAGAGAAAGGTAGATTTTCGCTACTCACTGTCCATAAAGCTGGCGTTCGATAAAGCGCCCAAGGCCAGATACCGACGACTGTCTACAATGGACTGTTAGTCGATTTCGTAAACCATATGTTACACGTAACGCATACATTTTCTGGTATAGGGATCCCAACGATTGTTGTTCTCTTGTCCGTTAATCGCAGCGAAGGGGCTCCCGTCTGGGGAAATAATCTCAGAGTTTCGTCGACACAGGCAACGAGATAGGGTAATCGAGACACGGCGTCGGCCGTAATGCTATCACGAGAGGTAAATGCGGAGCGAACCTCTGCGGCTAGCTTGTCCGACTTTTCTGGGTGATCGATGAGCAACGAGGTGACGGCAGTGAGTATGCTGGCGCTGTTTCGGACACTGTTACTTAAAGCATCTTCCAAATCTAGCAAATCAGACCACGCAACTCGTGGTATCGAGAAGTGACGTGAGATATATCAAGTAAACTTACCTGGTCTCAGCACCAGCTCCAATGATAACAGTGGCATTCGAGATGAGCTCATCCGTGTTGGAGTCCTTAACTGGCCTATCAGTGCGAGGTTGCGAGAGCAGGCAAAATAATAGACGAAACTGACCTCGCCAGGCTGGCCCTCGTGAAGCTTAATGAGGGGGTTAATCAGATCAGGACGGTCACCGGCGCGAAGCCGTCTTTCCACGAGGGGCTTGACCATCTCTGTGTTGAGGCGCATGGGTCCTTTGGCGAGGAAGGCCAGTATGGGGTTTACCACGGCTGCTAGAACCGGGTACATGTTCAACGCGGTCAAGAAGCCCATGGGCTTTGCACCGTCGATCATAGCGGCGACCCATGGATGCAAGCCGTCACTCTGAAGGCATCCTAATGACTCACCGAAGGCCAGGTCGCAGATGATGTCGAAGACGACATAACGGTACCACAGCTCGATATTCAAAGGGCCATGTTGGCTTTTGGCCTTCAAGCGTCGCATGAGTAGATCTATGTATCTGGCTATGATGGGTTCCTGGGCACGTAAAGAGCCGTCGGAAAATCCGGGTGACAAAGCCTTTCGTAGTGTACGGTGATGGTCTTTGCTGGTCGTGTTCTGCACGTGAGGTGGGAGGAAAGCTGGCACTCCGTACATGCCAATCCCTGAGCAGGGGCGGACAGGTCAGGCGGCAGCAGCATGGATGATGCAGAAGAAGGGTGTATGTGTGTGAGAGAGAGAGAGAGAGAGAGAATCAGGGATTGGAGGCATGGGTGAGAAGTGTGTATGTATGAAAAACACATGAGTAATACATGAGAGACACAGAAAGTGGGAGAAGTAGGCCTTTACTTACACTTGGGGATCTCGGAGACGCCGCCGCCCATGATGTCTTTCCAGGCACGGGGGTCGTGAAAGGCGAGCTCATTCGGAGCGACGCGTACGACGGGGCCGTACTGGGTGTGCAAGTCGGCGGCATCGAAGACAGCAGTGCCTCTTAGCACGGCCAGTGACCAGGGCACACGGCTGATGCGACGAAGTAGAGGGCCGGGAAACTCGGCAAGGGGGTGAAAATAGAGGTTATAGACGATGGAGGCGGCGATGTACACCAAGGTCTGTGGACGTGTTGGTATGTTGGTATGTTGGATATGATGATATTGGTGTTTGTATCAATCATGCATGCACTTACAGCAGCCAGTGCCAAGCCGGCGAACCGGAGGAGCGTGTCCATTGTGAAGATCATGACAATGCCTATATGGATGATTTGAGGACAGCGTCTTTTAGTTCGAATCTGATGATGACCATGTACAGTAACATGCATATATACATATGTAGATAGATATAGATACCTACATGTAAGAAGACAACCAGTCCAAGCGATGATATGTACCTACTCGATGTCTCGGCTACAGACACCACTACGGCGGGAATATATCATGATGTACCTATGTATGTACCTATATATTTACAACTCGATATGGAGTCTGATAAATAAATATGAGACTCGGAGACTTTACTTACGAAGTAAGCGGGACCCTGCTCACCTACCTAACCTTGGACTCTCACCCTCAGCCCACCTGGGCACCTATCCCTGGTTCTGTGCCTACCTTAGGAATGTACTTACAATGGAGTAGTGGATACTTCGGAGATACTTACAAGTACGCGTTTATGCCCCGCCTACTCGACCTCCTGTAGGTGCCTGCATGTACACTATAGGTACTCTTATAGCCGATCCATGTCCTGTCTCTCATCATCCAATCCTTCAACCACCTTGGTTGCAGCTTAAAGCAACAACTCCAACAACAGCTCCTCTTCGGTCAATGTTGTTTGCTATGGATTGACTTGACACCAGTTCTTATACCATTCTTATATAATTGTTCCTGTTCTCCTTCGCATAATAAGTCGTGTGATTTAGCTCCCTTGCACACTATACAGTTTTGCCGCTTTTGTGCATAGCAGATCGAAAGTGACGTGAAGTGAAGCCGCGTTTTATCATAAGCTCGCCCTAACATCGTGCTTTTGTTTTCCCCCCCTCGAGAACCATACCGAGCTTACATTACTTTCTATACACCTATACTAAACTCCTCCCGCCGCTCCAGGAGCCATTGCCATTATTCCCTGTTCTTACACGCTGCCGTGCACCTCATATCTTGCCGCTAGAATTATTCTTCAAGCATCAGCCGAGCCCGGCGAGCGTGTACCCATCTGCTGGGCCGGACGCGTCTCCATGTCGCTGCCACCTCGTCTCGACACTCTATATACGGCCCGATCGTATTGACCACGCGCTCTCACAGCCAGCATAGCCTCCCGCTGGCCAATCGACCCTACGGCCTCCCTGCCGCCAGTTCGTGTCGCCACCTTCTGTGTAATAACCGCCATGAGTGACACCATTTGCTGAGCTCGCTCGCGCCGATCCCGAGGACCGAAATCCGCGTCCCTCTCCAACCGCGATCCGAACCATGCCCACTCTCCAGATCACGCCCGACGCTCTCGACCGCCTCCAAGATGTTGCTGACATCCTCGCCAAGTCGCGCAAGGTCGTCATCATTACCGGTGCCGGCATTAGCACCAACTCGGGAATCCCCGTATGCGCGCCCTCCTCCCACTTGTCACATCGTTATTCCTATGTTCACCTCATGTTTGAACTCATAAACTGACCTTGACCACAGGACTTTCGCTCCGAAAACGGTCTATACTCCCTCATTCAAGATCAGTTTGAGCGTGCAGAAGCCAATGCTACTACCGGCATAAATAAGGACGAGGACGAGGACGAGGACATTCCAGCCTTTCCTCCCTCCACCAAGGCAGCAGTCGACAGTATTGGGCGTCCCATGAAACGCAGGAGGACGTCCGGGCCGGACAATTCTACGTCACCAGCTTTGCTTGCCTCATTCCCACTTCCGGTCCTACCAACGCAATCGATCGTCGAGAAACCACCCTCTGCGAGCATGAGTCCCGCTTCATACCTGGAGCAGCCTTCCACGCAGGAAGAAGTTGTCGCCCCGATGCCATCACAAGAAGATTCTCTTCGACGGGTGACGCGATCGCAGGCGACTGCGTTGCGGCCCACCCTTCCTCGGCATTTGACACAGCATTCTGTCGACTCATCAACGAGCCACGACTCTTTCTTCTCAGACCAGCCAACTTCCTGCGAGTCTCCGCAGACGGATACGTCGATCTTGCTGAACAGCAGCCAGACAAGTTCCCACACACAAACCAAAACCCCGAGGCACCCTACACCTCGGCTCCTTACTAGCTCGTCACCGCTTTCCTCTCCACCATCAGACCCATTCGACCCATACGAAAATGCCCACTCTTCGACAGAGAACAGTTCTCATGAGGATTCTGATTGTTCGGATACTTCCGAATCTGATGATACCCAGCAGTCGCTTGACCTCTTTTCCTCCCAAGCGTCAACTTCGAATCTCAGAAATATGAAGGGTAGAGACTTGTTTGACTGCAATATATGGGCTGACCCACTGAAGACTTCAGTTTTTTACAGATTCGCCACGTCATTGAGACAACGGGTCAAAGAAGTCGAGCCCACCATAACACATCGCTTCATCGCACAGATGAGAGATATCGGAAAGCTCGCTCGCGTCTACACTCAGAACATTGATGAAATCGAGAAGAAGATCGGTCTCTCGACTGATCTCAAGCATGGATACGGCAGTAAGAAGAGAAAGTCGATCAAGCAGTACCTCCCGGAATCCCCAGTGAAGGAAGAGGCTACACAGCAACCTAATGAGGCTGCCACTACAAACGCCGTGGATGTGATACAAACTTCGCCACGATCAGGAGATGCGGCGCCAACGCAAACTAAACCTCGCCCCAGCCTTGGCTCCGACAAGGGTGTTGAGTGTGTGTTCCTTCATGGGTCTCTTCATTCTCTGCGCTGTTTTGTGTGCGGAAAACTCTGCGATTGGGACGAAGACGGTCGGGAATCGTGTACCTTGTTGGGAGAGCAGCCAGAGTGCCCTCACTGTGCTGGGGCAACTGCGGCTCGTCAGGAGAAGGGGAAAAGAGCCCTCGGAGTTGGCAAGCTTCGCCCAGACATTGTCTTATATGGCGAAGAACATCCCCAATCTGATCTTATATCCCCGATCGTGCAGCATGACCTTGCTACAGGCCCAGACCTGCTACTGGTGCTTGGCACGAGTCTACGTGTACACGGCTTGAAGGTCATGGTCAAGGAATTCGCGAAAGCGGTACACAAGAAAGGTGGCAAGGTCGTCTTCATCAACTTCACCAAGCCCTCTGAAAGTGTCTGGGGAGATGTTCTGGACTATTGGATCGAATGGGACTGCGATGCCTGGGTTGAGGATTTGAGGAATCGCAAACCTCTCCTATGGCTCTCTCCTGAGGAGCGACTGGAGATGGACAGGCAGAGACGGGAGACTCTGGCTGAGAGGAAGAAGGAGAAACAAAAGAAACGTGAAAGTATAAATGGGAAGAAGCGGGAAGATTCTGGAGGAAGGGAACAGCCTGTACCAGAACCAAGCAAGCCGCGGGTACCACCAAAGAACCCCGTTGCTATGCGGAACGACTATCAATGTGGCGCATATGTCATATGGGACATATTTCAGACACTGGCCAAGATAGGCGATCGCCCTTTCAACAATCTAGGTTACATACCGCCTGCCTCTAGCCTCGACACTCCACTGCCACCTCCTTCCAGCTCCATATCTAATTCCCAAGTGCCATCTCCGTGCGAACCGGGTGGTACCCCTAATTCGCGACCTAGTGGTAGGAAAACGACCAGGAAACCACTCCCTAGAAGGGCACCCAGACAGGGACAAGTTCCTCGTTGTCAACCTAATCATAAAAGCTCAAGTCCCGTCCCGACTGAACCGGGGAATCCCGGCCATAAAGCTTCTGATGTTCTCGCCGGTGCGACTCTTGGAAATCCTGAACCAACCCAGCAGGCTGCAGAGATTTCACAGGTCGATCTGCCGCAAGCTAAAAGGAAAAAAGCAAGGAAGTCTGCTCCTGCGGCTCTCACTAATTGTATAAGTATCGATAATAAGAAGAAGCCAGTGGCTAGGAACAAGCGCTCTGAAACACACTCGGGTAAAGACCGGTACTTGAAAGCTGCTAGGGAGCTCGCAAGATCGGGGAAGACTCCATCCCCAGGGTGTTCGGCCATGCAAAGCCGATTACCGGCCACACCGCGGCGCCCATTCATGCCTTCCAACCCACATGACCTACACCTTGGTCCTTATCCTGGAGGCTATCATTTTGTTGGCCCCGAAGATGCTAGTGGCAGCAGCAGAAGACATTCTCCCTACACATTCGATCCCTACTTACGCTTACTACCGCTACCACCGAGTACCCCAGCTCTCCAACACCATAGTCCACTACCGGTCTCGGGAAGAGCATCAGTCGGTTCCAACATGGGGTACGAGGTGGAAGAGCTGCCACCTGAGCTTCCACCCATCAAGCAATGGGGGGATTCGACACCATCGCCAGCCCCCCTTGCTGGGAAAATTGCCCCTATGGAAATTGCTCCGCTGGTTGGACCAGTTAGTCCCTTAGTCGAAACCTGGCCCAAGACTCAATGCTCTTACGCGTGGCATCATTCTTCTCAGCCCATTTACAACGATCCGCTTGTGGGTATATCGCGCCAGGCCACCGCCAATCATAAACATCAGTGGCCTGCGGAATCCAACAACGATGACAACAAGACCCCCAGCCCCTCGGAGCAATTGCGCATGGAAGCTGCTGCTACACAGCTATGGCGGATGCGGGGGGCAACATAGATTTGGGGGGAGGGATCTTTATTCATTTAATGACGCACTATGCTATAGATACCCCTGAATTGTTGTCCTGCACAGCTCAGTAGGAATGGTAGAATTATCGACATGAAGACTTGTTGAATGTAATTTATCATTCCACCCATGGAAGGGCCATAGCTACCTATACCCTCGACATTAAAAGACCTTAACATAGGCCTTTTTGTATATACAGTACAGTATGAACACTAAACCTTTATGCAATGCGTGATGATTCTCTGCTACCCTGTTCTTCCTACCCAGCCGAAGTCAACCGAAGCAAGGAGAATGCAGTCTGCGAATGAGCCAACGTGTTGCGAACCACTTTTGTGCACTGAGGATGGTATACCTGTCCCTGCTGTCCGCAGCAATGCAAACTCACGAGTACCATTCACCTTAACTTGGTTACTTCTACATTGACATACCGTCATCGCTCTCAGTATGGCTCTTCTCGCGCCACATCGACTGGGCGGTGTAAGTGCCAGAAGCTTCATTTGCCTGTTCCGCAATTCTCCTTTGTTCTTGGAAGGCTTGGGCTTCCGAGGTCATCACGACCCGATTAGCAAAAGGATTCGGGAACACCTGAAACTGAGCCCGTCCGCTTCCCTGGGACAGTTGTCTTATTCGTGGCGACAAGCTGGGAAGTGGCTGTGGCACGCCGGAAGTGAAGAGATCGCTAGCCGCCTCGGAAGCATGCTCTGGATCTGGCGACGCCAACAAGTTTGTTACGTATTTCCGGTAGGCCGACTTTTCCTTGCGAGGCGACACGCGACGCGGCGCGTCATCCTCTAAAGGGGTTGTTGGCATCGTATTCGCCCCTCCAGGGACACCGAAGATGGCGTGGATAGAAGCAGGAGGGGGTGTTGACGGAGCCTCGTGGCTCGTGGCTTTAGATGGGGTCTGGACCGTTGGGGGAGGGGTGTTGGGAATTTGGAAGCGAAATGGTCCGCCGACAGACTGTCCAGCCTTTGCCCCGATACCACCTAGAGATTGCAAGGCGCCACTCACTTGGCCAATACTGGCCTTCGACTTCTGATCCATATGAACTCCATGGATCGTGTCGATGAAGTCGTCGATCGTGTCGCGCACGGCTGGATGAGCCCTCTCGTACTCGAGCATCGCCATCTTGCGATAGCGTTCAGAAGGATACCTCCACTCCGCTGTTGGCAGCCTATCGAACTGCTCCTTTGCGACAGCGTCAAATGGGCGAGTATCTCCTTGATAAATTCTCTCTATCACCTCTACCAGTTTTTGATAATGTCCTACAATGTTCTGGAAGCGGACGTGCCACTCAGGCCAATAGCTCCCGTCGCAGCGGCCCGTAGGCCTAACCCTTTGTATGTCCCCCGCCTCCACTACTATTCTCTCTGCAGCTTGTCGAAATGTAACGAGACGGCCGTATATATAATCGATCGCGCTGTACGGCATGAGATCCAAGAAGAAGCCCCGAGATCTGCAGAGCGGATAGTGGAAGACTAGCAATTGCATATAGGCAATATCATCCTGCATCTCGCTGCACGCAGTAGCGAGACACCTCACAACTTTGCCGTTAGGGCCAAACAAGGCCTCAAATTCTTGATACTTTACGGCCGGCTGTCCGGTGGCTTGAAAAGCTTCTCTAGCATTGTTGCTCAGAGATCTAGCCTCTTGAAACGCTGTAAATAATCGGGCGACACTCGCTGGCATGGTATGCATTACGGTGGAACTCCAGTGGTTGATCTCCCATGCCCACCACGCATCCTTCATCTGCTCGTACATGACCTCGATAGTGAGTGCGCGGAGATAACGCGACAGCACACGGTGACGAGACACCCACAATATATTGGGCACGGCGTCCAGGAACGCGGCCAAGTTGTAGCCGTAGAAGGCCACAAGTGTGTTCTGGCTGAGCTGGGATGGAAAGTTCCACAGAATCTTCTGGCTATAAAAACGGTCCGACTTCCCTTTCAAAGCCGCAAAGCCATAGAAGGAGTAGTCGTTCGTATTGGGATCAAACGACCCGAACTCATACAACCAGAACTTCTTCGTAAAGAACTTCTCTATGGTGTCTAACGGCACTGTTGTGTGGTATTGCAAGTTAGGATGTACGGTGTCTGATCTCTCAGGGGCCCGTTGATAGGGATACGACTGGCGATGAGCGAGAAGCACAAGGCCGGGATAATGCCTATTCACGACCTCGAGTGGGAACCCTGCCATGCCCCAAAGCGACTCCTCGACCTGGCGACCAACCTCGGCCTCCGGGTAGTCCTCGAAGAATGGCTCCCCCATGTTAACTGCCATGTCCCATGCAATGTCCTTAAGACTAAGACACAAGCTTTTGACCTCTGGAAGCTGTTGCTATACGAATGGGAGAGTCAATATTCGCCATGTCTAGGTCATAGTTTATAAAATAAGAGCCGAGCTAGAATATGGGGTGGGGAGTCGGTGTGGAGTGTGTATGTTATACAGGAGCAGCAGTGGCAGCAAAGCCGAAAAGAGAACAAGAAGATCTTGAGACACTTACAGGAGGGTGCGTCCATTCTTCCGAGCACAGTCGAATTTGTGCCTGAACTATAGCGTGCTAGAAAAGAGAAGCGTGTCTAATCAGCTTATTATGCATATCAAAAAGCATCGAGTCTTCACCCGATGAGACTCAAATAAACTTGTTTTTCTTTTTGTTTTTGTTTTTTTCACATACCGCGAATTCGTGTACCATAGTATTAGCAATCTCGAAGGAGGCCACCATCTTCTCGCTTGCGCTGTACTGAGGCACCAGCAACGGCCAGATCGACTCGGCCGCAAGCTTGATACGAATCACCCGCTTTGGCCCCTCGTTGTACATCCCCGTGGACCCGTACGCGAATTGACTGCACGGCTCCATCTCCTGGTACTCGATGTCCGGAGCATACCTCCGGTACAAGAGCGTATACCCTGATGCTATATCTAGCTCTAGGAAGCCGGATAGATGCCCTAGGACGGCCTCTCTCCAATCAAAATTGTAGAGTGCCTTCAGTGTGCGGATCGCCGGGTACGTCAGATTCAGGTCGATGTCCTCCTCCAACACGTATTTGGTCAGCGTGGGTGTGTTGGCCTTCTCTCGCCTGTCGAATTGTGGCGCGATGGGCTGGCGCGTGCACATGTTGATTAGAGCTTGGATGTGTGGCGGGCTCTGTAAAATTATTATCGAAGCGAGCCGCAATGCGGGCTGTAGCGCGTCCCAGAGCGCATCGTTCGTTTGCTTGAAAATGTCAATTACTATCATATGTTTTGGAGAACGAAGGGCATCCTTGATATGGCAAACGGCCAGGCGAAAGAGAGTGCGAGGATAACCCTACTATATTCCACTCTTCCCGCGTTCCACCGACGTTGTATGCGAGCTTTGGATTCTCCGACGTAGACCCCTTCCATCGAGAATCAACCCATCGTTCTCGTCGGAACAGACTGCACGCATGTGTTAGACGAGACAATGATGTGAATTACCGCGACCATTGTTTATGAACAGCTAATGACTTACAAGAAAAGTTCATTGTCTAGATCGCACTTGGGGTCGTTTGACATGGTGTGCGCATTGACTTGAATCATCTCATCAGTCGTCAGGCCGCTGAGAATCAAGCGTTGGTAGTCTTGGTCATCCAGGGCGTTGTCGAGGAAGACTTTGTGGGTTTTCCTCAGCTGAGGGTACTTGCTCTCCAATTCCTCGACGAGCCGATCGAGGCTCTTCCCTTCCTCGCGCGCCTTCGCTACTTCAGCCTTCAACCCTGCGTTCGTCAACACTATAATCTCTAGAGTTAGCAGATGGTTTATCGTCCCAGGCACACTGGGTTCGTGGGGAAATAAGCAGGAAGGGTAAAAGAAGGCCCCCGCAAAGTGTGCTCTAATTTGCGCACATTCATTGATTAGCAATGGGGGAACATACTGCCGTTAGATGCCAGCATCGTATCCACCACCTCTGGAAGTATTTCTTGGCCCGGAGTTGGCATCTCCCCTCGAGCTTCTAACGCTTCACGGCTCAAGTTTATTGCGACGCCCCTTTCCGCATCGTTCATCATGTCGATCTGGTTGGCAATGTCTTCCATAGGGTCGCGCGTCTGAGACCAGGTCGGGCTCATCCGACTTCGCCCGTCCCGTCGACCATCAGCTATCCCGAAACGCAGGGCGTAATCAGTAGGATTGCGGATTGCGTCCTCAAGGCGCAACGCAGGCCGTAAGTTGGCTATGGCGTCGCGGACTTGGTTCTTCCTCCAGCGCCCCGCAGGCGTCTTCATGAAATTCTCCTTATAATCCGGATCTGTCCATTCAGGGACGTAAACTACGTGCTTCCATGATCCTTTCGCAGGGTCCTTGTCTGGAACCTTATCTGCTGGGATATTTACTATTAGAACATCGCTTCTCCCGCCAGTTTGCTGTTTCTCGCTCCCGCGTTGTCCTCCATCGTGTCGTTTCTTTGGGACCGCTGACTTAGCGTAATCTGGCACGCCAGGTGGTGGCGGCGGCTCGGATACTCCGGTTATGTCTAGGTGGTTCTCGATAAGTGCCTCGCAGAATGGAGACCACGAATACCCAATGCCCTTCGGGATATAACTGGCGCTGTCGATCCAATCTTGGACAGCCGTGTAAAAGTCTACTTCGCTCCAGGAGTCTGAACTCGATTCCACATCATTTGGGTCTTCAGCTATTTCCATTGTGCTCCCGGCTTGTTCGATTATAGTCAGCGTGACGATTGAAACTTTTATCTAGCTACGAGCCTACACCTCGTTGGCGAAACCACTAATTAGGAGTAATTGGGACAGAGGAATATATTGGTAGGTGCATACTTGAAGGCATGAGAGACATCCCGCCGGGAATTGATGATAATAATACAAAGAAAGCCTTATGATCATTGCATGGATTTTCAGAACGGAAACAGTGTACATAATGAATGGCGATATGAGGATGCAACAAAGAGACACAAAGAGGGTCGAAGTAAAATGATCGAGTTGAAAGCATTATTATTCTGGATCTACTACATGTATGAACTCAATACTGTCTATAATGAATAATTGATTTGACCCATGCGGTGAGTCTAACTAGTTTTTCAAAGATACTTTTTTTTAAAAAAAAAAAAAAAAAAAAAAAGCTCTGTCCCATGCCGAACTGCGTTGAAAGCAAAAGGATACGATGCACCAGTTAGCCGCAGTGCGAAGATATACTGACTCTCGAGACTTGTAGACGCGCCTCGATATTTGAGAGAGGGCTAGTCGCGTGATGGATATAAGGAAAAGCTTTTCAGTCATCATCTCACAAACCTGCACGAATTGACCAAGTTCACGTAAAGGGAGCTAGTTTGTGCTGGTGTCGTTGTCAGTGTATATCTTTTTGTAATCCATGGATCGTCTGGCTTGGATGTTAAAATTTAGGCCGGCGACTACTAATGATCAATTATAGTGATTAATAGCTTGTGCCTCGTTGTGCGGTGATGCATGTGTATGTAGACAGTGACGGCCCATCGGTCATAAGGTTAAGTAATCAAGTAAGATGTAATCTGCACGGCAGGTTGACAACTTGCGAGCTCTCACTTAGCAGTTAGGATTGGAGGCGACCTTTAATGTGGATAAAGATAAATGTAAGATTAATTTATGTTAAATATATGTGGACTATTGGTATAGGAGACCTGGAGTTTAAGGAAACCAGTTAACACTACATGGTAAATATATCTAAGCACTTCTAATTATTTGATTGTCTCCCTGTTTACATTCGAGCGGTGTTGCACGCGTACAAGATATACAAGCTAAATTAGCTGAACATGTAGTTTGCCTTGCATTTTGGCCATACGAAAGGCCATTGCAGGCGGTTCATGATTATTCAAAGACATGCAGGCAATATTGGAAAGTGAGGTTATATAGACTTCGCTTCTTAAAATAGATCCTTGAAAGAACCAGGCGGTCTAGTCTAACAGACCAGCTGTATATAGAGTCGAATCAAGCCACCAACAGCCGAGGAGGAGTTGGTTAATCAAGGACTCTTACAGCCCTAGTTGTTCATTGTAATCTAAATAGCATCAAGTTCCAAGCCCAGTTGTCAGCCTTTGTTATACACTGGGCTTGGTATATCAGAGCCGCTTCAAAACAGCAGGTAAGGGAATACCATGGCAACCAAGTCCAACAATAAAACCCTTTACATATTTTCGGTAATTAGCACCCAGGGTGTTTTATTATTAATGGTAAACTTCATAATATAGCTAAATAGAGCATAAAGAGGAATTAACACCATCAAACTCGTTAAATTAACGATGCTCCCAGCCGGCGGGTATTTTCTATATCGAAAGATGCAGTGGGAAGCGGGTAGCGTCTTCTCAATCGTAAAGGCTTCACAGAACAACTTTAATGTCTCGACTTAAAAGGCAAATGGAATTCTTTGCACTAGGATCTTCCTATCAATGCATTGTTCTTAGCACGAAAGCAAGTCCCTAGAGGGCATCTGCAATCTTTTACATAAGTAGGTACACTCGATAGCTAGTGAGAGCCTGAAGTCCGCCGGTGAGTCCAAGCGCCTCAATGAGAAGCTGTCGGTACTACAGAGAGGTTTCATGCAATTGGGAAGATTCAAGAAAGACTTCCAACCACAGAGTTTGGGGCATGTGAGTTGTCCTCTCTATTTCAAAACGTCCCATTACTCAGACTAAAAGTTTCGACTGGAGTCTTCATTCCACGACTTGTCATCTCGTAATGAATCACAAACTCTCGAAATCATGAAACGAAAATGCGCAGAGTAATAATTATTAGTCTATCACGGACAATATACTAAGAGGATAGAAACAGCCAGAATGCATCTCACCCATAGGCTTGAATCGAAGATAGCAGCAAGCAGCGCAGAGCGGATGGTGCGGATGCACGGCAATCAATCTAATGCAGGCCCAGATATGACGGCCTTTCGATTGCTCCATAACCGCCCGGCTAATTGTGTCCGCACTTGTCAGCCGGTAATGTCCAGGCCTCGCTCTATCAAGTCACGAGTGTCCATGAAGCAATTAATCTTAGATATGAGTCGTAGCCTATCAGATAAATGCCGTCCAGGCCCATGAAAACGTCGCCACACGCTTTCGACATGGTACAGGTAAACTGAATGTTCGGCAATACGGGGGGGGCAATGCTAGCGGACTCATCCCCTCCCCCCTATTTCTATATTTGGTCTTTCATATATTATACGCTCCCACAATTGACAGACCGCAAAAGATTTGTTTTCTTCCCCTAGTCTCCGAGCACAGCAGAGTACGGTATACCAGAGAAAGACTGCACTCATCAAGATGTATTGGTCTACGATCCTCGGTTTCTCGACGCTGGCGGGCGCCGTCCCGCAATTCGGAGGCGGTGGTGGAGTTACCATGCTTCGGTTTGGATGCTCCCAGGTGGTCATTGATCGACTTGATCCGCTTGTGAACCCCGGGTCGGTCCCTTCGTCACACGTCCATCAGATCGTGGGTGGAAACACGTTTAATGCCAGCATGACGACTGGTGATGTCTCGAGCGCGGCGACGTGCACGACTTGTGCCTTCTCGGAAGATTTTAGTAACTACTGGACAGCTAACCTGTGAGCGAATCCCGAGATGTGGTGTTACTATTGCTTTCGCCTTTGGGCCCGTGGAGTTATGTGTCACGCCACCCATTGTCAATTGATTAGTGCTTTACACGTTTCCGCAATTTTCGAAATTCATACTTGAAATCACAGCAACTGACTTAATTATATCATAGTTACTTCAAGGCCCGCAACGGCACCTACAAACGTGTTCCCCAGGGTGGCTCTGCGTAAGCTATCTTCTTAAACCATTTTGCGCCCTTATACTCATAATGCATATTGGTCTCTTCACTGGTATAGTGACACTAACGTGTTTCCCGTGCAGGTACCAATTCAATGATAATTTTAGCACTCAGACCGCAGGCGGAATCCTCGTGTACTACGTCTCCGCGCAACCAGGGAAGATTACTGCCTTCAAACCAGTTCGTCATCGTACCTTCGATAAAACCCTCTAGAACTAACAGTGTCAATAGGGCTTCCGTATGCTTGTCGGAGATGCCATGGCACGCTCCCGCACAGGTACCAAGCTAAAGCGACAAAACTGCTACCGTTGCTATACTGGACCTAACTTCGGCGGTGACTATTCTGCTCCTTGCATGGACGCAAATATCGACACTGAATATCTGCCAAAGAAGAAATGTCCAGGTGGCATTCGATCTAATATCTTGTTCCCCACGTAAGTGCCGAGTAACTACTATCATCTTGGCCCCTCTCTGTCATATATCTCCGTGCTAACTCGAAATGTTCAACAGTTGCTGGGACGGCAAGAACCTCGACACCCCTAACCATCAAGACCATATAACATACCCAACAACAGGCCCCGCCGATTTCTTGAGTCTGGGCGGATCTTGCCCCTCGACGCACCCAATCCGCATCCCACAGTTGATGTACGAGGTAGTCTGGAAGACCGACCTGTTTGCCAACGAGCAGTGGCCAACGGACGGGTCACAGCCGTTCTACCTCAGCACTGGAGATAACACAGGTAATTACGGCCTTTCTATGATTATTCTTCTTTATTTCTCAAACATGGCTCAAGGTAAAAACTGTCCGTGAAGTTGCTAACCATATTGATCTTCTTTAATTAGGCTACGGCCAGCACGGCGACTACGTATTCGGATGGAAAGGCAACGCGCTGCAGAAGGCCATGGATACATCTGGCTGCATGGGCGCGAAGTGCTCGACGCTTGCTAACCAGGCTATTAATAATGCCAAGGCGTGCTCTATCAAACCTGTTGTCCAGGAGAATAACGACGGCTGTAAGTCTAACTAACCTTTGCTTGGTGTTTATTTGTAGTGGATTTGATATGGAAAATGCTAATTGCTGGCAGGGATTACTGAGCTTCCCGGCATGTCTATGCAGCTGATGTAAAGAATAGGCTGGAACATGGGGGAGGTATGTGCCCTTAGACGAGTGGAATAGAGAGGTTCGGGCACGACTAGATTGTGATATGCGTGTGATGGACTTTTCAAAATGTCTATATTTCGTTAGTTTAATCACCTTGCTATACATCGAATTTTTGCCGATGTGATTTTTACCAATGCTCGGTGTCTTCTACGATATGCCACATAAATATAATCTGGGTTGATAGTTACTATAGGTAGCTTATGATGGAGATGACCGGTTGTATCATAATTGTTGATGAGTTAGTACTTAGCGCGATGATATCAATCTAGCGGATAGACCGCAATCGCGAGAGTATGAATCAACATCCTTCGGATAGGATACGCGCTGATAAATAGTTCATATGTGTCGATCTATTTGATTCACTTGCTGCAGTGGGGGGCCAAACTGCGTGACCTCATACGTATCTAAGATTAGTCGGCTTAACCCGACCCTGGGCGGTCTATTTGCATGGAAGAGTACTCATATTAATTATACGTTTTGCATCGGAATGCCGGGTGGTTTCTCAAACCTCCCAAATTTAGCACGCTTAATGAGATATGCCCCATGACTTGCGAGAGGGAGTAATATTCTGTAGCTATGTACTGGGATCGGCTGATGCATGTTAAGACTCACGTTGTTGAGCTACAGAGGCGTGAAGAAATCTATCTACTCTGTCGTAGGCGGTGTACAGGGTCTCATAGTTAAATGCTAAGATCTTCGACATTGGAGGCTTTTATGTATACTATTTCAACTATGGTATCTAAATAGGGATAGATATCTAAAGATTCAGACTTTAGTCTATTCTCAACGTCTCATACCGAACCTCGCCCCTGTTCGAACCACCTCTTAGGCTGATATAATTCTTTCCCTTGGCCAATATGATATTTGCTGTGACAGCAGAATAACTGGCCCCCGATGGTGTCAACGTCAATTTCGACTGCGGCACCTGATTAACCTCGACACTGACAGTTATAGCAGCGTCGGTAGGGTTCGCATAGCTGAGGGTCAACTGTGTGGATTGGCCATCCGACTTGATACCCGAGAAGGCCACATTGCTGTCGGCTCTAACACCGCCAACGACAGCCCCATTGGCCGTTGCCGTCGACGCCATATCCTGTACAACCCGTGTTTTCTCACCCGTGAGATGAGCGTCTACGGCGAAATAGGTTGGCCCCATCGGTGGTGGTGTCCATACCTCTAGCTCGCAGACACCAACCCATGTTGTCTCTGAGCTGCGGTACAGATTGACTGCTAAGAATGTTGTCTCCACGGAGTCAAAGGTGATGGTGTTAACGTCATTTGCCAAGAGCATCGTACTCGAGTCGACCGATGTGATAGGTCCCGAAGAGCCGGAAATTTCGATGCGATCTGGTAAATCGATACTGCCACCCCGTGAAAGATCATGATAAAGTGCGAGCGTAACCGATGACACTTTACGTGGACGTGCGAAATGCACAGTGAGTGTATCATTCGAATGGGTTGATAGGTAATTTGTCCATCGATTATCGGGTAATACATCATAGTAAACTACCCCGTCAATGGCTTTGTAGCTGTAGTCGGATAGCCACGTGAAGGTGGCGTCTATCGTAGGATATTGGCCTGGGCCATCGGGATTCGCCGCAATGTTGATAGGTGCCTCATCTACAGTCAACGAGGGAGGTGGGATTGGAACTACTGCAGACTGATTTTCGCCATGATGGACCTGTTCGCCATTTACATAGACAGTGAGCCCTGGCCGAGCGGCGTATCTCGACCCGTCCTTATCGTATAAGACAGTAATTGAATGTCCGTGATAAGCAAGGTTTTCCAGGAGGAAATACGTCCAATTGCTGGGGATGATGGGAGAAATGTGGAGGGTGTCATCTGATTGCGGTATGATACCCAGAAGCCCAGTGATCACATCGCTGGATTATTCAATGTTAGAAATTGCCGATAGGATGAAACTACACTCCAGCAGGCAACGCCGGAGGACTTCTGGAGAGTAGCAGCCTACGCTCTTGAGATCATCTACGTCGAGGTTGTGGGGACAGCTTAGGAATGACTTACTCGTTATTAGTTGAGTGATCATAGTGCTCCGAGTGGTTACTACTGTCTGCGCTCCAAGTATCATCAAATGGAGAATGGGACTCAGCGACGTAAGGTCTGCCATTCTTTTGCTGTGTTCGGGCATACGTCTGCAAGTACTGAACGTATTGTTCCGCAGTAGCGTTAGTGACACCTGATCGATAGATTTCTGCCAGTGACTTAAGAGTATGACTGGTCGAGTATGGCCAAGACTGGCCGTTCCAGTAACAACCTATACGCCGTCAGTAAAAGTCCTCCTTCACTCCGCCATCTCAGAATATCAGCGACAATAACTTACAGTAACTATCAGGCTTAGTGCCCATGAACCACGGGTCACGAATCTCCAGAGTCGTGGGACCGTAGGTTGCTAAGAAGCCCTTGGGATCGAACATGGAATTGAGGGCTGACTGAGCATAACGTTCATTCAGGCCAATGGCGAACCGATAAGGGAATAGTCCCACTTGCTCGCGACCTGTCAGTCGTGTCAGGTTGGGATTATTAGGGCGAATGACATCCATCTGAGAAGCTATAATATTAGTGCAGATTCTTTAGGAAAAGGACGAGGTAGGAATTTCCAAGGCCTAGCTATTCTGATAGTGAATATGGATTTAGGTGACATCCACATACAAAGAATTCCTGTTCCGGGGACCACAGATACTCAAACATGGCGGCTTCTAGTTCGTTCGCAATTTTGGAAAACTCTGACTCGATGTCATTGTCCTTAGCAAGGTTAGCAGCCCTGGCTATGGCTCTGGCATTTGCGACCATATAAGCACTATAAGATAACGTTATTAGCCCTTTCCCTAGTCCGGGCCAAGAAGGTAAGGGAGGCAAGACGGGCAAAGCATCTGCTTAGAAGTCACGGATAGATAATGCTTACTTGTGACTCGGTCGGAATGTTTCTGGACCATCTTTCCTCAGATCCCAGTTGAGGTTGTCAGGGTCAGCTATGTAACCGGGCAGAGACAGTTCTTGGGCATCCCAAACGGGCTCATAGTAATACAACCCAACAGCTGAATCATACTGGCGATCCCACAGATTCCATACACGGATCATGTCGTGCAATTGGGTTGATAGAAACTCACTATCGCCCGTCACCATGGAGCGACGGCTCGTGGCATCCAGAATCCATTGTGTGTATTGGAGCGGATCAGCTGGACCCCTAGTGTAGAGTTGGATGTAGTCATCGGCGTACGCGGTGTTTCTGAGCCACCGCGACTCGTCAATTTGATGGCCAGCCGCGGCATCGATGGTGCCGAAAGCTTGTGCGTAGCCGACGGGATGCACGAACTCGGTACACATATAGCCCGTACCGGCCGTCACGTACCGGAGGTTCCGCTGGAGTGAGGTCCATCTGTAATAGTACACATCCTGGATGAGCTTGTCGGGAATGTCGATATAGGGGATGTTGTCCCTCAAGAAAGTGCGTCCGGAAAAGTAGGATATAGGATCCTCGTGGTCGAGAAACGAGGTTCCTGTCACGTGGTTGGTGTCCTGGCGCGCCAGCAACTGGCGGTGTCCCAGGGCAGAGTGGGTGAGCACCAGGAAGGTGATGATGATGGACATGGTAGCCATCTTTAGAAGTACGGAATCTGCTTGTGAGAAACGACCACGGAGGAGAGGGTGGCTACCCTGGCCTCTTTTTGGCTCTTCCACAGCGACGACATATTGTCGAAGCGTTGATTGGACCACATTATGCCTCTTTTCCTCATTTTCGGGGCCAGCCATCGGGGACTCTTCCAACAGACCATATGACAACGACATTGCTATTGTTAGCAATGATCACGGCGGCACAGACAGACAGGCAGGCAGGTAGGCAGGGGTGCCTGCGCAGGGGCTATGACGATTAGTCCAATGTTGCATATAGATATCGTGCATTTGGCATGGTGTGAATCCAAAGTAATGCCGAATTTCGCTCCATGTGCCGTTGACTTACACACGTAGATGCAGCCTGTTTGTCCAATGACCACCGAGTGCTAAGAACTGTTTGGGCAACTGAATTGTCAGCCTTCCACTTTGGACTACGGTGTGTGTGACAGAGGGCGGGCACATGCAACGTCACTTACCTGTTACCTACGAAGTAGCTCACTTTTTCTTCAAGGAAATGGCACCGAGTAGGGCAGAGCCGAGTTCTCCGCGTCTCGGCACGCACTAGCTGTGCCTCAGTAGCTCCTACGTAGTCTGTACGTAGGTAGGGATATACCAGGATGTGCGGGGGGGGTTTGTTGCGGGGATGTTCGCATCACGGCGATAGGCAGGTCGGCGGTCCAAAGGGAGGAAAAGCTGTGTTTCGCAACATGATGGATCTCTGCTGTTGAGGTACCAGTCTGCGAGAAACGAGCCACAATCAACAATGCACCATTCTCGCCCGGCCAGCGACAAGATGGTTGGCGTTGCTGAGCTACGGCGCCCATGTCTTAGGGTATATGCTGGACCGGGGAATGTGGGCGCGGGATGATCCTAATGCATGTCTCAAGCCCCAGACAACGAATTGGACACGAGGAGTATCTACATACGTGTCTGAGGGATGTAGTTGATCTCTATTCTTTTGAGAGCACCCCTGTGCTTGAAAGGCATTGAATGAAGATCCCCCATCATATACTATTTGGAGGTATAAGGCGAATGGCGAGATGGTGAGTTGATTAGGTAGGTAGGTAGAGAGAGAGAGAGCCTGGAGAGAGCAGAGAGAGGTTTTGCCTTGAGCCGGGTGAGTTAGTTGAGTTGCTCAAGCCCTCGGCTACCTCCCCGGAGCCCTGGTTCTCTCGTCTATCCCCAGGGTCTGCCCAGAGAAGTAATAACTTTGTGGTCAACCATCTATGTCTAAGACAGTTGTATGCCTTTCGCCATGTTACTATGTAGAGGTATGACCACATACCCTATCTAGGTACCTGGTCTGTACCTGGTATATGCAGCTGGTAATAATAGGCTTTATGCTAATCTCTATACCATTTTCAACCTCACGACATATACACTAGTAGCGATTTCATTCCATCATGACCTGTCGACTGTCGACTGTCGACATATGGAAGTACATAGAGCGGGTGGTAGGTACCTAAGAGGCACCTGGAGAAGCACACCTAACCCACTACCTAGGTACCTACTATCATAGGCGGCAGGCGTTATTATGACTCTTTCGCCGACAACGCAAGAAGCATGCGCTTACATCAGATTACCATCAAGACACTGACTTCAAAATAAACCAAAAACAAACAGGGTAAGGAAGCTTATATTTCACCCGTCTCGCTTTTTTACTGCACCGCTCTATCTCTTAGATACGTTGAGACTGATACCTACGTACTCAGCTTGTGTTAGGGAGTACTGTAGTGCAGTACCTAAGGTACAGAGGTGACAGGTGGGGACGCGGGCGTTGTCGAGAACCAAATCTCTGGGTTGTATCATCGGCATATTCAACAGCATCACCAACCACAGAACTCAGAGTAGTCCTGCCTGAGCCCGTCACCATACAGGTCGCTCCAGATTCGCCAGCCAGCGTTATGTCGACGGTTCAACTCTCAAGGCTTCTGCCTCTGCCCGATGATGAGCTGGAACAGGTACTTCAATATGCCTCCACCTTATCGAAAGCCGAGGCCGTCGACCATTTCCGCAACCTCCTTGGCGACTCGCCTGAAGTCGTTGAATTCATTGCTACATTCAATTCGAGGAGGCAAGACCCTAAGCCTTCCAAGTCCAGCTCGTCCAACACTGGTGCTGGCACAGGTCCATCTTCTGCATCTCCTGTTGAACCAGTGCCCAAATTCAACAAGGGCCAGTCCAAGAAGAAAAAGGCACCTTTGCATACGCCTGCGCCGCGCAGGGTGGTGGAATCCGGCCCTGCTCCAGGAACTGTCTACAACAAGAAGAATCTCGATGAGGACTATGTTGTTCGACGGCCTAGCCCTGTCGTGGCCCCGACTGTTGCGTCTACCACCATAAAAACTGTACATCGTCAATCTGCAACACCGCCACCACCTGCCCCCAAGTCCCAGTCCGGACAAGGACGGCTGATATCTGACTTGCCCGCTCCCAAGTCCAGATCAACTCCCGGGTCACGGTCCTCCACGCCGGCGCCCAAGACCAAAGTTCATATCGCTGGTGGTACTGCGATGCATGGTGCCTCTACCGCACTATCAGATCTCGATGACGCCATCCGCGCGCTTGAGATGACCACCAACCCATCCCACACAACTGATGCCGCCTTACGGAGATGCAACTGTGTAGCCGCCCGGCACCCTCTCCTGGCTTCTGCCCCGAATTGCCTCAGCTGTGGTAAAGTCATCTGTGTTAAGGAAGGTCTTGGCCCCTGTACCTTCTGCGGCACGTCGCTACTGACCTCTGCCGAGATTCAATCCATGATCCGCGAGCTACGGGACGAACGCGGCAGAGAAAAAATGGCTAGTAAGTATACCTAAGCCCCCGCCCCCCCTCCTCTCTCTCACACACAAAAAAAAAAGAAAGAAAGAAAGATCGCGGATATAGCCCTCTGTGAACATCTACTGGTCTAGTTCTGATGGCGAATACTTACTGTTGATACCAAAGTTGATCGCCAAGCCCATAAACGGGCTGAAGTATCGAAAGCACCGGTACCCTTTTCCAGACCTAGAGATGCCGCTAGGACACCGAGTGAGGCCGAGACCAAGGCTCTGGAGCATCGAGATAGACTACTTGGATTTCAGGCACAAAATGCACGTCGTACGACCGTGAGAGACGAAGCAGCCGAATTCGATGTCAGCGGTGCTGTGGCTGGGACGGGTGGCAATATTGTAAGTCGCCAGCGAAGTCATGGGTCATCATCCTACCTGAACTGGGACCACAGAGCCCATTATTTTGATCCATCATACCCTTGGATCCTAGATCTACAGGCTCAGGAGAACGGCAGCACCAAAGTGGCTTGTATTCACTGACGCGGACTCTTGTAGTGGGCAACGCCCGAAGAACGTGCCCGAGAACTCAAACGGCAACAGAAGATACTGCGAGAGATGGAATGGAATGCCCGGCCAGAATATGAGAAGCGTCGACAGGTGGTCAGCATTGATCTCGTCGGCGGAAAGGTGGTGCGAAAGATGGCACCAGCTGAACGACCAACGAGTCCCGACGAGCCAGGTGCCGGCCAGGACGACGGGCCAGCCTTGGAGGAGAGAAGTGCGAACCGCGATAGAGGCGGCGGCGGTGCTTTTAGCAAGAATCCCCTCCTCGGCGGATTGATCAAACCCGTGTTTGATATCAAGGGTAAAGGGGCAGCGCAGGAGGGCCGAAAAGCGAATGCCACGAAGTGGAGGAGAGTGCAAGATGATTTGGATGATAATGAGAACCTCATTCTCGATGGAGGGGTGTATGGTCAACCCGGGTTATCCCTAAACTAATCTAAACAGATACGAAAAATCGAGAACGTTCATGGCGAGTCTGCTAAAAGATACCAAACCGGCCTACCAGGGGTGATGTTACAGAATCGTAGGCCCAGCATGTCCTAAGATTATATACCACCCTCGGTCGCTTTCAATCCCCCGTTTGGTGTTCGATGCGGAATCGGTTCGTTGTGAAAAGACGACCCAAGAACATGTATGCAACCCGCCTCCTATACGAACTAGGTATCCAGGTAATCAAAAGATTGGCCGAGGCGGCCTACACGAGGTGCCGACGGATGGAGGCATGGAGGCGATGAGGCTGACCTGGTTCATGTTTGCTCCCTTGCCGTCCAATTTCCACTTCACACCACTCTCAGCAGATATACCAATACCGTATCCGTCTCTCGTCGCGCGTGTTTCACAGCCTCGAGAACAATACTGATATCTACATCACCTAGGTACTTATTTACTCGCTTTACACTAGGAGACATGAACTAAATTGATATTTCATGCGAGATGAGATATTGACAAGTAGAACCAGATCCTCAGTTGGCATAAAAATTCAAATACATGTATGGGTATCATGCTATGCTATATACCTAGGTACCTACCTAGGTAACCTAGGTAGGTAGGTAGGTAAGTGTAAGTAAGTAAGTAAGGCAGATACGGTGCGCTACGTGTGTGAAGGCACTGTAGGTAATATGCTGAAGAATTCCCCACAGCAGGGTGCCAACGCATCCCGTCTACGGAGCGGAGGTAGAGTGTACATGCCGTATTTACCTGCTCCCCACTAGCATATCGCACTACCTACCTACTCAGGAACATCTACTTTAATCAGTCTTACACGTAGCGTACACGTGTATATGACCCATCTTGATGATACATACTCACATCGAAGTACCTACCTATAGGCGGGTTCGCCGCTCATCAATTGACCTGCATACATACCCAATCATCAACATGAGATGGGAATGCATTGCTTTAATAGATGGTAGGTATGTGTAGGTCATACCTATCAAGAGCTTGCGTGTGAGTGCTGCTCTCACCTTAGGTACCTACCTCACTACATACCATACCTACATAGGTAGAGTATGTACTTAGTACCTAGATAGCCAGGTACATCCATGGATGTAGTAGGTAGAGACGCAGAGGTACATAGGTAGGTACTACTGTACTTATAACTGTACGCCGGAGCCACTATCGCTACCTACCTTCTGTAAGTATGCGCTGTAAGTACAGTAATGTACACCGAGGGGTAGCGGGGGCGGGTGCCTTGATTACGGGCTTGATTACCTGTACGACCTTGGAAGTTAGCGCGTCGCTGTTGTGCCCGGTAGAGTTTAGCGTGGGTGGTGTCGGCGCCAATGGCATGCCCTGACAAAGCGTAGATAGCGTATCTGCGATGTGCGAGATGGTGCATTTAGGTATTCATGTGCATGAACCGAGCATTCTGTGTCACTGGTCCTTGCACTGTGGGCGAAAATACCGGCGGTACCTACTGTACATGACTAGATCTCGGCGACCTTACTCGAGCGAGGCTGAAAGAGTAAGAACCTAGGTAGGTTGGTTGGTTGGGTTTCCCTTCGTAGAGGAACAGATTGAATCCCTAATCATACCTTCGCATAGAAGTTGAAACCACTTACCGGTATCCTCACCTACCAACATGCAGGATACCTCATAGTGTGGTAAATTGAATTCCCGTTATATACCTAAATGTAAGAATGTAAGTAACACGGCTATCTGCTGGTTGTCGTTCATATACCTAAGTACTTGATTGGAGGGGTAGGAGCTAACAAAGTTCACTAAGCGCCCTAGCATCCACTCTGGAATTAACACTGTAGCCAGGATAGGTACAGTAAGTGCCACTATACACCCGTTAGCGCAGGCAGGGCAGGATCATGCCAGGGCATCATCGGATGGTGTCTACACGTATCTACACTATCATGCGGGCATACTTACATGTACCTGTAAGTAATAAGGGTCCATCCGAGGAAAAAAAAAAAAAAAAAAAGAGAGGGAGAGAGAGAGAGAGAGAGAGAGAGAGAGAGAGAGAGAGAGAAAGAAAGAAAAAAAAAAAAAATATCACCAGGCCAACAAACCAGGCCGGCCGAGCTTGTCCCTGACCGCTGACCGCCAGAGTGGGAATTCAAGGTTTTTTTTTTTCTCATTTATCCTACAGACTCGCATGCCAACGACATTACCGGCCAACTGCCTCCTTTCTGCTCTCCCTCACCTCCATTTTACCCCTCTACACCTGTCCCCATTCCCACGAGAGAGTGCGCTCGTGTGGTTCACTTTGTATCGCGGTATACTTGTTGTAGTATAAGCGCCATTGAGCTTATCGCTTGTCTTGTCAGTAAGTAAGTCTCGCTCGCTCGCATACACACTGTACAGACCCGTGGTGCTATGCTGCTATCATGTTATCATGCTGTGGTGCCGTGGTGCCGTGGTGCTGAGGCCACACACACACACACACATTGCTCGGCATGGCAGTCAGTCGTGGTACTTACACCCCGAGAGCAGCACACGGACCGCCTTTCTCCCCTCTTCCGGCAGTGCCGTACTCACTTTTGGTTTGCACAGCTGTGGCCACGCCTCGACTGACACCTCCTGCAATCCACAGGGACATCTCTTTGCATATCAATTGACTCGTAGCCCGACCGACAATGGGAAATATCCTGTCCACACTCTCAGGCGCCGATCCACTAGCCAAGGACCATTTGGACAAGAGGATTGCCGAGCAGGACCAACGGGTCGCCACCCTCGAGGAAGAGGCCGATGCTCTGCGGAAGAAGATAGCTGAATTGGAACGCGAGAACCAGCAGCAAGCCGACAAGCATCAAGCCGAGGCCGCTGCCCGCGCTCTCGAGTCCGATGGCGCCGCCAAAGAGCAGCTGAAGTCCCTCGAGGACAAGCTCGCCTCTCTCGAGCAGACCAAGGAGTCTCTTTCACAGGAGCTAGCTTCCGCTAAGAAGGATCTCGACGGATCCACGGAGAATTACAGCTCACTCGCAGCTGATCTCGTCGCCGTCAAGAAGGAAGTCGCTGCTGCGGCTGCTGCCCGTGATGCCCTACAGGCCGAGCAGAGCAAGACTGCCGAGGAGCTATCCTCCGCCACGAAGGCCCTCGAAGAGCAAAAAGCCGCCCTCGCCAAGTCACAGAGCGACAAGGATCAATTGCAGCAGTCGCATGATGCTCTGAAAAAGCAGTCCGACGATCAGCTATCCACCACCAACGCTAGCTTAGCCGAGGCGCAACAGTCAAAGTCCGACTTGGCACAGGCACATGAGAAGCTGACTGCCGACCTCACTGCTACTCAAGAGAAGGCTGCGGAATGGCAGGGCAAACATGACGCCCTGAAGTCCACATATGATGACTTGATTGCCCGGTCAGGTGCCACCACGCAGGAGGTCGCAGAATGGCAAGAGAAGCACCAGACCTTGCAAGCGACATACGAAAAGCTTCAATCTGAGTTAGAAGCCGCGAAAAAGCAGGTCGCTGACTCGGAAGCCAAGCAAAAGACGCTTCAAACAGACTACGACGCTGTCGTTGCCGAGCGTGACGCCACCAAGAAGGAGGTTACAGAGTGGCAAGAGAAGCACCAGGCATTACAGACCAAATATGATGGTCTTGCCAGTGAATACGAGACTGCCAAAGGAACTGCATCTGCTGACTTGGAGGCAGCCAAGAAGGAGTCTTCTGAATGGCAGGAGAAGCATGCCAGTGCTTCGAGCGAGCTAACCTCCGCCAAGAAAGAATCAGCGGAATGGCAAGACAAGCACACGGCCATTTTGAGCGAGTTGGACGCTGCTAAGAAGGGGTCATCTGAGTCGAAAGAGAAGCATGACGCCTTGGTGGCAGAGTTGGACGCGGCCAAGAAATCATCTGCACAGCTCGAAGAAAAGCTGAAGTCTCTACAGAGTTCACAGGATGAGTCGGCTAAGGAGTCCGACTCGTTGAAACAGGAGCTTGAGGCAGGCAAGAAGCAACAGCAGGAACTCCAGGAAAAGTACGATTCTCTTGTTGCCAAACAAGTGGAGAAGTTGAAGAGCCACAAGGCAGAGTTACAGAAGGCCAACGAGGACAAGGCCAAGGCCGAAAAGGATCTAGCCGAACTCCAGGACGGTAACAACAGCCTCAAAGCCGAGGTTGAAAAGACTTCTCAGCAAGTGACCGAACTCGAGACAAAGTTGAAGTCCGCCGAGGAGGATAGCAGCAAGTTCAAGGCCCAGGTTGATGAGAAGTCGGCCGAGGCCCAGAACGCTACCAAGCAGGTCAGCGAACTCGAGACTAAGCTCAAGAGTGCAGAAGAGGCAAGCGACAAGGCCAAGACGCAGGTTGACGAGCAGGCCAAGGAGATTACTGGCCTTCGCGAGCAGAGTGAGGCGGCTGAGAAGAAGGCCACAGCGGCTGAGGAAGGTCTACAGACTGCGACCAAGGTATGTTGCCCCCCAATTACTCAGCACGAATCAAAATCTCATCATCCATGGTTCTAAGAGCTAACGACGTGTTGTTACAGGACAAGGCGGCTCTCGAAGCCAAGCTTGCGGAGCTAGAAGCTGACATCAAGACAGCTCAAGATTCCAAGTCAGAACTCCAGTCCAGCGTCGATCGCCTCGAAAGCGAAAAGAAAGCTCTAGAGGATGAGTTGAAGCAGGAGAAGGAAAAGACGAAGGAGAATGAAAAGCCCAACGGTGTCGCGGCGGAAGCTGCCGAGGTGAAGGCAGAATAAGGCGAACCAACAATCAACAACCAAGATTGCCTTGCCTTGCCTTGCCTGCCTTGCCTGCCTTGCCTGCCTTGCCTGCCTTGCCTGCCTTGCCTGCCTTGCCGCCTGACTTGGGTACACTTACCACCATATCAACAGAGTGTGTAAAAGGGAAGTCGGGGCGGGATTTACAACTAACTAACTACCTTCACGGTGGAAAAGAAAAGGAAAACTACCTACCGGGTTAAAGCCTGATATGATGATGTACATGCGGCGGCGGCGACGACGTATTTCCATGGAACGGAACGGGACGGCCGCTTTTGAATGTGCTTGACGTATGCTTTTGCTGTCGACGTAGATACCCAAATACTTATTGCAATGACTAATGATATAATGTCAACCAAACCCAATCCATGACCTTTCCTTGTTTTTTTACCATGGGCATGCAGTGAGTGGTTCTGTAACCGTCTCGTCTACACTAAGGGCCTCTACTGAACCTCAACCTCAACCTCGCCTTTGCTTCCTGATAGCTACCTAGCCAGTTGGCTCGCTAGGCAATAATAGGGTTCACCTAGAGGCCCAGCGTGATGCACCTCGGCATTAAGGTAAGCTTGAAGGACGGGCGATCGCCATGCGGCGAGTTACACTGAGTTCAGTCTGTTTTGATAGACTTGTCGTCTTTCGAACGGTGCACCGATTTGCCTTGCCACTTGAAGCTACGTGTGGCTACCTACCCATGTGGTCCGTACTCTACACTATATTGTACATACCTCCCTGGTCTGTCGATGCTTGTGTGGCATTTAGCAGAAACATAATGCCACAGACTGGCACTTCACTTCCTAACGGTGGCTTGTCGGTGTGTCGGCGCGTCACTGTTCTAGGTAGGTAGGTAGGTAGGTAGGTAGGTCAAGGCAGAGGTCACCAAGGCATGTCGAGCCAGTTCAGTGTTTGCATAGCGGGCCTTGAATGCAACCTTAGCACCTTAGCTAAGATTCAGTGTCAATCTAAACCCTCCTCATTATCGTTTAATCGCTGTCCATACTGCTACGTATGTGTGAGGGCGGCGGGCTGACTTGGTCGCTCGCTCTCACCGCCTTCCAGCTTGACTTGGCGACGTACCGCCCCCAGTCAGAACCCCGTCCTGCCCGTCAAAACCCCAGTAGCGCAGATGTCCGTTTTGAGTTTAGCACGGGTGATGAGACTTGTGCACAAGAGGGAAAAAAGCGGGAAAAGAGGGAGAAGAGGGATTCGGGGATGGCGATAAGCATGAATCGCATGAAAAAAGGCCCTGGACAGAGCCAGACTCGCCAGAGTGTTCCAAGTCGGTCCAAGGCAGATAGATCCATGGCTGTGGCGGTGCCCACAAATAGCAGGCTCGAATGGCAAGGAAAGGGCTCTGCAAAGGGTATCCGAGTATCATAATATATTTATCTCACTGTAACCCTGCCCTGTAACAGTCTTACTAGATGGGCCTGATAGGTACCTGACCTGCCTGGAACAGAGGACAGGATACCTTAGAAGGCTGGACCTGCACTGGTCGGTGGTGCAGATTGGTGGGAGAAAAAAAATTTAATCGATAATGATTCGCTCCAAGCCCCACAACCCCCTCCAAAGTGTCCGGCAACCCCACCATCCCACCAAAGCCTGGCTCCCCTCCTGTCTTTCTTTTTTTTTTTTCTCTTTCGCCCCTCCACAGCAGAGTTGAAACCTTGGATTACACTCTTTGGAGGACTGATACTTGATGAGTCCCATATCGTAGCGTGCAGCTCATGTATCTCTAGACCCACATGAAGAGGTTTTGACCAACCAGAAAGGATAGACTGAAGGCTGCGCCCAATCAGTGACCATCCCGTCTTTCATTTCACAATGCACGGGTACTTGTCTGGTACTTCCTGTCCATGTAGTCCAAGTACCTTTTCTCAAAAAAAAAGTTGAGGAAGAAAAAAAAAGAAGACAGAGTTTTGCCAGGCAAAGCCCATTCACCCCGTCCCACCGTTAGAAAATAAATTCTTGACCGCACCCCTCTTCCCAAGCCTCTCCCTCTCTCTCCCTCCACCAACCTTTTTTCTTTTCTCTTTAATATCTCTGATCGTCTGTCCTTGTTTGGAAGATAGACAGAACTGAGTCTCCTCCACTCGGCTCGCTTTCTTTCCACGCCCTGGGAAAACATAGAGCAGGATCTGTTTTCTGATTCCTCCATCAGCAAACGAGATCTGCACCGCTGTCGCCGTCGTCACAAACCGACAACAGCCTTTTAGACTTGATAGATTTCCGCTTCTCCTGTTGTCAGCGGCTTCTTAGAGACGATCGGACGGATAAAACGATTCAATTCGATAGATTCCTCCCTTAGATCATCCTCCTCCTCCACGATACCCGTTTCCGACACCACTTTTCCCTCCTCGAACTCACGAAAATACACGCACAAAATCAATCACCATGCCTTCTGAGAACGCTCAATCTGCCAAGGTCCTCGATGACCTAATGGCCAAGCTCACCATCTCCAAGGACGCCGCTGCCACCAAGGATGCTTCGGCTGCCCTCGCCTCTTTCATTAACGGCCCTATCGAGGACCAAGAGGCCCCCACAAAGTAAGCAAACCCTACTTCGACCCCCAACAATAATCTCGCCTCTTTCGATTTCCATGTCCCTGCGTGTTGTGGAATTCATCCCCAGCGGCCCCCTCTGTTCTTGTTCGCGCTGTATGTTGCGAAGCGATTCTTCAGGCGCCGTTCGCGTCGCAACGAGCATCCTATAATCTGAAAATATCGCTTCACGGCAAATTTTGCATAATACATCCAAAACCACAATGTTTCAGCAATGCGCAGCTATAACAGAAACAGAATTGTACGCTGGGGCTGGCCTGCTTCGCACACAACAACGCCCTTGATTCGTTTTCGACAACTACATATTGTGCGCAAAGTGCTAACATCTTTTCTACTAGAACGGTTGAGGCTTTGAAGAAGGCCATCACCAACAAGAAGGATGCCGCTCTTCGTGAGAAGGCTGCTGAGGCCATCCAGGCTATTGCCCAGCACTCTGAGGTCTCCGCCAACGTTGAGCCTTACCTCGTCGTTCTCCTTCCCTTCGCTTTGGCCGCTATCGGCGACAAGATCACCGCCGTCAAGAGTGCTGCCACCGCTGCAGTGAACGCCATCGTTGAGGCCATCAACCCCAATGCCGTCAAGGCCATCCTCCCTCACATCACCAACTCCATCCTGACCGCCCAGAAATGGCCCGAGAAGATGGCTGGTCTTGATGCTATCGAGACTCTCGTCCGCACCGCCCCTGCCCAGCTTGCCTACCGTGTTCCTCAGCTGATCCCTGTCATCTCGGAGTCCATGTGGGATACCAAGAAGGAGGTCAAGGACCGTGCTTACAAGGTCATGGAGAAAATCTGCGAGTTGATTGTCAACCGAGATATCGAGCGTTTCATTCCTGAGCTCATCAAGTGTATTGCCAAGCCCGAGAACGTCCCTGAGACAGTTCACTTGCTCGGTGCCACAACCTTCGTCACAGAAGTTCACGAGCCTACTCTTGCACTCATGGTACCCCTTCTTGACCGTGGTCTCTCCGAACGTGAGACTGCCATTAAGCGTAAGGCTGCCGTCATCGTTGACAACATGTGTAAGCTCGTCGACGACCCCAGCATCGTCGCTCCTTTCTTGCCCAAGATGATGCCAGGTCTTACTAAGAACTATGAGACTTTGGCCGACCCCGAAGCCCGTGAGAAGACCAAGCAGGCCCTTGATACTCTGGTCCGTGTTGGTGACATCAAGGATGGCAAGATCCCCGAGGTTCGCCACGATGGTGATATTGACACCGTTGTTGCCCACCTCAAGGCTGCTGTCCCCGCCAAGCACTCTGCTGTCTTGGAGAAGCTCGGTCCCGTCGTCGAGTACGCCGGTGCTATTGGTGGTCAGCTCGTCGATGAGAAGGAGACTGAGTCGGCTGTCTGGGCTGGTGCTGTCAAGCCCTTCGTGACTGTCCTCGTCGGCGATGCTGATGCTGACGCTGTCGTTGAGACTCTCCGAAAGCGCGCCTCTCCTGGTATCGAGGAGGATGCTCGCGAGGAGGACGAGGATGACGATGGTGAAGATCTCTGCAACTGTACCTTCTCTCTCGCTTACGGTGCCAAGATCCTGCTCAACCAGACACATCTGCGACTTAAGCGTGGCCGTCGGTACGGTCTTTGCGGTCCCAACGGTTCCGGAAAGTCAACTCTTATGCGCGCTATCAACAACGAACAGGTCGAGGGTTTCCCTAAGCAGAGCGAAGTCAAGACTGTCTTCGTTGAGCACGACCTTGACTCTGCCGATACTGAAATGACTACCATTGACTGGACGATGAAGAAACTTGCTGAGGCTGGCGTCACATCTACCAAGGAAGAGGTCGAGGCTCGTCTTATTGAGTTCGGTTTCACTGAGGCCATGATTGCGGGTGAAATCACTGCCCTTTCTGGTGGTTGGAAGATGAAGCTGGCTCTGTGCCGTGCTGTCTTCGAGGCTCCCGATATCCTGCTTCTTGACGAGCCCACCAACCATCTCGACGTGAAGAACGTCAAGTGGCTCGAGGATTACCTAATCAACTCTCCCTGCACATCCATCATTGTCTCGCACGATAGTGGCTTCTTGGACAACGTCACTCAGTACATCATCCACTACGAGCGCTTCAAGCTCAAGAAGTACAAGGGTAACTTGAAGGAGTTCGTCCGCAAGAACCCTCACGCCAAGTCATACTACGAGTTGGGCGAGTCTGAGATCGAGTTCACATTCCCCGAGCCTGGTTTCCTTGAGGGTGTCAAGACCAAGGCCAAGGCCATTTTGCGTGCTACCAAGATGAGCTTCCAGTACCCTGGTACACCCAAGCCCCAGATTACCGATATCACCTTCCAGTGCTCTCTCGGCTCTCGTATTGCTGTCATCGGTCCCAACGGTGCTGGCAAGTCGACCCTGATCAACGTGCTCACTGGTGAGCTCATCCCCACCGCTGGTGAGATCTACCAACACGAGAACATCCGTATCGCCTACATCAAGCAACACGCTTTCGCTCACATCGATAACCATCTCGACAAGACACCTTCCGAATACATCCAATGGCGTTTCCAGACTGGTGAGGATCGTGAGACCATGGACCGTGCCAACAAGATCATCACTGAGGATGACGAGAAGGCTATGGACAAGATCTTCAGGGTTGAGGGTTCTCAGCGACGTGTCATCGGCATCAACAGCCGAAGGAAGTTCAAGAACAGCTACGAGTACGAGTGTTCATTCGCCCTTGGTGAGAACGTTGGTATGAAGAATGAGAGATGGGTGCCCATGATGACTGCCGACAACGCCTGGCTTCCTCGAAGCGAGCTTCTCGCTTCTCACCAGAAGATGGTTGCTGACGTCGATATGAAGGAGGCCTTGGCCTCTGGTCAATTCCGCCCTCTGGTCCGTAAGGAGATTGAGTCGCACTGTGCCAACTTCGGTCTTGATGCCGAATTGGTATCTCACTCTCGCATGAAGGGTCTGTCTGGTGGTCAGCGTGTCAAGGTTGTGCTCTCTGCCTGCTCATGGCAACGCCCTCACTTGATCGTTCTTGACGAGCCCACCAACTATCTTGACCGTGACTCTCTCGGTGCCCTGTCCAAGGCCTTGAAGAAGTTCGAGGGTGGTGTTATCATCATTACTCACAGCGCTGAGTTCACCAAGGACTTGACTGAGGAGGTCTGGGCTGTCATGGACGGCAAGATGACTCCCTCAGGTCACAACTGGGTGCAAGGCCAGGGTTCCGGCCCCAGGCTAAAGGCTGACGAGGGTGATGAGGAGGACAAGTTCGATGCCATGGGTAACAAGATCGTGACAACCAAGAAGAAGGCCAAGTTGACTAGCTCCGAGGCCCGCAAGAAGAAGAAGGGTAAGCACACAAATCTTAGCGCTTTGCTTGACAGTTTGAATATCATGCTAACTTTGACACTACAGAGCGTATGGCCCGCCGTAAGCGCGGTGAGGAGGTCTTCTCGGACGAGGACGAGTAATCTACCATTACAACGATACCCAGTCAGACGCGTATTCGCGTCCACGATTCTCTGATGACCTAATACCGCACGGCGGCATGATATAGCTTCATTTTTCCTTTTGTCATATGTGCCACGAAACGAAAAAGTTGGGTCTTGCATGGTTGGGGCTTGTTTCTTCCTTTGCGTACGGTTTCAGCGCGGGTTTGGTTGATAGAGACATGAACGACCAACGGTAGCGCTTCTTCGGTATTTGGTATCTTCGGTCGGCCAAGATGTAGCCGAGCCACCTCTCGCCTGGAATTGGAGGCCCAGTCGAGGTTGGCACTCGGGGGATTCGGTCGTCAAAAGTACCATAGATAGTTGTAGATGAACTGGTCAGCTAAATAGACTTGATTGATCGACATGCTATGAGACTTTTGCCTTGTGTTAATGTGGATGTACGACGTTGCATTCGAATGTGACTCTGGCTACTAGCTGTCTAGATACATGATTGACAATGAACAAGAATGCATCATTTTCCAATTGAATATTTGGATTATCCATTCAAATTACGTCTCTATTCCATGATTCTATCCTTCCCTCGCCCAGGCCACAATTCAATGAGGGCCAGGACTGGACCAGGCTCGAAGCACAGACGGAAATGAACCCTCTGGTGCGAACATCAGTGAACTCATAGCTGCAGTAGGAAGTTATATGTAAAAAAGAAGTGCATTTTTTTTTAGTCAGGCAAGGGCGTACGATTTGGCTTGCTTGTTGTTGCCCAGATAATTATGGTGTGTATTAAGGTTTACACTTTGAATGTGTTAGGGGCGAGGCGATGGAAGAAAAAACGGTCACTTCTATATGTGCAAAACGTCGCTTCCGAGAGTGCCAGTCTTATTTTACACCGCCTCGGGGGGTAGGCGCCTCCCACCTCCAGACACTGTATTTAGCCCCTAGTCACAATGCTAGCTATCTTACCAACAACAACAACTTTTACAACAACTTTTACAACAACTTTCACAACAACTTTCACAACAACTTTTCACAACAACTTTTACAACAGCTTTTCAACTGCCAATCCTCTCTCCGCATTCCACCTTACTATCCACCCTTCATTATGGCTGAACTCCAACAGCTCCCACATGTTGACCTCCCGCAACCAGACTTTCATGCTTTGAGTGGCCACCTTCAAGGCATGGCTGTTCAGGTAGATCGTTGCTCGAACTTAGTTGCTGTCCATCATAGCACCGCGATCCTAGACGCCATTGCCGCATTGAACAACACTGTCAACACTGCTGTCGCCTCAATCAACACCTCTGTAGCCCAGCTGCGCACCGAGATGCAAGAGATGGGTCGTTCACTAGGACATCGTATGGATGACTTGTAAGTATGGTCACCTTATGAGTACCCTTCTAGGCTAATGAACATAATAGGGACTTCAATAGTCGAGCACGAACCTCCAACAGCGGAGCTACTAGAGCAGAGTCGATTATCCACCCGCTTAGGAATACTACTACACATGAAGTGGTTGATCTCCCGAGAACAGTCAAGGACTTGTTCTCACTTCGAGGTAAGTGCTTCCGTGCCCCTTTCTTTATAGATGCGTAAATACATACTAAATTATTTGGATTTAGTCCCTGAAGTTGAACAATATCTTCGAGACTTGGGGCAGGTCCCCGTTGGCAACGAAGATGAGAAGAAGGCGCAGCTGAATGACTATCTGGGTATCAATCGTATGCTGTAATTCTTTTCTGGTTCTCAAGTAGGACTTCCAAGTTAGTATTCATAAGTGTGTAATACGGAATGTCCGATGCTGTCTATTGTAAACGGTGCTACCTAGATAACGTTCCGTTAAAAATTAACTGTTACGATGCCTCTTACAGATGTGCTTGCTTCACCATACCCTATTACTTTGATCACCTCTTTTTATTATGGACATTGAAGGTCTTAGCAGGTCACGGAGGTGAACTGGTTTTCGAAGTGGTAGCTTTTGGCTGGCATCCTTCTCAGCAAGCTATGCCACTATGTGCCATACGTCGGCTTGGCCGGTAGCATGGATTGCCAAGCGAACACTAGACACAAATTTGATAATGATCTCTTAGCAACTGGGCATGTTCAAAATCATGTTCAATGGCACTGGCTTAGTATGCACTCGAGGGCACTCTACCCTTTCTTCGGATATCGCACATCAATTCTACGGCTATTTTCTACACACGCGGCGATACAAGCATCGCACTCATGTTCATGTATCGGAGATAAAAACCCTTCGGCGCTTCGAGGCAGCCTTTCTCCGACGACGTATACTCAAGAGATATCCTTGCAACACGAAGGCAGCACCTCGAAAGAGAGGCCGCAGAGCACCCAGGCAAGCTTTACATCACAGAGACCCCATATCAAGTACACGTATAAAGGCAAACATTGTAAGTCATGATACGAGTGCCTGCCTATGCTTTCATGCATTAATCTGGACATCCCGCGTCTGCGTTTAGATACACGCGCTACCGAGCTTCATTCGCACTACTGCCTCCTCTCGCGACATGGCCACCCAAGTAGGCTCACTGCAGCTGGCATCGTCGCGTGCACTCTCGTACGCCGTCACATCGCCATCATCGGATGGTCAACACCCCTTCGTACTCTTGGCTAGCCCTCTATGCACTACTCTCGCCGTCTGGGACCCCGTGGTCCCTCATTTGACAGCTTTGGGGTTCCGCGTGCTCCGATACGACCCGCCGGGCCATGGGTCGTCTGGCGTTCCCTCTGATCTCTCCTCAACGACATTCGACTCCATCGCCCAAGATGTCCGTGACCTCCTCACCCACCTTGACGTCCAAAAGGTACATACCTGGATTGGCGATAGCCTAGGTGCCGCTACTGCTATCACCTTTGCCGCGAAATACCCCGGCCTTGTAGAACGACTTGTCCCGTGTTGCACCATCTCCAGTTCACCCATCAACACAGGCGCTGCCGACACTTTCGGCCCGCGCGTGGCCGCCGCCCGAGAGGCTGGCAACATGGATGCCACGATCGAAGAGACGCTAGGACGATGGTTTGGGCGCGACTGGCTAGACTCTCACCCCGAAGAGGCGGAACGCATGCGCAAACTGATGCATGATACCAGCATCGACGGCTTCGAGACGTGTTGCGCGGCACTGCAGAGTAGGACGTTCGATATCCGCCCGTTGGCTGCCGACGCCGGACGTCACATCGAGGCGGCGCTGCTCCTCGTAGGGGAAAAAGACGCGGGACTTGGTCCAGTCATGGAGGAGCTTCGTCAGGGCATCGAGACTGGACTGAGAAGTAAGAAGGGCGAGACGGTGTCGGTAGACCTCAAGACGGTTCGGAATGGTGGACACGTCCCTTTCATAGACGGTTCCGAGTCTTTCTGGGAACACATTACTCCCTTTTTAAAGTGAAAAAATTGGGTTGCAATGACAATAAATTGTGTTCCAAATCGTTATTATAGTTCTTGCCTATCCGAGTGACTTCATTACCAGCTTGGCTGCTACCGCATGCTGACGATGTTTTTTTTTTTTTTTTTTTTTTCTTCGTCTGACAACAGAAATAGAAATACGGGGGCTGTCTCTCGGGTTTAAATGCCTAGGGAAGGATTGAGCAATGCCGTATACCTACGCGTGGCATCTGGTGAGCCCTGAGTAATGTAAGCATATAGATAGTTAATTCGCTTCATTGAGAGCAAAGGCTGTGACATAAGCATCATTTTAGAAGACCAACTTGTCCGAACCATTGGGGGCGGGTAACACACGGGATCCTTGTCGGGATATTCGCTTCTCCCGTCATAGTCGGCCGAGTTCGACCGCGCACAAGCTAGGTATGTAGGTAGTACACGCGTATTAGTGGTAAGGCTCCTATTCTATCTAGGTATTCCTGTTCAGCCACAACAGCTTGGAATAGCAACCCATGCGAGCGTGTAGTCCAGCGTAGAGTAAATTTCCATAGGTCTACTATGATAGCCTGTGTCGAAGAAAACTCCGTAGTGAATCACCATAGCGCACCACTGTTATGTAAAGGCAAGATACTATGTACTACCGGTATGTAGACTTGTACGAGATCCTCGTGGGCGGAACTCTCAATTACCCCGAAATTGAGCAAAGTGCTTTGGGCCGGGGTCGCGTAACCCTTACCCGTCCACACGTATCTCCGAGCAGCTTGGCTGCCTTTGCCTTTGCCTTAACGCCGCTTGGATCAAGTCGATAGACGGTGAACGGTGGACAGGGCCATGGGCACAACCGCTGACATTACCTAAGGACACGCGATCATGACTAGAGCCGTGACTAGCTATATGCTATCTAGCAAAGCTAGTAGTAGCCGTCCTCATTAGGTCAGGCCATAGTCGGAGTTAGAGTCAGGTTTTCTGTCCCGCTTTGTTCCAGACGAATCCCAAGGTCTTTGGGTCCAAGATGCCAAGAGAACGAAAGGTCGACCAGGCAGGTCATGATATAGGTAGATATGTGGTCCACATCGGTGTCGCGCTCTTTAAAACACCGACTCTAAGCCCCATCTGGATGGGACATGCAACGAAGATCAACCGTCATGGACAGATTCTGGACAGATCTAGCGATCGAGCTGAGTGTACTAGGTATGTATGGAGTAGTCAACATCGTCACCCATGCAAGAAATCAAATGACATGACACGGAGGTATAAATATATTATCTCCATGGCCCTGGATCTGGAAACATGCAGTGCTACCTGTCAGACAACATATGACAACGTAATGAGCCGCAAATTACCACGCATTACTTAAAAACCAACGTTCTCATACATACACGACCCTACTAGAGAGTCTCCACCAACGATATTGTATATTGGCACATCGTGGTGGTTTACTTCGCTTCGAAGCTTTGCTACCGAGCGGTTAGCAACGACAGTTACGGGGAAATAAAGAAGCATTGATTGCATTCTCATACATCCGACCGGCAGACAGTAGTAGCACACATGTCTCAGATGCAGCCGTCCGGGCCGCCGTACGCCTCCCGCAATGCAGGCCTCGGTGGTCTGCCCGAGGCCATCCCCGACATCCCGATCAGCGCCGTCTTCCTCGCCCTCTACCTCACCTCGGCCGTCACCAACATGACCATATTGCAAATCAATCTACGGAGAGGGCACAAGTTCATCATATCGGGCGCGCTATTCGGCTTTTCCATGTCAAGAATCATAACATTTATCCTGCGCATCGTCTGGGCTCTGCACCAGCATAACGTGCGCCTCGCCATCGCCGCCAACATCTTCGTCAACGCCGGCGTGCTCGTTGTCTACGTCGTGAACCTGATCTGTGCCCAGCGCATCCTGCGCGCTAGACAGCCTGCGCTAGGCTGGCATCCGGCCATCAGCATCGCCCTGAAAGTCTTTTATGTCGGCATCGCGGCGTCACTCATCCTCGTCATCTACTCCGTCGTGCAAGGCGCTTACACCTTGGACCCTAGTATCCTCCACAAGACTCGCGATATCCAGCTCGCTGCCACCTCTTACCTCCTCGTCTTCACGACCCTGCCCATATGGCTACAAGTCGTGGCTCACTTCCTGCTTCCCAAATCCGCCGACGCCGAGACCTTTGGCCAGGGCAGCGGCAGGGCACAAGTCCTCATCAATCTGCTGTCGACATGCATTTGCATCACCATCGCGGGGTTCAAGACAGGCACGGCCTGGGAACCGCCTAGGCCCTTGTCCAACCCGGCCTGGTATCATAGCAAACCCGCCTTCTACGTCTTCAGCTTCGTCCTCGAACTTCTTGTCCTGGCCCTCCTGACGCTATCGCGCATCGACAAGCGCTTCCATATCCCCAATGGTAGCAAAGGCCCGGGGGACTACTCCCGTCCTCGCCTCGAAGGATCGACGACGACGACGATGGAGAAGGGGGAGTCGGCGAGTGAGCGGAGCGATGAGCGTGCTTAAATTGAAAACATGAAAAAGGTCAAGGAATGTTAACTTGTCATTTGGGAGGGCCTTGAGGAATAGACAAAAATAGAAGGGGCTGGAGTCAATTTCGTGATATATCTATCACAAGCATTTTTGACTTATTGTTGTATGCATGAGAGATACCCACCCATATAGAAAGGGGGATATGTATATAGTATATAGCTTGGAGATACCCCTGTCTCCGTAATCTAATGTGGCATGTGTACATATTTCATGCTTGATAGTGTTGGCGTGTGGCGGTATACAGTGCACAATGGGTATAAAACGAATGAGTAGTGCGGGCATCATCGCATAGGTCACAATGGTTCTAATCAGTTTGAAAGATGCAATGAAGACTTCGGGAATCCAAGTAGATTGTGCTATGCGGCCGCCTCTGTAGACCATCATGCAGATACCAGCTCAGAGTCAGATTACTCGGTGTTTCCCTGGGGATTTCTAGACCGCAAAAATGCTAACCTTGGCGTCGTAGATGGTGAGACTTACATAGCAGTCATCTCAACTTTTCCCGGAGTCCTCCTTCAAAGAAACGATTCGATTTAGCACAATCTTGGCATCAGTGCTGTCAATTGCGTCGACGGCCTATCGTAAGTTTGTTAGACGAAGGGCGCAAATCGTTAGGGATGTATAGCAATACTTACGAAATAGGCCACCCTCATTGCTTGGAAACGGACGCTCTCGAGGCCTCCCTTACCAAGCTGGCTTTCGCCAGCAGCCTCAGGCCACGGCGCGCGGGCCTTCACTTCATCAAAGCCTGACTCGATCATTGCTTTGGGGTAAACCACTTCGCTCTTAGGGTTCAGGTCGTTCAGATATCCACCCTCGGCGTCATCGGGCTTCTCCGATTTGAACAACGAATTGTGAATCCGGACCTCCACCTCACGGGAGCCGGCCGGTACCCATTGAATGAAAGTTTTAGGCTTCTTCGTCTCCTTATCGAATACAGCGCGAACCTCGGTTACTTGACCCGTTACTTCATCTTTGGCAAAAGAAACAGCCTTGATTGGATAGGGGGCCTGGAGCAAGCCAACAGTCTTGTTGGGCGCGAGACGGAAGTAATCCTTACTGTCGACCTAGATAAGCGTCAGCATCTACTACTACCACGTGTGATATAAACCTCCAGTGATGAGTAATGCGCGGCCATCACAGTGTAGCCGCTTGACGAGAGTCACTTTCGGGAATATAAAAATGACGATGATGTACTCACCTCTCGGAAGTCTGAACGATCAATATAGACAGTCTGGGTGAACTTGAGCTTATGCGACCCCATTTCCGGGTTCTTGGGCGAGAAGGGCACGTCCACCTCTGTTTCCTCCGCATCTTCTATGATGACAGGAATTGGGTCAAGGACCACCATTAACCGTGGCACTGTACGCTCCAGATATCGCCTGACGGTTTGTTCGAACCTTGCAATCTGAATAACACTTGGCGCTGTTGTGACGCCAAGCTCCGATACAAACTCGACTATAGCTCCCGGCGGCACACCTCGTCGTTTGATACCAATCAGAGTATATAATCTTGGGTCGTCCCATCCTCTAACAATTTTATTCTCAACCAACTTCATGATCTTTCGCTTAGATAGAACGGTTCCCGTGATACTCTGACGAGGCACAGTCAACAAACGAGTTGGGAAACCTGTCGCAAAAGTGTTCACTTACCAAGCGACCGTACTCCCTTTGCTCACTTATCGCAGGCAAACTTTCTCGCAAGATGTTATTAAGCCAATCATAGCTTACTCTACTTTGAATAAACTGATGGTCAGGTGTTAGCATCTGAGTACTTGACTGTCATTTCAAAAGGATTGGGATAGCAGAACATATGGATAGCTATAAGATAGTTGACTCCAGCTGACACGTTCGAGCGGCATCCGGTCGAGATATACAAGGGAACGAAGAAGTATTAACACTAACCTCGGTGGTGCAAAGACTGTGAGAAATCTGTTCAACTTTTGCAACGGTCAGCTCGAACAGACGATACATCTCACCACTAGCACCAGGCCTAGAAACATACTACAGTCGCAAAGGCAATGCGTGAAATCATAGGTTGGGTATATTCGCCATTTCGACCCTGTGCGATGGTGAGGCTTATCGAGAATTCTGTCTGTGTACTGCGTCAGTCTGAAAATTCGACGACTTAAAGCTTTCACGGTGCAGGGTAAAGTTCGTACAGGCAGCTAGATCCCACATTTGACTAAACATCACTCAGGCGTGAGTAGTTGGACTTTGAATGCGATCCCAAGGGTTTATGCACGAAACTTACGGATTGCCATCCTCGATATCCTACAGCCAGAAACAGAAAGAAATCAGTATCTCCCTCTACCAAGCGAATTGATCACCAACGGCAATATTGGTGGAGGAATCCAACAAACCATCTTCATGCGTAAGAAAGCCTCACGGGGCTTGTATTTACCGTCCCTCATCGCTCTGAACTCGGCCAGATTGTCCTCGACGCTGCGTTCGGCGTGAGCGCAACGGAACCTGGGACCATGATTTTCGCCGCCTCGCTGAGCCTTGATCTCATCATCTGTGGACCCGTGAGGATGAACAATCCGCATAACTAATACAACATCATACAGGAAGAGGGGACGAACCGTTGCAATGGCATACGTAAGCTTTCTTCAGCTCGATAAGCTCCTCAGCCAGGTCGTAAAGTTTTTGAAAGTTGTCGCTCGAAAATGTGACTGCGCATGGCTCGAAGCCCAACCAGTCAACCATATCCACAATGGCCTTGGTAAAAGTCTCGTCCTCGGCTTCGGGGTTCGTATCGTCCATTCTCAGATATGTCTTGCCACCGTGAAACTTGGCGAAACCGAAGTTGACACATATGGCCTTGGCGTGGCCAATGTGAAGGAAGCCATTGGGCTCCGGGGGGAATCGCGTGACCACGGGCTTTACAGGTCGCTCTTTGAAAACTTCGTCGAGGAAACCGACCTTGAAAATCGCATCTTGGTCCACAACGGCGTCCTCATGTTTTGGCTGCTTGGGTTTGGGCGCGCTCTGCGCATTGGGAGCGCCAGAAGTGGCGGCAGCGGCCTTTGCCTTCTCGGTGGCAGCCTTCTTCGCTCGTTTCTGGGTGCGCTTCTTCAATTCGTTCTTAGAGACCATCTCACCCGTCACATCGTCGAGCACGAGCTTGGCCGCAGCCTCGGTGACGGCGGCAGTGTCAGCATCAGCCATCTTGCGATCGGACGGGCGCGATTGCGGTCGCGAATTAGGGTATGAGTGTCGCGCTATGGTCTGGGAGGTAGGTATTAGCAAGGCGACGTGTATCGAAATCACTTAGGTATGTATTCGAGAGTAGGTGGGCATCTACCGTATGACTCAACGGACTGTTCAGGCCCGATATGAAGCAAACGCCCACGAGATAAGGTGGAAATATTCATTGGTACAAACAACAGCTCCCGATGGAGGGGCAATGGACATGCACGGCCACAGCATGGAGGGGTAGACTGCACCAGCCATAGACCAGCTGTGGCGGTGCTGTATGCTTTGCCGCCTGATCGGGTTGGGTACCTAAGGTACAACGTGGAGGTACCTATGTATGGACCCAAGTTCCCAATTTCTTTGAAGATAGATGTGAAGAGTGATTATATACTTCAATCAATCCCCTCTGCTAACACTGTACATTGACAACAGAGTGCTTGTGACAATCGAGGAGTCGTTGCATCAATACCAAAATCCTGCTCTCGAGGTGAACGATAGAGGCTGCCCAATCGAATCAAGGATAAGGCAAACTAAGTAATGCATTTTATTTCATCTGTTGCTTGAATAGTTACATCAAAGGGGTATAGTGGGTGCCGGATCTCTGCTTTTCCTGACATTGTTGCTCTCTTCAAATATAGTGTCACAGGTGGTGTGTCGTAGTACGTTTGTTGGGGATGAGTAAGGAAGTGGGTGGCAGTCGGAGGTCGGCAGAGTAGGTAGGTGCTTAAATAACTTTTCCGAACCGCTCATCTACCTAGGTAGGTTATAACGCCCGTATAGAAAGCCCAAGCTCAATATAAACACTTCGTCCGTAAGCAGGGTGTACATGCGCCGAACACCTTCGTACGCGTTCCATATGCTGGCTACTATGATAGCTCTTCAACAGTCTCTGTTTGACGAAGTGAGGCTATTCAGTTGACGGGGGTGCTGGGGTTGAGAACGTCGGCCTACTTACATGTAGACCAGGATCAACACCTCGGGTCGCCCTTCGTTCCGCCCAAATGAATCTTGGCAGCTACAAGAGATTGTTGTATCATGAATAGCTTCAAATCCAAACCCTGCTTGGAGCCCTTGCCATACAAAGTCTTCGATTAGCTGGGACCATGTTGACGTCAATGGCGACAACATGCGCCGGCAAGCGCCATCACGGCAAGTATCTGTAGAAATAATGCGCGCGATTTGAGAAGCTGGTGCGTCGAAGCCTATCGGTATAGGCCTTTGAATGCGTCCTGACATTCAACATCACGTCTCTGGCGCATCGCTTTGGCTGCTACTTCGTCGCCGGCTTCTTGGTGCCACGTCCCGAGGAGCGTAAGTGTCTCGTAATAGTTCTTCCCTGCCGGCCACGCTAGTCTTTGTACTATATATGCCTATGAGTTAGCTCCCTTGCATCATTAATACTGCATCCCGATGCGAACACGGAAAAAGGTGCTGGCAACATTCGACTGTTGCAACTGGAGTGCTTGTCGAAGAGAGGATAGGAGAGGCTATTTCAGGATAAATGTACCTTCAACGGCTTTTTGTAAGCATTCTCTTGCACGCTCATGATCAGGACTGTGACGAGCCTTCTTGTCCCAACAACGAGCGTGATAGGTTTGAGCTAGAGCATAAAGGCAGACGAACTGTAGGTATTGCGGCGGATCATCTGACGGGATTTCACTCAGCATCTGTTCCGCTATAGCCGAGATCCTCTCATCTCTCCACGCAGTCTAATTTCGAATTAGGCGTCAGTCATTGCTAATTTTGGGGCACAGTTTGAAAACCGATGCGGCGGATATAGCCATGGGAAATTCTTGAGTTGGCAATCATTATATACGAAACATATTGAGCAGTGGATGGAAGATTAAGGCAGACTAACCTGATTCCCCAGCATGAGCAGCAAATCTGCGCGGAGAGACCACGAATCACCCGCCCCATCTGGACTGTAGATCGTCGCCGTTGGTATCTTATCAGCCTCCCATGTTCCTTGGTTCAAGTAATAACGATGGTAATAGGAACTATTCATAGACAGGATGTCCCACTACAGCTCGTTCAAGTCAGCAAATTGCCCTTTCAGATGAAACGTACGTTGATTCGAGAAGCTCGGCAGGCTCCCGAGTCGAGCCCATCATCACCATAGCAGGTCTTATACGTCCAACGGCTACAACAGGAAGAGAAGAGCTTTAGGGGAGGCATACAGGCTCTATGAGGGTGTAATCGAAGGGTTTACCGTCGAATGTGCCGTTGCTCTGATTCGATGAAAAGCGGCGCCCCCATTGCATCATCGCAACGTTGTGCTCCAGACTAAAATCCCGCGCCAAGTTGGCAAAGGCTCCTAACACCCGTCGCAGCCTTTCGTTCACGCCACCGATTTTAGCCGCATACTTCCCCAGATAGCTCCAGAGTAAGCGTTGAATCCCTAGATCTGGATATCGGCTCATGGAACTCAATAGCTCGTATAAGGCAAAGTGTGCCGACTGGTCTAGTATATTATCAATTGTCGAAAATGACCGGCGGCAGAAAGCTCCTCCATCGTTCATTTTCCCTATCGAGAGAAGCCAACAGCCGTGGGTGAGTAGCAGGACAGAACGCATGGCCTCGCTTGCCTGATAATTGTCTATCCCTTTGAAGTAGTTGGCGTCCATTTGTGGCGGCATGAGCGGGTGCTCCACGGTCCAATGTAGATAGGCCTCCTGCAAGACAAACTCATCAGGCGCGTTGATCTTCTTGGGCAGTGGTGGCAGCGGTGGAGGAGTTCGACACCGTAGCGTCGGTGGCAGGTCACCTGGTTGCACCATTTCGAGAAGATCAGCCGATCGAAGGCCTTTCCTCCTCATGTAGGCGGCTACGTCGATGGCCCTGCCGTTGCGACGAAATGTACTCTCTTTACCCATGGCTAGCCGATGTTGTTGCAGGTACAGCATATTGGCCACGTCGGCCTGACGGTTGTTCTTGAAGAACTTCCATTGTGTGAGCTTCGTCTTATACATCTTGGGCCTTTATCTTTCATATCAGCCACGGTCTCGATTCATGGCTATTGTTGAAGATTGACGACTCACGACGCGCAAAACCCCCGCTCTTCTTCCAGAATGGCCATCACATCCTATTCGATTGATGCACCGGTCAGCTATATTCATGTGCAGTCATGTTGCTAGAATAATATGAATGTCCTGCGCGCGTGAAGTCAAGCATGTCGGAAGAGTGAGTACAGGGCATAGCTGGGCCACTCGGCATCTTGGATTGAGCTTAACAAATTTCTAACCTTCAGACGTCGGTTCTCCTCCAAGTATAGCCGCGCAATGTCGGCTTTCACAGACTCCCATGCTTCTGGACTATGAGTCCTCCTCCTCCGATTACTTGGCTGCTGCGCATCGATTGGGATGGGCCCGCGGGTCTTGACATGTCTATCGGCATCCGGTGACGGCTCGGCCAAGGCAGGCGCTGTGGAGCTTGCCACAACCTTATCGGACACGGGAGATGGATAGCTCTCGGACATGGCTAATGACGGTGTGTGCTGGGCTGCGCCAGGCTAAGCTAGGCGCAGGCCCCAAACTTGCGACGGCGCCGGGCAGTTAGGAAGAAAACTCGTGTCACTAGGGGGTGAAGGCTCCGTGGTGATCCCCAAGCACCTCTAAGGAAACCAGCATTCTCAACCCTAAGAAGTGTCTCGTCTCTCTCGATGAGCCGCGCGGTGTGTTATATTAGAAGTCGGGCGGTCGTGGGTGGTTGACTGTGGTGAGGGATTGGTGGAAGCTCGAGGAGTCTTGGGACGGGGACCCAGGCAAGGAAGCCTCTGGGTGTGTGAAATGGCGAGATGGGCAGTCAATGCCTGCCTGGTTCCTATTTTCAGGTGAGTGAGCTCGACAGCAGGGGAGGTGGACGAAATGGCATAGCCTGGGTACTTTACCACCACCACTTCTGGCATCTCCTCAGACAGCGCTGTACATACCTACACGCGCCCACAGAAGCGAAACAAGTGATTCTGTGAGGTATAGGTATCGGTCTGGTATTGGCTGACACGCAGACACGCCTGGAATGACCAGGCAGAACCAGGCTCCCACCGTCTCCCACCGACTCCCACAGACTTCCAGGTCCGTCCAGGTCTGTCCAGGGTATGCTACCGTTTTCAGCTCAGCCCCTGGCGTATACCAGGAAGCATGTTATACATGGGGTGTCTTTACTTTACTGTAATACCTACACTCCATACATGCAATTCGCCAGGTAAGTAAGATGTCCAGCACCACGCCACCTGCCTACAGCGAGTAGCTAAGTACCTACTTATTAGGTAGGTAGGATGGATGGGTCTCCCCTTTCGCGTGCGAGCCTGGAGCACAAAAGCCATTGCTTGCAACCTGTATATATTGGCCATGTGCATGTCGGCTCTGCTGTGTGCAATAGGTAATTGACATTCCAAGGTAGATAGTAGGTATCTAGGTACATTCGGGTGGATCAGGGTGGATTAGGGAGCACTACAGTAAGATACCAGGCACGACGCCAGACGTAGAATACCTACCTATAGGTAGGCTACTTAGACGATGACTCAGCATCCATGACTGCGAACAGTCGGGCCTCAACCCCGAGATATATGCAGTAAGCTCAAGGGACTCCTATAATTATCCATGCTATGGCAGCAACATTACGTGTTCTGGTATCCCATATCATCCATATCTAGTATCAGATGTCTCCAGCCGCCGTCCCGCCAGCTACCTACAGGTGCAAACATACCTATCTGCTTAGGCCTTGGCTAGTCTCGCCTTTGTCCCTGTAGCAGTTCCCTCGGCGTCAAAGATGCCGTTGACACTCGGATGCTTTGATACCGCCTCAGCCCAGCGACTGAAGTTGGGCGCCTTCTCCGAGAGTTGATCGATGACGCTCTGTGGTACTAATCCATACTTGGGCCAGCTCCATAATCGAATCACAAACGAACCCGTGAGAACCTGTGTACCTATCAGGTCGATGCAGAGCCGGGGGGGTTTGACGAGCGTGCGAGGAGACGGGGTTTAAGTGAAGAGCAAGCAGCATGGATCCTACATACCTCAGCCAGAGTAAGCTGGCTGCTACCTCCAAAGAAAGGACCGGCATTGGCCAGCAGTGGTTCGATCTCCTTCACAACAGCATCCACCGTCTTCTGGATGATAGCTGAACGCTCCTCTTCTGTCGTCGCCTTCATCAAAGGGTACAGAGACCCGTTCACCTTGGACATGTAGGTGTCGACGAAGAACGCGATCCGAGCCCGTGTCAGGGGACCATTGGCGTCGGTAGACGCGGGCACTAGATGTGAGGGGAAAGCATCGGCCAAGAATGCCGCCACAACAGCAGACTCAGTGATGATCTGGTCATCAACACGCAGAGATGGCACTAATCCGCGCGGGTTGACTTGAAGATACTCGGCCGTCCGTGGGACTTGAAGATCAATGATTTCTTCATCGAACGGCACCTTGAGCTCCGAAAGGGCAATATGAGCGCGATGGGCCCCTTTAACATAACCCAATAGCGATTAGCAACAGAAGAGCTGGTTTACTTGATGTGCCTCACGGTCAAAAATGCAGTTACTTACACGGGCAGCCGTGGTTGGTATACAGTCTCAGCTTGGGGCTTGCAGCAGCCATGTTAATGATAAGCCGGTTGATTGGTCCTATGGCGTAGTAATAGCACAGTTATATGAATGGTGATGAGTTGTCTTTTCCTCGGCGTAGATAGATGTGAACAGAGATGGTAAACTGCAGCGCGAGGTTTCTTGAAGACGAATCTTTCAAGATATACTCCATACCTACCTACGCTACTTACACATTCACTTACGTGGTCTAGCGTAATTACCGCGCGGGGTCCGGTGGCGTGCTTTGTCTGATTTATAATCACCTAGTCCGCCGGATGTTATCCCCAGGTAGACGGTACTGGGATCGTCAATTGGCAATGCGACTTGGCGATATAGTCGCCGTTTCTCATCCGGAGTTAGTAGAGCGGCCTTGAAAAGACTCCGACACGCAACTTAACACCCTCCAAATCCGCCTTTTAGAAACAATTCCGACTTCATCAGTGTTTGTCAGACTCTCCTCAACTCACACGAAGCTGGCGCTTGGCATTACAGTGCTAGCCTCGATATAGTATCACGTGTAGAATCGGACGCACCGCAGAATGTCAACTATTAGTCGAGGTGACCTGCTACGGAGGTTGGAAGGTCAGAAACAGAGGCGAAGACTATGACAACCCCAAGGTTTCTTTAACAACTAGGTCCTCTCAGTACCTATCGATGAAACCATTGCCCTCACTCACTGCCATCTGACAAACGACAAAGCTTGGTAAAGTCTCTTGGTATCTATAAACCTTTGTGCACACCGTCAAATTATAGTCGCGACCATTGTCCCACCCTCTTCAATAATCCCACAACGCACATATGGTGATAAAGAACTCAACAATCGATCTCTGAAAGATAGCATTAGTGAAAATAACAATTCAGTATGTGTGAGGCGAGTGCACAATAGATAGACGAAAGCTTATACTCGTCAAGCAGCGCGTATCTTTGTTAGATTACGAACAATGCCTTTTACAAGAGCTTGGGCAGCATAAAATACGCATTATGGTCTGCATCAACGACAAATAATAGCTCTTCGTTCCAACCCCATCCATCTGACTATCACTCAATAACTGTTGTCAGTTTCTCTTGCGAACTGAAATTCTAGCGCGCTGGTGTTACGCGCTTAGGTGATTATCGCATCCAAACTTCCCGACTCTCACCCACACCTCCAGGATCTTGTTACTCGCTAATAACCCTTCATAGACGGATTGACAAGGGCAAATATGTCTCGTCAACCTAGCCAAAACCATACCTCATCGACTGCAACATCCTTCTGTCAAGCAATTTACTTTTACTATACTTGCGGTTGTCGCAAACCCGAGCCCGTCTTCTGCTGCCAACCACCGGTCAACTCACCAACCAAGGCGGGGAATCCATGCCGGCACGAGCAGCCGGCTTTAGTTGTCGCGAAGCTCCCCCGAGCATGTGGCAAACTGCTTGGTAGCTCAGCAGCGTGTGGTGCCGAGGATCCTAGTGCTAAGAGATTCGTACGCGAAGTGGTAAGTAACTCCATAATCATAATCATTCCATATGTTCCCCAAAACTCCGCCACAGCGTAAAGATCACACTTGATATGAATATTGACTAATAGTGTCATAGGATACATCGGAAAGGTTGGAGCTTGCTGTGTCTAAAGGATTGAAACAGGATATGGTGTCTGACGCCCTTCCCGAAAAAGTCGAGGGCACATTTACCATTGACGAGGTCATTTCGAAGTCGCGGCAGAAATTTAGATCATTTCTATCTGCAACGGCTGCTCCATTTGTTCCACAGCTTGGAGCATTCATGGCGAGTGCTGCGATCCCAGCGGTCGCCGATGGTGAATCCCACCAGACCACCGAAGGTGTTATGGAAGATAATACTATCGCGGGAGTGAGCAGAGTAACGGCAGCAGTATGCCAAGCAGAGGAGATTAAATGCAGGGACTTTGCTACTGAGATGGATGCCAACAAAGCTAGCCGATCTGCGAAAATCGAGGATAGTCAGGACAATCAGGACGATCGTGAGGAACTCTATGAGATCGAGTTAAGTCACCCTGATATATTTCCCACGATTGCTGACGAAAGCCCCGATGAGGGAGCCCCAGGCATAGATGACACAACCCAAGAGGAGAGTGTCGGTTCGTCTATAGAGCCTCGAAAATCCTACGAAGAGCTGGTGACTTACTGGGCTATTGACAACAGTAAGGAAAAACTCAAACCATCAAGGACATGTTATTGGGCCGTAGCGACGCTGTTCTCTAACTTCATACGGCGGAATTGAAGTTCAAAGAGTGTATTGTAGGTTGGTCCCCGGGGATGCTTATGAGCGTTGAGAAATGGAGAGTCCTGCTGGCAACTCGAATAAGTATGTGCTGTACCCATGTGAATCGGCCCTATTTTCTCTATCACGATAGATAGCTGGTTAATATAGTACCCCTTTTATCTTATCTTCTTGTAATGCACTTCCCGACTGTAATACCGGTCCTCTTTGTAATAAATAAGATCTACGAGCAATGGTCCTCGTTCATCATCAAAAATTGATATATTGGCAATAGCAATAAATTTATTTACTATCTCGCTGAATTCAGTGCGCTATTGGCCTAAGTAAATACTTATACTGAAAGCCATCGTCAATCCGCTACATGAGTTCGTCATATCTAGAGGAGACGAAAAATACAATCCTCGACCAAGCCAATAGTATACTTCCATAGGGTAATAGGTAATCTATATCTGGAAAGTTGGTCTCTGAGAGTGGTGATATTCATCTGCAGTGTCACAACGTCCGCTACTGCTACAGATGATACTCGGTAGATGGCTGCAAGCTGTTGCTGAACAACTTCGAAGCGTCTGTTTAGATCTGAAGCTTGTTCTAGTCTGGAAAACTCTAGGGCTTCTCGCCAAGCTGCAAGGACTGTTGCGGGATCCATTAAAAGTACTATCAGGAAAGTTAGAGTATACTCAACGGATGTTTGAGGGTAAAAGAGAGAAGATTGGACTTACTTTCAGGGGTGGCTGGTGGTAGCTCTGTCTGTGTCGTGTCGGGGACTGATCTGCTAGGCACACTCTCGCGCAATGTCGTCCTGTGCTTGGAGATGCTACTGGATGAGATTCGAATGTATCGCCATGGTTCGTCTGCTGGCATCTCGACAGACGGCGATGTCTCCACTCCCCTCAGGAAAAAAGGTACCGTCATGTCATCTTTCTTCTCATTAACAGTCGAAGGTACTACGGAGGGTGCCGACGACGAAGCTGTTTTCATCATGGGAGATACAGGGAAGGAGGGGGACAGCGATGCTTCCCACCTGTCGATTTTTGTTAGACGTTAGTGGAGTCAAGGAGCGGGTCAACAAGGGTCTCAAGATCGCATATATATTCAACACACCGTTCAATTCCCTTTCAGATAGAATTTAGCTAGTTAGAGCACTTAATACTACCTTGAACTGATCCTTTGAACGTATTGCAGGAGCTTTAAAGCCTACCTATATTTAAAAGTTATAAGCCCGGTTTACCTAAAACTACTATATAAACTTTAAAAGGATTAATTAAAAAGTACTTTTTAAGTTTATTTTTTAATTTAATTAGTTAAACTTTATTTAAACTATTTTAAATAATTATTTAAATTATTATTATTAAAATTATTATATTTAATTACAAAATAAATAAATATATATAAAAAAATATTAAGCTTTATAATTAATAAGATTAGGATTATTAAATTATTTATTTTAAACTTTTTATATTTAATAAAGAGCTTTAAAATATTATTAACCTAAAGGGTAATAAAAAAGTTTATTCCTTTATTAAAGCGTAAAAGCCTTTTATAAAAGATAATATAATTATAAAATACCTTTATATATATTTAACTTTAATATTATTAACTTTTAAAAAAACTATAATTATTTAAATATTAAATAATATATTTTATATTTATTAAATAAAAGGTTTAAATTAAATTATAAAATTTAACTATTATATAACTTTTAAAAATTAAATATATATTATAATAAATCTTTTAATTTTAAATATAACCTTTTTTTAACTTTTTTATAATAGGAAATATAGCTTAAAAGTATTAATAAAAATTATTAAAGAGCTTATTTCCCTTATAAAATCTATAATTAAAAGTATAGCTTAATAATAATATTAATAAATATTTTAAAAAGCTTATTTAAATAAAATTAAATTAAAGGTTTAATATAAAAGTTAATATAAAGCTTATTTAAATATATTAAGTTTAATAATTTTAAATATTAATAAAATACTTATAATAAAGAACTTTTTAAATATTATTAAAATATATATAGCTTTAAATTAAATATATTAATAATTTATAAATATTACTTTAATTAAATAATTAAATAAAGAATTAATAAGCTTTATTTAATATAATAAAGTATTTTTTATAATAATTAATAATAAAATTATAAATAAAAATGTTACAATTAAGATTAAGGCTAGCTAAATATACTAGTAAAAAGGGCTTAAAACGAGTATAAAAAGGAATAAATTAATAACTTAAAGTATTATACTACAGTATCCTAAGGCCCTTGGAATATATATATTTTATATATATCCTATACCCTTTCCGTATATACTTCGAAGGAAATTCTTTCTTTCTTTAAGCTTTAATCTTATTAAATACCTATTATAAGATTGAAAAGACTTATAATATTATACTTAACCTTTAAAATTTAACCTATTTGTAATAATTTTAAAGCTTCCCCTTAAGGTTACCTATAACGTTGTTAATTATAATATATCTACGCGTAAATAGATAATTAAAGCTAGCGCTCTTTTAGGAAATTTAGATTAAGGAGAGTTTTTAATAATAGTTTAAGGATAAAGTTAGTACGATTTATTTCCGAAAGAATAACAAACTTAAAATTAACTATTAAAATCTTTTAATAACTTTAATTTAATAAATAAAGCTAATGCTTAATTATTATAATAAATAAATATTTAACTTTTAATTAAAATTATAGAGCTAAAGAAATAACTTTTTAAGGGAAAGAAGGTTGTTTAAAGTTTAAAGGTAACCTATACCCCTTTTAAATTATATTTAAATAAAAGAGGAAAAAACTTAAAAATATTAAATTTAAATAAATTAGGGCATTGCTTTAACCTTAATAATTCATGGACCCCTAATAATTAATAATATTATTAGGATTAAAAAGAGGGTAATCCTAATAATAATAACCCCTTATTATCTAACTTTAATATAAAGTATAATTAGAGTAATTATATATATTAATTATATTTAAATTATATATACTATTATAGATATTATTTTTTTAAGGAAGTTAATTTAAGCTAGCTTTTTAAATTTAATTATAACCCCCTTAATATAAAATTTACCTATTTAAAATGGTTAAAATAAATAGAAGAATTAAAAACTATATTCTATAAAGCTAATTGTAAGTTTAAAACTAATACCCTTAAAATTCTTTATATATATAATAAAATAAATAGGAATTATAAAAATGTATATTAAATTATAAAAAAAAGGTTTAAATATATAAAAAAGAAGTAAATAAAGTTTAATTAGGATATATTTTTAAATTGAATTAAAACTTTATTATATTAATTATTCTTCCTATAAGTTAATATTAATATATAATTTAAAAGGGCTATATAATATATTAATTAGGACCTAAAACTTTTTAACTAATATTTAGCTAATATTAAAAATTAAAACTTAAAATAAAATAAAGGTAAAAGAGCTTTATTATATTAATAAAAATTAAATAAACCTTTATAAAAGGAATTAATAAATTTCTATAACCTTTTATTAAAAATTAGGACCGAAATAATTAATATAGTATAATAATGCTAAGAATTAATAAATAAGAACTAATAGGCTAATTATAAGAAAAAGAGGCCTAAACTAAAAAAATACTTAAATTAATAATGGACTACCTATAAATATAAGCTAAAGCTAAAGTAATAGTTAAGCTATTAATAATAATTGTAAAAATAAATATAAAGGATATAATAGTAATAGCTATAATAGTAGCTTTAATTATAATTATATTAATAATTATAAAGGTAATAGTAATAATAATAATTATTAAAGTAATAATAATAGTTATAGCTATTAAGGAAATAATAATAATAGTTATTATTAATGTTTTTAAAGTTTTAATTATTAAAAAAACCGTTAATTTAATAACTTTATTTTAAAAAGTTAACCCCCTTTTAAAGCTCCTTTAAATTATTTATAAAGTAATAATAAAAATGGACCAAATTAAAGAAACTATAAAGGAGTAATTTATTTTAATTATAGTTAATTAAGCTATATTGCCCTAAATTGCATTTAATTTAAATAAAACTAAAACCTTAGTTATATAGGTTATATAGTATAAAAATAAACTATTTAAAAAGTTTAAATAAATGAAGAATAGGATAAAGCTAAAAATAAATAATAGTTACTATACCGTTTTTATACCCCCCTTTTATTAAAATATTATAATTTTTTGGAATATAATAAATAATTAGGAAATAGATCGGAAGCTTAATACCTTTTAAGCTAATAAAAGGTATTAGGTTAAATCTACCCCTTTATATACCTATTATACGTTATTTTTATACCCTTTATATAATTTATATATTTAGTTTAAAGAAATTACCTTTATAAATTTATATTAATTTAAATTCTTATATTAAATGTAATTGTATTAGCTTTACTTTTATACTTTATTATAAATTGGAAAAGGCTCCTTTTTAAACCCCTTTATTATAATATGTTATAAGCGGTAATTTTCCGTTATATAGGGCCTATTAGGTTATTTATAAATTAATTAACGATTGTGGTATTATTTATAAGTTTAAATATATATATATAGCTATTAACTATAATTATTATTTAAAAAGCAATTTTATTTTATTATTTTAAATTACTTTAAAGGATTAAAGAATTATATTAAATTTAGGTATAAATTGTTAGTTCTTTAAACTTAAAGCTTATTATTTTAAAATACTTATCCTATATTAATTTATAAAAGTTTATAAAAATGAACTATATTATTAAATAATTATTTAATTATTAGAATTAGTTTAATTAAAAGAATTAGAATTATATATATTTTATATAGAATTTAACGGTATTTTATAAAAGTTTTATAACCTTATTAATTTCTTTTATATAAATAAAGCTAATATACTTCCCTATTTAAAAAAAGGAGATTTAGCTATTAAACTTAAAAAAAACGCTATAGTTCCCTATTATTCTATATACCTTTTAATATAGAATAAACTTAAGGAATTATAAAAATAGCTAAATAA